TCGCCTTGCAAGGAAGTACTAGTATAGAGTGATAATTTAGTCGAATCCAGTTGTGCGCTGTACGCGAAGTAATAAAGTTGCCCCGACGTGGGCCTAGTGAAAATTTTTGGGTGGTTTTGGGTTTTAGGACACTTCTGCGAAACGAGCGCCGTACCCACCCAAAGGAACAGAGCCAACCAACGCCGATTTGACAGCTCCTTAACACTGCCTGATGCATTAGGTTGTGCTGGACATCGCAATTTCGTCCTTCTGTCGTCACCTTTGCGAACCACACCTTTTTGCACCATTTCCCACCCACTCACGGCTTCGTTTGCAGTCTCGCATAGGTACATACGGATACCCGAAACTCCACCGATTTAAATATACATTAACGTTGAACCAGTTATAGTCGCATCTTTGATCTGATTCTGAGCTCCGCCTGCAAGTGCTTTTCCTTAGCCTGCACGTGGACCCGCCCCCGTTTAAGGACCCTAGATCCACTCTCCGTGCCGTCTTCTCAACCTGCGTTGGCTTGACAGCTTTTCCATACCCACCCTGCCACACAGATCGACCCTTTCGCATCCCCCTAGACGGCAGGCCGGTTTGAGCCGTGCTTTCCGCAGCACACACGCGGACGCCTACCCTACCCTGCGACAACGGCCTCATCCTCCTTCTTTGTCGCGCATGGCTGCATAGTTAGAAAAGTTCTTGGTCCCTTCGAGCCCGACGCTTGGAAAACGGCTCCAGAGAGGATTTCTTGGATTTGGATCTAGCTTGGGTATAATGTCTGTTGGGAATTAACGCTTGGGTTGTCGGCGTATCTTCTAATACACTCACGATGAACGGTGTTGCGACTAGGAGAGGGGGTTCAGCAGGAGCAGCAGTAGGACGAGGAGATGGCTTTCCCACGCCAGAGAGGCCGCTGTTTGCAGCCGGGCAGCCGCCCCTTGGGACACCGACAGGGAAGGCGCTGGTGGAGGGCTATCGGAAAGACATACTGAGCGGTTTCGAGAAGGACAAGCCACGATATAATCCCGTACGCATTCTTGCCCTTGGGTAGCTGCTTGAGGAGAGATCTGTCTAACATGGGTTCTTGCTCCGCAGCTGAACGCAAACCACCCCCAAAGCTCTGCCCTCGTGGATCTCAGGGATCCCATCCAGGTGCACCTGCTGACAGAAACCGCCCTTTTCGATAGCAAAACCTTCGAAATACTGTCACAAGAGGAGGTGGATGATCTCAAGAAGCAAGTGCAATCCCTGACGATGCGCATCGAGCAGGCGCGAGCGAACTTGGCGATACAGTCCAAGTACCGCGACGCAGCAGTATCAATGGCCAGACTGTACTCGCCCTCCAAGGCGGAGGGCAAGAGGAGGAGCTTGCTTGGCAACCGAATGAGCGACTCCGCTAAGGAAGCCGAGATGGAGAAGGCAGCCAGCGAACGCCGGTGCGAGGAGCTTGCAATGGAGCTGTTCTCGCTTGAGAAGCGCCTCATGGAACCTCAGAGACGACTTCTGCAACACACGGCCGGCATCTTGCAGATGACACACCACGTCTCTTCAAAGAAATCGGGACAACCCCCGGTTACACCGATGATGAACGGTATTCCCAGCAGCCCGGAGAGCCTCTACACGTACACAAACACCCGCAATAGTATGGAGATCCCCAGCGAGGAACTTGACTATGGCAAAGATGCCTACATGCCCTATGACCAGACGGATCGTGCCGCAGGCCGTCAGCGTAAGAACACAATTGAGATTCCCATGAAATCGCCGATTCGAGAGCAGAATGCTCAGCTTCGAGAGCTCCGTGAAGAGCTGGCGCGAATCAAGGAGGAGAACGAGCGCATATTGGAGGAGAATATACAGCTGAAAACGGCGGAGCAGCAGCTCAAGGAAGATATTGTGAGGGCTTCCGAGGAGAAGTCGAGGATCAAGGATGCTGAGTCGCGCCTCATGGCGATCGAGCAGCAGATGACTGCCGAGACTGAGGGCCTCCGAACACAGAGTGCAGAGCAACTCAGAACTATCTCCGATACCGAGGCACGACTAGAGAGTTTCAACCACAAGCTGCGCAATGTGATTGCGGCATTCAACCCAGCCAAAAATGCCGATCTTAGCGGTCCAAGAACTGCCTCTGGCTCTGGCGAGTCGCTCGCTAGCCAGCTGGAATACATGGCAAGCGGCCTTGCCGCTGCCGAGGACGCCGCTACGCGAGCTGCAACGATTGCATCGTCCCTTGGCCAAGTCGAGGTTCTGACCCGGCAAGTGCAGCTCGCACTCGAGCAGTCGGGCGTCGCCCAACCGCCACCCTCAGAAGGCACGCTTGATGAGCAGCTCGGCTACATTGAAGGCGCCATCACAACCCTTATTGAGGTTTCATCTTCTGTCTCGACTAAGAAGCAAGATATTGAGCAGGTTGACGCCGTCCTCATGGGCCTGTGGGAGATCATTCAGACGGGCGAGGCCGAGATCGAACAGCAGCGAGCAGCGCGGCGGCAGAACCGCGCCTTGGGCGGGGCCGCTAGCGGCGACGACGATGACGATCTCTCCAGCAACGAGCTGGACAGCTACACGAAAGAGCCTTACTCGCTTCAAGCCTTTTCCACTAAAGTCCAGTGGCTCTACGCGCAAGCCACCAGTTTGCGCGAGCAGAAAACTATCCTCCAACGCCAGATCAAGCAACAGCGCGAGCTCAACAACCGCAGTGAATCCGAGAAAGACCGCGAGCTCCAGGCCAAAGAAGAGGAGCTCCAGCGCACACATCTCCTCCTCGACGACAGCGAACGCGCAGCGCGTGAGGCCCAGGCCCAGCTCGAGCGCGTCCTCGGCGACTTGGACACGTTGCAAAAGACCACGGCTGCGAACGAGACGGCATCGGCCTCTTCCGCCAAGGCCGCCCAGGACCAACTCCGCGAACGCGCCGCCCGCATCGCCGCGCTCGAGGCAGACTCCGCCGAGGTCCAGACCCGTCTGGCGGACGTGGAGGCTCAGCTGGCGGAGGCCGCCTCCGCGCAAGCGGCGGCGGACGCCGAGATTGCCGCGCTGCAGTCGCGCCTGGCCGCAGCTGAAGAGGAGGCCGCGAAGCTCCGCGACGAGGAGCTCAAGGCCAAGGACGATGAGATCGACCGCATGAACATGATGGTCATTGAGCTCAAGACGGAGCTGACATTTGCCAAAGCCGAGCTGGACGGCGCATACGGCTCGCGTAAGGAGAGGGCGGCTGAGGCGGCCGCCTTGTCCAAGGCCGGCGAGACGGAGGAGCTCAACGCCCAGATTGCGCGGCTGAAGAGCGAGTTGGAGGGCGCGCTCAAAGACCTCGAGGATATCACCAAGGAGAGCATCGCGGCCGAGAAGGACAGGGTCGCGCTCGAGGGCAGGCTGGATGACTTGCTCAGCGAGAAAGCGGATTTGGAGGGCGAGGTTGCGTCGCTCAGGGACAGGTTCGAGAAGGAGGTGGGCAGGTTACGAGAGGAGCTGGATAAGGAACGGTTGAGGGCCCCTGCCGCCGGTGGTCCCGGGGGCAGGGCCGGCGCGAATATGCTTAGTGAGCAGTTCCGTGCCACGATGAAGGAGGAGAGGAAGAAGTTCCAGGAGGAGATGAGGGTTAGTACCATTTTTCTTTTCCCTGTCGACGAACCCGACGACCCCTATCCCTATACCCATGCAGAAGGAAATGTGGAATGGAAGCTAACGTGTGCTGTAGGAGGAGCAAGCTAAACGGCGCAAGCTGGAGGAAGAGTTGCGCGCTTTGAAGAGGGGCCAGGCCGGGCTGTCGACTCGCAGTGCGTTGAGTCCCAGGTGACGATGGACCCGGTCTGCCTTTTCTGTGGTATATTTTGGATAATGACTCGTGAGTCGGCAAGTTGGATATTTTTGCTTCTTCATATTTGTCCTACCTCTTCTGTTGAATACCTTGTTTGAAAGGAGTTTGGCCTCGGATTTCTGTTCCCACGGGAAGCTTGGTTGGCATTGGAGTTGATGGTCTGGTTCTGCATACCCTGGCCTCCCTCGTTTAATCGGCGACTTGCTTGATATATCGCCTACGCATTTGGGAGGACCAAACTAGATAGATGGATACCTCATTGCATTCACATATAGTTGGTATACAGTTTGGGCTAATGAAAGATCCTTAACTGAGAGAGACTGCTTGCCCGTGCATCGCTTTATTTGGTGATGCTACCTTGATCTAAAACATTCGGTGGATGACAGACAGACCAAAGCCTGTATAAATCAACGGTGAGGAATAGAACCCCCGACCTAGATGATCCTACCCAACCGCCTTAGAAGTACAATATAAACGGGCAAGAAGAGACCGAAATACTAGCCCCCGCCCTCAACACCCCAGCCGAGAGTTTCACAGTCTGTATCCCCAGCAGACAGCTATACCACCTCCTCCACGTTCCCTCAGGTAATCTTGGTTTAGCCGTTACCAACGAGAGCAGCAGAAAAAGTGGAATAAGAGACTACCCCCACAGCGGCGCGGTGACCTCAACGGCCCTCTCGACGACGGCACGCACTCGGTCGGCAAAGACCTTGTTCTTGCTCTCGACCTCGAGTTGCTCGAGCCACACGCTCGCCTCCATCTTGTCCACCTTGATAAACACTCCCGGGACGGGGATGCCCAGCCTGTGGAGTCTGGCCAGCTCGGCCTCGCGCCGCCGCCGCTCCTGCGCTTCTTCTTCTTCCGCCGCCGAGGAGGGGCCCTGTTCATCGTCGTCATCGGACACGTCCATCGCCGCGCCGCCGTCGTCGTCTCCTGTTCCTCCTGCCCCGGGGCTTCCGTCCTTTACATGTTGTTGTTGTTGTTGTTTGGCTGATGGCGGCGAGTGGGGAGGAGTGAGAGGCGGCAGCTTGGGCTCGGCGATGGGCGAAACGTTGTCGGCGCCGAACTGTGCCTCGAGGAACATCATTAGCCGTTCGAGGCGTTCTTCTGGGGAGACGTTGGCGTGGAGGTTGCGGTGGGGGAGGGTTAGCATGTTGTCGTGATCCTGGTACGAGTGGGAATGGGCGTGTTTGCTTGCAGAGCCTGGGTTTGTGGTGAAGGTTCATGTTAGCGCTTTGTCCAGAGCGGGATGGATATAAGGACAACAAGGGAAAGGCTTACGCTTTACTGCGGCCGGGCTGCTCTCTATCCCTAGCAGCACGGCCATCACGGCGTCGGCGATTCCGTCGTTGAGCATGTTGCCCTCCCACTCGAGCTCCACTTCGCCATTGCTCCGGTACCGAACCGTGACGCAGCCCATGACGAGGTATGCCGCGACGACTTCGTCAAATGGGAGTTCCTCGTCTGCGTCTTCCTCCATCTTGCCGTTGGCAACGCTGTCGCCGTTCGAACCGTTCTGGTGGCGCATCTTGGTCTCGGGCAGCTCCTCGATGCTGCCAAACGTGCCCTCGAGACCCCACTTGATCAAATCAATGCCCGCGGCGCTGAGTTTGAGCCGTTGCTTGCAGGCGATGGTCGTCGTCGTGAGGCCGGCATATTCACGAAGGTCCTCGGGCGCCATCAGCGACATTTTGAAGTCGTTTTGGACCAAAACACCGGTGATGAGCTGCGGCTCCTGGGTAGAATTGCCATCCTTGGGCATCTTCATGGGCTGCGGTATTGACGCTAGCTTGCCAACTACCTTGGCCGTCTTGTCCGTCTTGAATGGGATGCGCAATTCTTCGCAGTTTTTGGGACTAAAGACCTTGACCTTCTCCGTTTTGTGCGCATTCAGGGATAAAAGCTTGGACTTCAGACGCATCATGTTGTGGACCTCACCGTGAACGAGAATCTGCCGCCAATGTTAGCCGCTCTAATGTCGTAAGGGGCGAGAGCGCCGAAGCACTTACTACCACAGGAGCGCCGACCTCCTCGATAAATTCCCTGTTCTCGGTGCCATCAACGTGCGCGGCAAATGAGAACTCCTGAACGGTGCAGCGACGAGGAATCATCACCTTCTCGGCGTCGGCCCCAGGCGCTCGCCTCCCTCCCGCGGCACTTCTAGTCATGACTGCCTGAATCTGTTCGGGCTCCTGCATGATTTGTTTGGCCATGGTCCCTTCGACACTGTAGCCGGTGATGATGACGCCGTTCTTTTCGCTCGGCGCCCACCGCTCGAGAAGCTCTCGGCTCACGCCGTTTTGAAGCATACCTGGACTGGCAAGCATCACGCAACCCCCAACGTCCTCAAAGCGGTCGATGCTCTTGAGAGAGCGGATGAATTTGAAGTCCCAGGGTCCGCCCTTCCCAGCGCTATCCCCTGACGCTTCAGCCTCAGCCATGCGCTCCCGGAACAGCCGCTTGATGTTATCGTTCATTGCGCCAACGTAGGTTTGGTAAACCAACATGCACTTCCGCGCCAAGTTACTGGCGTAGTAAATGGGGAACTTTTGGTACTCTTTGTGCTTGGCCCAGTACTCGTCGAGGATAAGCAGCAGCTCCTGTGCGCGACCTAGGGCAAAGACGGGCATGAGAACTCGGCCACCCCGGTTAAGAATGCCGGTAATCGACTTCATCAGGGCTTGTTCCCTCTCCAGACGCGGGACATGGGACGCGATACCGTACGTTGACTCGGTGATAAGGACATCAATCTTGACGCCCTTGGGAACCTCGGCTGACACCAGATGGCGGTCCTGTTCCCGCGAATAGTCGCCGGTGAAGAAGATATTGAGGCCGGCGATCTCGATCAGGAACATGGCGGCGCCGAGGACATGGCCGGCAGGGTAGGGCGTGATCCGTATGGACGATATGGTGTGTGTTGTGTGGTAGTCGATTGCCTCAATCTGGGGAAATGTGTTGAGATGATCCTGCTCTGTGTATACAAGCTGTGTGGTCGGGTTTGACGAAGTATTGCCAACCCGAACACTGTCTTGGATCAGCCACTTGTAGATGGCCTTGGTAGGGTGTGTCATGAACACGCGACCGCGAAAGTTTGTCTTGGCCAGGACATATGGGAGTGACGCGGCATGGTCGATATGAAAACTAGCCCAAGTCAGTCAGGAAGTACTCCGGGAGGCAGGGAACGAGGACAGGTGCGGTCTCCCGGGCTGTGCCTTCACCGGGGGGCATGCAGAGTCGGGCAGGCTGGGAGCAGCGATGGGCAACGGCGATGGGCAACGGCGACAAGATATTGTATTTGATATCTGAATACATATGACGATGGTGGATGGTACATGTGTTGTGAAGCTGAAGCGGCCATAGAAGCCGCGACGCAGCTGTGGCAGCCGGGAGCAATGCCGCAGTCCCCGATGACACTCAATGCCACGGCGACCCATTGCATTGCGAGTTCGCCTCTACTCATGAATGATCGTGCCTGCCCCAAGCCCAAACGCCGCGAAAACTAGTGCAGAGACACAACCAAGATGCCGCTCGGAAGCAAACTTACTGGCTGATGAGAAGCACATCTACTGTGCTAAGGTCAAAGTCGTCGAAAAAAGGTAGTGCTGCAAGACCGTCATAGGCCGGATGCTGGCCGGCATCAAGCTGCGAATCAGGGGACATGCCGTCAGTGACAACCGAGCAAGCAAACAAAAGTTACGGAACGGCGACAACAAACCATGACTGTCTTTCCCTTGTACTGGATGATGTGGCATGAGCGGCCAACCTCGTTGCCGCCGCCAAGGCAGAGAAACATGAGTTCGTCTGCCGGGTCAACAGGCTCCTCGGGCGCAGACGCCATCGCGGCCGCCTTCCGCTTGGAGGCCATGTTGTATGGTATTGGTGGCCAACTCGTGGGCCTTGCCTTGAACTCTGCTCGGCAGTTTTGAAAGAGAGTTCAAGGTGCGCTGAGTCGCCGCAAAATATCTATAGCAGAGCGTTATGCACCCCTGGAAATATATCGATTGCGTAGTCGGCTATTTGCGAACTGCCAGTGTCAAAACGCAGTGGAGAGTCGATGTTGGACCACGATCCTTTGATGGAATTCCTGTCAGTCCAAAGAGTTGAAGGTTCAGCCTTCCTTAGCAGCGACTCGGAGTCTCGGACTGGGCTGTATGCACGGACCATCTTTTACTTCCAGGAATCGTACTGTACGGTACACTGTACTTTATTTATTACGTGACCATCATGGCAACATCCTCTTGCTCAGCGGCATGTAGAAAATGGGTCGAGATGCACTCTCCACGAGTCTCGTCAATCGTTCCAAGGGGACATGTTGTTTTCAGTAGGTCATACAGATCACGTCTCCTAATTTCGGGGTACACCTGCGAGCAAATCTGCAGTTGAGCAGGAAGGAGGCCAATGATTATGATCATTCCAATCTTTTGCAGCTTTGAACTTCAGCTCGGTAGCAGGGATCGATGGAGGCGCCCTGATGAGGGAAAGGAACATTCAATTTAGTATCGTCGTAATCATCAACCTCGGGTTGTGCTCAGAGAAGTACAATTTGACTCTGGAAACGGTTCTGGAGAGCATTCAGCTGACGCAGAGGTCGGGTGCATTTCAACGCCTTGCCTCATATACGACCTTGTGAGCCATGAGACTTCTCTGTCCGGAAGACCTTCGTGGATACCGTCCGCGCCCGCTTCATATGGTCTCGACGCACTAGTCCGAGCTTACTGGCATGAAGGGCATCGTGGGCTAGCAACTTCGGCACTGATCTTGAAGCCGTGACAAGATCGTCCGGATGGTGCTCATGAAGGGTGCCGACATGGACATTAGAAGGTTGAGTTGAGATGCTTCATGCCAAAAGCAGCCCCGAAGATATGCAGGGTTGATCATAGAGTCGCTGCTTTCGAGTATGCACATGTAACCGAAGGAATACGGGGAGTCTAGTGGAAGAGCGTGGGCATCGAGATCTGAACCTTGGGGGGGGGAGGGGTGCGGGGGGGGGGTTTTATACTGGCGCGAAGCAGTCAGGCGGCTAAGGCCGGGTTGGACTTTCCTCCGTTTGTGGGCATTCAGGTTGGAAGACAGCAAGAGCGCGGGAGAAGCAACATATCGATCAGTGTAGAGGGCAAGCCAGCCACCATCCAATCCTCGAAGACCAGAACTGTCGTTTTATGTTGTATCGTATAAGATGGCAGGCAGTTGCTCACTTTGACCGCCAAGAAGTCTAACTTAGTAAAAGTTACGTTACCCGTTTTAGCACGTGACCTGGCAGACCGCGACAGACTCGTCGGGCAAGCGGCGTCGCCTGATTTTGAACTCCAACTCGAGCGTTGAGAATCGAATATAGAAAGCGCAACGCCATCAACCTCTGTGCCTGTGACTGTGACCGCGCTGGCATAGTTTAGCGAGACTGCGGATAGCCAAAGCCGAAAATTGAGGAAGGAGCGAGCGATTTGCACTTGCGACTAGAGAAGGAAGGAACGGCGCCGGATGGGCAACGAAACCTGAGAAAGGGCGCGTTTTGGCCGGAAACGCAGGCGCGCCTGCCTGGGTCTGAAAAGATCGATTCTTTCCGGTCACTCGAAGGTTTTTACTCTTCTTCGTGACCATCCGGCTTCCTCGTGCCCTTTTTCCCCAATCCAACTTTTTTCTCTTCTGCAATCAAGCAAGCTTGATACCATCATCCGCATCGAGCGATCAACGACTTCCCCTTCTCTCCGCGACTTTGCTCTATCGACTTGATTTCCTGGAAACAGCGAGTGACCGCATCGCATCGCACGTTTCTCATATGGCTCAACCTCAATCGCAGGCACCGCCGGTGCCTGCGCAAATGCCGCAATCGCCGCACATGTCACAGATGTCCCAGATGGCTCAGCGTCCACAATACCCACAGCAACACTCGCCCTCACCCGCAGCCACCCCTCAACCCGGATTTGCGATGCCTTCGAATAAACGACCGCGCACTTCCACTACCTCTCCACCCCCACCTGCTTCGCAGTATTCCTACCCGGCAAATTCGCAGATGGCAGTTCCCTCACCGAGCACTGTCGGCTCGCCGAGTTATCCAAACCTCACAATTCCCAACACAGCTCAACAGTCATTCGCAGCCCCGTATACTAACGGCAACTCTGCGCAATCTCCCGCGCCCACACCTGCTCTTACTCTGCCGGACACGCGACAGTCTTACCCCCAGACTCCCGCGACCCCGGCTGCACCCGCAACTCCCAGTCAGCCCCAGTACACGTCGGCCACAATGGCACCCATCGCTCCTCCGCCGCCTCCTCCTACACCTGGCGCCATGCTTCCTCCGTCAAAACCAGTCGAGCGGCCGGTGAGAGAATCCGGTCTTAAAGATTACGAGGACGCGTTGGCCGGTACCGGCATCGACATCCGCGACGAGGAGCAGTTTCTGGCCGACTATTACAGCGGCACATTTCTACAAGAAGCAAAGACTGGCCTTCCGGCAAACCCCCCCGGAAGCCGGGGTTCGTTTTATGGCGCTGGCTTCGCGAACCAGCCCGGCGAGTCTGTTGGCGATTTGAGCCAGGAGACGTACGAAGCCGAAGTCGCAGAAAGAGCCTTCGATGAAGCAGCTCATAGATTGGCTGCGATGCGCAGCAACGAAATTAGAGACGCCTTTCTGATAATCCCTAACCTGCACCACCGGGCAGAGATGATTGCGAAAGAGCACGGGATTGGGCTCAACCTCGAGTACAGAAACTCGGCAGCCACCATGGGCAAGATGCGAACTCCGCAAGACTTTCCCCCACCTACAGTCACCGTGAGCACCAAGACCGGTCCTGACGGCGCCTTGGTGGCGACAACCGGCTCGTTCATTCCGCACGACGCATATCTAGTAGATCAGTTGGCACTCATCTCCGTCGCCACCAAACATCGGCTCAGACAGTTGATTGAGGACGCCGACCGCCTGGCCACCCACCGCCAGACAACTTCCCACGGGGAGATACCAGCGGAATGGGCTGATGTCGCAGCACCTCTGAAAACAGGTCTGGATTCGCTTCCAGTCGAGTCAGAGAGCGCTGCAAACCCCAACCCACTTAAGCGTACGATCTCTGTACCCCCATTTCGCCCCTGCTGTTATTAACTCGTGGTTCTCAGGTTCGTTTGACTCTTTCTCGGAAGACACATCCAAGCCTGCTCGCGGCAAGCCCGGCCTCAGGAATTTGATGGAAGCTGTCCGCGACACAGGCAGAGTTGAACGTGATGTGGAGGAGGCGCGGCTCCAGAAGCGCCAGAAGCGACACAACCCGGAATCGGCCGCCCAGGGCGGATCACGTGCTGGATCAGCCGCGCCCGGCACGCCAGGTGCTGGAGCAGCAGCCGAGAACGATACTACCACAACAGCGGCAACCGCGGCCAAAGCGCCCTCAAAGAAGGAGCTGAAAAAGGGTGCGGCGGCCGCCAGACTGGCAGAGGCTTCGAGCACTGCCAGCGCTAACCAGACTCTGAACACCCTCATGGGCGGGTTTGGCAAAAAGAGAAAGAAGGAGTATGCCTGGTTGCAGACGCCTGGCAGCGGAACCAGTACCCCGCGAGCCGGGTTGAGTGCCACTGACTCCGCAGCATCGGGGGCGGCAGGCGGTGGCAGCGAGAAATTACCCGAGAAGACGACACTCACGGCAGATCCGAGATATCCCAGGTTAGGAACCTGGCGCGAGGATAAGGAAAAGGGCAGGAATATCCAGATAAGAGACTGGGTGGCTGCTCTGGAGGATGATCGCCTTGAGGTGCGAGCGCTGCAAGAGACTTATATGAAGTTGGACTCCTCCGCCCCTAAGTGATATTAAATGGTAGGGGAAGAAAGGAGGCTATGCGAGGACTGCCTCGTGTTATCAGGGACAAGAATCCCAATTAAACAGGTTCATGGACGGAATGGGAAAAAAAGGAAATGGAAAAAGACAAGGTCATCTGGGTTTTCTATCGAGGTTCGAGGATTGGGCGAGATACATCACACTTGGAGCACCACCACACTTGGAAGCTCATTACATTTGGAGGGCCATCGAGATGGTTATGGCCTCCTGGATTCTACACAGCCCCCTTGTTCCTCCCGTCCTCTGCTATTATAATCATCACTTTTTTGACATTAGCTAGCCTGGCGTTCTGACACTGGGTTTCGGACCAAGGTTGATTTCGGCTGGCGAACTGGCTGGACGGGTGGGCAGGCGGCTAGGCATCAGGCATTCGGGAGACTTACATTTATTAGTTCGGCACACTGCTCTGCTTTCGCCCGATGTTTTTAGCAGTCGGAGCGTCTTGACAGATCTTGTTTTTGCAGGCAGAGAATATGAAGTTGAAACGTCCTGAACAGGATTCATTCTTGATGAGATGACACAGATGGTTAGGTATTCGCTTCTTGTGAGAGAGGGAGTTGTGTCTCTCCTCTGGGATGCAAGGTCACGTCACCTTTGGCTTTCACCTCTGTTACTGGTTCTTGCGGGTTTGAAAGGGGATATGGGAATGCATCGTTCTGGCCAAGTTAGCTGCTGTAGGAGGGGGAAGGTGAGAATGGAAATCCTTATGGTTGGCAACAGGATTGAGGTGTTGGCGAACTGGTTTCTATGGTGTCTGAAGCGTCGCATCATGGCAGGAAAATAGGACCCTTGACTGCGGTGATGCTTACCGTTACACTTTCTATGCCAGGGACAGATCGACTCGGTACTTGGAAAAAAAAGATTGAAAACAGGGCAGGCCATTATTCTCAGTCCAGTTTGGCGTATGTAGTATGATTTGTTGACGCTGAAAATCAACTCGTGCATCAGAAAGGCGTCAGTGGTTTAGTGGTAAAATCCATCGTTGCCATCGATGGGCCCCGCGTTCGATTCGCGGCTGACGCAATGTTTTTACTTTCCCCTTTTTGGTTCGCTGTCTGTCTCTTTTGATTCTTTTTTGAAGTACATAACTACCCGCTACAAGTAGCGTTTTGATTACTTGATGTGTGCCTAGTCACTTTCACTATTTTGATACGTTGCGCAACAGGTTGCCAGCTCTTCTACCTCTATAGACGCTGACTGTCTTCTCCGTTTGTTGATGCAAGCCACAGAACTTTCTGTTTGCTGGTGTCCACATACGGAGTTTGTAGACTAGTTGGTGGCAGTAGGCTCTGGGATACCGGGTACAGATACCGCATTGATGTATCTCCGATGAGGGTTAGAAGAGAATTGTAACCGTCGTTGACTGAATACCTTGGGATGTACAGAGTCTGTATTGTACATACAATACTTGTACCCCTTGTTGAGTTGCATTTTCCAAATGTCACTTCGGCTCAGACGTATTTCATCCTTCCATTCACCGAGCTGCGCTCCTTGAGACCCGAGACCTAGGACTTGGGCCTTGTATCAAGGATTCAGAGAATTATTTGGGTTGCTGGGAAGCTATCAGCATCAAGGTTTCTTTCACAAGACATGAAGCTACGAATTGGAATTACCTTGCTCTCGCCAGCCTTCGTGAGAGCACTCTCTGAGCGAGTTCCTGGCTATCTAATTCCCTCCGGCAGAGCCAGCTTGGAGCCCACCTTGCCATGCTTCCTAACTAATTAGTAATTAAGAGCTAACTACGGATACTCCGTACGACTACGAAGTTATGTTACAGGGGAATCACTCTTCACAAGTTGTGTTGTTTGCTCCACGCTCAGGCGTTGTCCTGGTCAAAGCTCCTCACCGGTGCAGGATTTTCACGATTTTCACGATTTCCACCAGGATGGGAAAAGGACTCCGGAGGCTTGCTGGTCGAGAAGGATTCCATGGATCTGGGCTGTCCAGGGGAACCACCCAACCAGTCGGTCGCGTTCCCGGGGTGGCATGGTTCGCTCCATGAATCGTCCGAGCGCACGTCGAGAAAAATTCCGCCAGCCAGCCTCGTTTCCTGACTTTCCTCTGATTGCCGAAGCGTTTTTTGTCTGTCGGCGGCATTACCGTCTTTGTTGGTTCGGGAAGGAGGATTCGCTCGGCACGATCCCGTTGTTGATACGTAGCTGTATCTCTAACAGTTACAAGTAAGTTGACGCTAGAGATTTATTAGCAGGCCGCCTTGTCTTGTTCCGTCCATCTCCTTTAAACCCTTCTGGTTTATTAGCCAGGATATTATTCATGGAAATGGTCCAAACGGGACGAGAACAGTGCATGTCTAAGTACCCTGCCGCCCAAAGCGGCACGTGTGTGATTTGACGGTGACGAGCGACGAGAATCCCGAGTATTCGGGCCTTCGGGTTAGCGAAAGCGCACAGGGGACGCCAAGAGCCGTGAGCCGTGAGCCGTAAGCCGGCGCAGCCCAGAGCGTTGCCCTGCTCCCAGCTCCTGGTCTGCCGGCGAGCGTTACGTAGTTAACAGGTAACTACAGTACCTATCCATCACTGCTTAAGATGTCACTCCGTAAGCAAACAGAAAACCCGGAGACCTCGGCCAACGAAAGGGACAGAACCGAGTGGTTGGGGAAAATGGAAAGGAGAAAAGAAAAAAATTTTTTTCTCTGTCTCGACGTTGGCAACAAACGCACAGAGGGCATACCGGAATGTGTGGATTTGCTGCAAGAGCGGAAAGCTTCCCCGGTCCCACGAGGCGCCGCCGTTTGGAAATTGGAAGTTTGGGACCCAAGGCAAATGTTGGATGCAACGTCAGGGGTTAGCTGCCCGGGTCGGGAAATGTGCCTGAATGTGTGCATACTTCGTACAGTACGAAGGTATCCTAGTGTAGTATACACTACACGTGTACTGTACAGATAACAAACAGTCACAAAATCCAGCAGCTACCTACTGTGTACTAGTAGGTAGTGGACGTGAAGCATGTTGACCGGTTTGGTGCTCGGATCTTTTTTGAATGATAGTGTGGGTTTCGGTGCCTGGCAACAATCTGATGAAGATGTTGGGCCGAACGGGGCTGCGCTGCATGGTGGACACCCAGGGCCTGCCCAGTCGCGTGTCAGCAGGGATCTGTCCTTCCACACAGCTTCTAGAAACGTTCAGTGCAGTGTACGGAGTACCTCCGCACGTACCGTACATGTACCTTAATGCACTCATGCATGTAACGTTCAAACTTCCAGCGGTTGCCTCTTTGGCAACCTACCCAAGGGACATCGGTACACTAACATACTCCGTACATACGCAAGTTCCTATCACGGCGCAGCAGCAGGTGCGCTGCCTCACCGATTACGCCGTAGCCGTCTTATCGCATTGAATGAAGCCGTCGGATGCGCAACACCGTTCGGAGAATGATCTCTACGAGGGTAGAGATATGTGTAATTAGTGTCTGAGTGCCTTTTCTTTTGTGTTGTATTTTGCCTTCAATTGTAAGTGTCTGAGTACAAAGTACTATACCCAATCGGTTAATTACAGTACACACTGTCCTCCGTATGTGTAATGTCATTTACGGTGCGCTGCTAAAACGGGCCCTTGCTGAAATGAGACGAGTTTCACCGCGGTCGCGGCAAGGTCTGCTGGGCTTTCCGGAAATTTGGATCTGAGTGCGGAGGGTCTCGCTCAGCAAACTCTTCCTTGACGTAAGCAGGGGTCCGTCTTTAACAATCGGACACTCCGTTTTGGTCAAATCAGGTGAGCAAACGTCCCGCACAGCGATACTCACGGCCGGTTGGCTGGACCAAGCAGAAAACGACAGTTTGTTTGATGGTTGACAATGGCCCTCTGTTTGGCCCAAGTATTGCTGGTTCAGTACAATACGCTAGGTACCTCTCTGTTCTCCGTACTCCGTACACTTCGCTCTAAACATGCGACCCTAGTGTGGCAGATCTTGATCTAGGTGACTGGGGCAGGGAAATCGACCATTAGATCATAGTCGAACCGTACAAAGCCCCTTTCGCGGTGATAGTGATGGGCAGCGATTTTTTCATCACTGCCATGTGTCCTGCCAACAAAAGCTCGTGTTTTCCATCAAGCTCAGTGTCAGGGGTTCCCCTAACGTTGATAATTTCATATATCTATCACTGTCCAACCACTGCAGTCGTCACATGATAGGTTCTCGATGCATCACCTACCAGGGAAAGGGCACACTGATTTGCGAGATCTCCCAGTGGCTGGTTGAGGATCAAAACCGTCAAATACCGCATATACTCACTCGATAGGAGGAAACGCTAGAATCGGCGCTACTGCAGCCAGGCCTCCAACCATTGAACGACAGCCAACCAAAGTACGCCTCAACCCACTTTTAATCGCCGTTGTCGAATGAGACTGAGAGAGGATCTGAGAGCCGGCGAGAGCTTGTCAGAGCAGTCACACAGAAATCCAGATGTCGCTAGCTGGAACAGGTTAGCGTTTCCTCCTATCGAGTGAGTATTAGCGGTAGAAGCATTCCCTGAAGCGCTTGGGCTGGATTACAGTACGATATAATGTAGGTCCCACTTCAATACACGGCCCGCGGCCCGCCGCACCTCGGACCCCAAACCATAGTGTTCGACTGCGGAATCTCCTGCGCCTTCGGAATAAGAGGTAGACTATGTCAAAGGAGAAACCACACATTATCGTTTCCCTTTTGCTACGCATTGTATTTGGATTTAGTTTAACCCTAATCTTCATCTCTGGGCTTCGGTATCCAAGCTGTGGCTGAAGTATACCGAGTATCCGTACGAATGTATCGTAAATTACACTAATGCAGGTACAATACCTGAGTACTCCGTACAGTACCGTTGAATGCCTGGGGCTCGTGTTCCGCTCTGCCGGCGACGTCAGCTCAGCTCCGCCTGCCGTAGTCACATACAATGCTACTACGTCCGTATCTACCGTGATATATCAACACCTTTCTCTCAGTCTATACGGAGTAATTGCCTGCCGCTGCACAGAGTAGGATAGGAGGCATCCGAGATTCTGTCCATATCGTCTAGATAACGTTTGGGATCACAGCAAAGCGGGGGACATTGGGGGAATGGGGGCTAACACCGCGCCCACCCACCACAGAGGCTTAGGATCGTTCTGTCCCTGACAACTTGACGAGATAACAGTGATATTTGGGTAACGATGCCTTAGGGTTCTCTTCGATACCGGCAGGAGCCCTGTTTTCTCCAAGCTACGTTAGTGAATGTATCAATGTATCGTTACAGATCTACACTTGTCTTGTACCCTGGTCTTGGCGCCAGATGACGGTTCCATTTGTCAGTTTCTCGTTTTGTCAGGAAACGGTCCCATCCCACGGTTGATTGACGTAACAAAGGGATACGTACGTGATGTTAAAGCCTCGCGCCAAGTCTCGTGGACCTGCCTTTAACTCTCCCCTCGCCGCACGATTGCTGGCCGATGGCCCCAGGACACGTGTGAGCCTGCTTGGGCTGCAGCGTACACTAACTACACCAAGCGGGCTGTTGCGGCACGACTGAGGCACATTTACATGTAACCCCCTCATGTACTCATTGATTGGTTCTCTCTGGTAGAAACTGGCTTCGAGGCGGTCCAAAAGCCTCAAATTCGTCGTGGGCGTGGAAGACCAGCCTGCTGTGGCATCGTCTGACTCCAAGATGCCGCAGTGTCTGCTCGCTAGGCAAGGAGCAGGGAGCATCAGAAGATAGAGTATACTGCACGTCGTATGTACCAGCTTTGTGAGGCATCCTCTGCTCCATTCACGCTGGTTCATTCTGCGCTTGGATGGTAAGGAAGGCTTTGCCAGTCCAATGGCCGTTTCCTCTGGTCTAATAAAGCCCCGTGATGTCAGCTCTCGGTGAGGTATCGGAGAAGAAGAGAGGTGCGTTACAATCCAGCACATGCATCAAACGAGTCCGTAGCTGCCTTCGAGTATCATCGCACAGCAGCAACTAGACTGTTTCTACATGCCTTTCCCCGGACTGGAGGAGTGGTCAGTGCAGAAGTTCCGACGGCTGGCAACACACGTGCTGCCCCGGTACATCCAGGCCAACACATTGACACGGGCTAGTGTAGATTCGTCACGATCTGGTGTTCGGCTCAGAGCCTAATCCGGCACTGTGGGTGAGAGCAAGTTGACTCTTAGCATTCACCGGTTTCATGAGCTTGTGGGGAAACCTTTTTCGGCCCTCGGGCGTTAAGACCGTGAGTCTGAGGTGAGATTGGCATGCTTCTAGAAAAGTTCGGGTGCATGATCAGGGGCGCTGTAACTTTATCAGTTTACACTAGTGGTGGAGTGGCGGGAGGAAACGGCGTGAGGGACTCGGAGCAAGTTCCGCCTTGCCTTGGCAACCTTGCCTCGGAGCGCTAGTTAACGAGAAACATTTGTAGGTTTTGTTGATAAAGTGAGCATAGCTGCCGTCGTCGTTCCAGGTTGTTTCCCCATATCGCTGGTTTGGCGGTTTCGTTGTTCAATAACAGTAAAGAAGGGTCGCTGTTCTAGGACCGAGACTCTCTGCGAATTATACTGTTTTTGGTTGCCATACTTTGCCTCTGCGCACCCTGTAACTAACTGTGTTTCGTTTCCTCTCAGTCTCCGGTCCAGTAGGCAAGGTCTCTGGAAATTACAGTACGAGCACATCAACAGGCCGATCTAAGGGCAGCAGCCGACGCTGTGGAACTTGCGATTCCGATCAATTTGCTTGTGCCATACGAGACTTTCAGCTGGTTTTCTGGGTTGCACTGGGGTGACTCGAGGCCTAATCGATAAAACATCGCCGTGCATAGGTACGACATCGACGGCCGCGACTGTCCACTGAGGGCCAGGCGGCGCCACTGTAACTGCGATCGGTGGGGATTCAGCATGCATCCTCGATGAATCACACCTGCTGCGAGACGTACCCCAGTTGGCTTGATATCGAATCCGTCCATCATGAGTTGTAAAGTTGAAGTGGGCTGTCGGTCGGTATGCAAGGATATGCATCTCCATTGCCCGCTTCGCCATCGTGCATGGGATGAGGGAGGATATTGGGCATCATCGCATGGTTTTTGCTTTTTGGTTTGCTTCCCCGTCATGCGGCCGATTCTTCACCTTAGTTGTGCGGAGCCAAACGTGCTTGCTGCCCGCACTTCGGGGCTCATGCTGTTTGCACTCCCGCCAGCTCATTCGTGCAGTGTAGTCGACCGCTATCCGGCCCGGGACTCGGATGATACACCCCAATACTCGGTTGCTGCTTGACAACACAACGGAACAGAATGCTACGCCATGATTGTGGTCTCAGCATGCCAGCCCAGCGCTGGGTCAAGTTCCGTTTTCAACAATGCGATGGTGTGTAAGCAGACCCAGGCGGGTATTGCACTTGACGGTCAACATAGGACGCTGGCTCCCGGTCGGCTCGGAAACCATATACCGTTTGGTTGGTGCGCCGGGCCGCGTCGTCGTCCCGCTCGGCCCGTAACCGAAATGATCGCTGCTGCTTAGTTAGAGCCTTCAGATCCTTGGGCAAATGCACCAGACAAGCTGAGTCGCTGAATTTGAGTAATACAGCACTGTCACAAGTGAAGCCGGATCGTCCGTTGTTGCTCCGGCCTAGGTATCCAGTCTCACCTGGGTGTGCAGGTCGGTGACGGGAGAGGTCTGCAGCGTGCTCCGTAGGGGTCTGGCGGGGTTCGGTAGGGCCTTCCCCTATTCACGTTGGACGGCGGGCAATTAATTAGTTACCAGAGTCCTGTGAGCCCGAGTGGCGGCCCTGCCTATCTGCATCGTCATTGTACAGGTAATGTTGCACGATGCAGGCACATCCGGTCACCCCGGACTCGGCGTGATGCTCGGATCTCGAGTACGTGCCTAAAGTATGTACTGTATGTACATACATACAGAATACTTTACCGCGATAACGGTACAAAAGCATCGGTGTCGTGCTCGCGTTGACAGGTCCCTTGCAGGATGATGACAGCTTTTCACCCATACTCGTCAATGTCCAAGAATGCGATGGATTCGATACCGTAGGCAGAGCCCAGCGGAGACTCCGTGTTCCAAGGATGGCGGCCGCCAGTCGAATGGGCTTCGACAAGCCGGACTCGTACTGCTGACTGGTTCGTCCACTGTGACTCTGAACGGCAAAACCGACCTGAGGTCAGAGCCAAGCCTCAGCGAGTCACAAGGTGTGGCGTGCAACGGGAAACGTGGACTTCCAGTTAGCCAGCAATAAGGCGTGCGCGCGCCTTCGCTATCAAGGCGGGCCCTAAGAATAGGAATCTATCTGATGCAGTGCCACGACGACGAGCAGCAGCACGAGCCTTTGCAGCGTGCAGGTGCAGGATGGATCTCCCGGAAATGTGCTTGGGGCGTACATACCTCGAGAACCCCCGGTACGACCTCAATGGTCCCGAGCTGGCAGCAAACCCGACTTGGCCTGAACCTGCATGCCATGGCCAGTCGTTCCAGGCCATGACCGGATGGTGTTGTGATGATTGGCGGCTGCGCGCCCGCCTGCGGAGGACGCCAACAGAGCATGAATTAGTATGCAATTGCCTATCTGGGAATTTTGGGACGTCTGCTACACAGCAGCCAGTGCAAGCAAACGGATGACGAGAACCGGGCAGCGGCAAAACAAGGAAACGACAATTCAAAGTGAAGCGGCATCCCACGCCAGCGACGAGCCAGGCCGCTCTGCTACGCGTGGATTGCGAGTTGGGACGGGATTTTCGGCAACGTTGGAAGGCGCAGTCAGGGCAATGAGTACGGTAACCTGATATTGTTGTACCGGACTCGACGCTGCGAAGCCAGTATGCGTATCGAATCAGCACCGCAATGGAGACCTTTCTCTCACACGCCAGCATAAAGGTCGCCAGACGGGAGTGCGCATGGCTGATGAAGATGGTACTTTGTGTTAGGGTTCTAGGTGTGACCAAATGGGGAGAACCGTGACTCGTGTTTCCCCAGACTTACCTACCTGGGTCGGCGCCGATGATGCTTGGATTTCTTACTGATTTCACTCGTCTTGCAGCCGCTTATTGTGGTGGAAGGTGCGGACAAGATCAGGCTTTCTAAATCAGTGGTATGTAACATGATGTGTACAGTACAGTACAGTACCAGCACTCATAGCAATAGGTACCGTACCAAGTCACCAACTTCAACCATCACATTACCTTTTAGTGTTCTACCTAAAGGTGGTTCATGATCCCGTCCGTACAGGCAGTTAGAATTTGAGTCGTTTTCCCGGCCGGGTCCTGTTCATCCGATCCGCTCGAAATGAGGCCTGATAACGACAGAAGTTGGAAAGAAAATTTTTTTCATTCGAACCGCACGGTCATGGTTTCGCTCACGCGGCCGGCCCTTCCCAAAAGACGACCCAACGGCGCGATCTTCCTTCCCCGAAAGACCCATATCCTAGCAATCAGTTTGAAAAATGTTGGACTATCCTATGAACCGAGGATTTTTGCAAATTGTGCTCCTGTTGCAAGCGAGGTTGAATCGATCATCAAGATACTATAGGTCATCATTTGTCGAGCTGTAACTAGTATAATCATTATCGAAAACCGCACAAGAAAAAGTTTATGATTAACGAGTTGAGCGAGATGCGCCAGGGATCTGGGTTGCGATGCTGGGTCAACAACCGTGGCTTTGACGCTGTGCCCTGAAGGTACCGTCTCTCTGGCACTGTGTGCTCACATCATCCGGGTTCCGCGCAGCACTGCATTTTTACTCGGATGGAGTGTGTAACGAAATTACATCCGTACCTTACGTACCGCAGGAGCTGGCTCCGTTGACCAACCTGGTGCCTTGGGCCAGGGTAATGCGCTCAACTGGGCCCTGAACGGGCAGGACCGTGGCCCCACAGGGAAGGCGGAACTGGACAGGCATCGCCAAAAAAGGAGACGCCAGTTTCTGAGAACGGTACGCAGTGCACGGCGCCTGCCGTAACGGAGAGAGCCAGGGGTAAGCTTGAAAGTACATGAGGGAAATGTACATTGACAGGGTGTCAAAAGACCACCTCGACGCCAACTTCAGACCCCGGGAACAGGCCAGGGAAAAATATGGCCTTCATTATTAGCCTTTGTGTCCCAGCAATCCGTCCCCTTTATAATAGCCAGAAGCCCCCATCCTGTCCGTTTTCTGGAATTCTCATTATCATAGCCATCACACTCCCTCCAGACTCCTCTTTGACCTTCCTTAGCCATTTGTGCTTCTCCACGACGACCTTGTGTCTATTCAGTCTGGTGTTTTAATACATCCTAATCCATATCTGCAAGTTTTTGCCAGAAGCCGTCCGCCTTCCCTGCCCAGCAACCCACGCACCTGGCCAGTTATCACAGAGTCTCCAAGTTGGTTGGGAAGAGGCCCGAAGAAGCGACAGATCGAACGCTTACGCATCCCGGAGACGAAAACACCTTCGATTGTGCTTATCGACTGCGCCTCACTTCAGGGATCCTAACTGTTACGGAAATCCCCTTGAACGAGTGGCCATCACGGGACCCATAGCCCGTCTCGGTCGCGCTGGTGTCGCTTTCGGCTCCATACACAAGCCACCGACGGTTCCTGCGACGCTGACTGGGGAGCGCGCTCATCTGCTTTGAACACGATTCGGCAGCACTCAACGGTCTCTTGCATCATCGCTCCCACCCGGCACCAATCCCACACTCCTTCGGTGTCGCCTCGCGTCTCTTGAGGGGAAGTTCAACTGTGAGTCACCACTGTGGCAGGTATACTGCCTGCTTATCCTGAAATTAATTTGGGCTTGGCTGCCGTGCCTCGGCTCCCGTCTGCTTGGGTCTATATATACAATCCTCATATGCCATGAAATTCGCATGCAGTTACTGACATGATTCTCATCACTGTAGGCTACCCGCCGATCTTTCCATCGCGTCCTTCACAATGATTGTCAGAGAGTCAGAACAACTTGTCAACTTCGGGAGAGGGGCCTACGATACAACAGGCGTCCCTAAGCCGCCGCCGCCAAAGCCTCGGTAACCCCTCGACATTTTTCGTTGTCTGAGTGCAACATCGCTTGTTCTGCGCCGATGCGGATCATGGGCGCACAATGGCCAATCGAAATGCGAGCCATGTGCGGGATGCCCTGATCGCCCACCCTCAGGTGGTTATCAGGGCACGCAGCGTCCAGCATGCCCCCGAGCGAACGACTGCACCTCCGCCGTTGTCGGACGCGCCATTTCTTCCCTTTGACATTATATACCCTATCTTGTTTAATCAACATGTCCAGCGGCACTTGCGACCATCATTCAACCTTGGTTTTCCGATTTCGCCGCATTTCGGGCGATCTTGTTCCGATACAACATTTTAATCTCATTTCTCAGACGATACACATATTCGGCTCGCGGCCACTTGCAACAAGACGGGGAGGTCTCATTCCGGGTTTATTTTTTCAACTGCACGGCGTTCAGTTATATAGATGGGTCCGGCTTCTTCGGGGTCTTCGGCGGCTGTATCTTTTGGCCACTTGACAATTCCTATCCTGCTTTGGCATCGACAACCCGGCGCCACTGGGTGAATCAGTCGGCGCGATGTTTGCATGCGACATGCCCAACGCAACCGATTCGGACCATCTAATTGCTGGGGACACATCACAGTCCTACCGCGAAGCTTGTGTCAAACCCTCCGACATCTCGGTCTTACTCGGTTCTCGTTGAAGCGAGTTGCAATTATTACTTTGAAGGAAATGGGATGGTTGGGCTCATAAATGAGCATGTTGTTTCTCGCACTGTTTAAACGGCTCAGGGGTTTTGGTTATCAATGGCTAAGACTTGGGAGGCAGGGAAAAATCGGTTTGCTTTTTGCATATAGACTCCTGTGTTTTCTTCCCCCCCCCTTGTAACACTTTTTCTTTTTGGGTGGCATCGTCTCCTCGCGGGGACAGGCCATCAGCAGCGCTGCATGACCGATTTCCTTTCATGTTATCATGTTACTATCACTGTACAACAGGTGGACAGCGGTGGAGTTTTTCCCTTTTTCTTCTTTCATAGTCCAGGCCACGACGGGTGCTGGGCTGGATCCAGGATCGATGATACCCCCCTGGTACTTTAGAGAACATGTACTCTACACACAGAAGACACGCAGCTACACAGCTCAGAGCTTGGTTTGAACCGGCAAGCAATCTGAGATAACCATGACGGCGAAAATTGACTCCTCCACGTTCCAGCAAGTGAGAAGCCAGTTCTCTAGTTGGACCCAAATCTGCGTTTTCAGAGGTCCGGCTTTGATTGCACGCCACGAACCGGAAGGCGAGACCATGGCTACCTAACGGAGAACTGAGTCATGGGGCAGCCTGCCAGTCAATCATTTTCAGGATTTCAACGTCAAAAATACCGGAACAAGCCAACATGTTGTTTCCGCTACTCGATTCACGAATGGGAGGCCGACGCTCCTTCCGTGTATGACGCTTTTCTTCTTTACCCCTAGGATGGAGAAATCTGCAGTCCCACCACCATCTCGACGTCTAAAAGCATTAATGAAATGCCACTCACACCTCCCAGCCTCCGGTTCACCCGAAATACCACAGGGTCACGTTTCCGCCGCTTCACTGCGGTCGTACTACATGAACTTTACAGAGTACGCACGTAGGGTAAGCGAGAAAGGTCGCATAAGCACGGCGCATGCGACCGTGGGACGGGATGAGGCGGGACGGGATTAGGACGGAATGGGCCAGCTCGGGTGCCCCTTCGTGATCCCGAGCCTCCCGGGAGAGCAGGACGAATACAGTCGCTGACTGCATTGCTCAGCAAAAGGTCGTCTCACATGCTGTTACTGTACATGCGCAGGACACTGTTGCCCCTCTTGCCAGTGTCTTTCTCTCATCTGCGGCGGGAGCTGGGCGGAGCGGCCGGAGTTCGATTCCATGGGCCTGGCTTGCGCCGTTTGCCTTTCCTGACGGACATGAAAGGAGTCAGACATAGATGCGTAAATGGCTGCATGCCGGCGCAGTTTGGTTGCACTGAGGCGGCGGACGGTTTACCTTCACTGACGAGGCTGACGGCATGTTGATATAATTACAAAGCGCGACCAGATGTAACCAAGCCCTGGTGGTTGCAGTTGAAGCGAAACGGGAAACAAAAGCGACGAAGACCAAAGACGAAGTGTGAAGTGCCGTCTCCTCGCCCGCAGTCATCCTGCTCCTGCTCCTCCTTCCTTGCGCATGCCCTGGCATCCATCCCAATCGCGATGCTCTGCCCAGAAAATGTCGGGACTAGGAATGTTCAGGGAGTGCTGAGATCAGGCTCGTTATCCAGGCGGCCCGCCGGCGGGGATACACTACAGCACGCGGCACTAATGCACGTTTAAAGGGGAGAACTTTTCGGACGGATTCCCAGGACCGTAGCCCTGGGCCCTTGGTTTCTGCACCGGGAACGGCCGCGGGCGGGGCACCCCATCCCATCTGAATGGGCCCGAATTTCCTCCAAAAGGCATGGCGCCCAGGATGCCAAAAAAGTTGGGAACCCAAGCAACTCGTGTGTGGCTGCAGCCTCCATGCGTCCTTCGGGCTCCACCATCACACGAGACTTGGCTGAAATCTTCAATTTCACCAAACGGGGCTTCTTCCCAGTGCTAACGTACCTTGGTGCAATTACTGCCGGGTCCGCCACTAATAGGTCGGGATACTACCAGTAGTCAATTCACGGCACATTGCCCAATGGACATATCCGTAAACCAGGTTGTTATGCTTATCGTGCTTGAGCATCGTTGCGAAGTGCAAGTCGTGTACCTTATGCATAAACGGTCATGAGGCAGTTAGGACGCCATCACCTGATTGGGACGTTACAGTGGATGTTCCTTTTTCTTGACCGAGCTTTTCCGGACAGGCCGTTACCTTCGGTAACCGCGTGGGGGTAGCTACCTCCCCGAGCTCCCGTCCTGAGGTTTTCCTGGTTCTTTCTCGGTGCTCGTACCCCCAACGAGAGGGGGGCAATTCATCCATTGTGCTTAGTAGCAGCCACCACCCTCACGGTTCACGTTTCACCCAGGCAGCCTCTTGATGGGCATATGTATGCGTGGGTTTTACCATAACGTCAGTTTGGAGACATCTTTGGGGGCAGTGGCTCCGTTTTTGATTACAATCTTCCATCAGAAAAAGATCCATCACCTCACTCAATTGTTTCCTCTTTTTCACCCTGAAGCCACCTACTATAACTTTTCTCGTCCTCCGAATTGCGCTAGTGCAGTCATGTCTTCTGAACGACTCGCTGACACGATCTGACGTGCGATCGACAAAACAGTTTGCTCACTTCACAGTATCTATTGTGCATACACAGCCTCAAACAGCCGTCCTTGCATTGCTGTGCGGAGCATGCCCGGTTGGATAGATCGTTTCCGCTAGGCTGGTTCAACACATGGCTCGCGTGGCTCGAGTGGCACTCTCATTGATGATTTAACTCCGTACTAGTACTGTGCAATACGGATACCACTTACGGATACCTCCGGACTTCGTAATCGACTGATCCCTTCTTACACAGTATTCCTGGATTCCTTATGCGTTGGTAGGAAACTGATGGATCTCAGCATAGATCCCGGGCGTTCCCAATCATAGGTCCTCACCTCGGCATGCTTGTTTCACCACCATGGATTTACAGTATTCTAGAAACTATCCACTCCGGCATCTGCACCCGCCAAATCCGTCGCCTACCAGGACCCTGCCCGAGCTTCAAGGCCCACCCACATCCGGATACCAAGTGTACGAACACTGTAGTAGAAAAGGAGGCAGTCGCAAGATGACCGATATTCACACCGTGTAGGACGTTGTTCCCGTTTGTCCTTTTCAACTTCCAGGTTCGTCAAATCAGTGTCATCAAATCGCTTGCTTTGCTGATTGCCGGAACTAGAAAGCAGATCGACACGCATGCAGTCCCGTCTACCAGCTGCCGGGCGATCGGATTGAATGCAGTCATTTCTCACATTTTTCCAGTACATATTTACATGGAAAGACCACGACGGCAAATTCCACGCCCCTGGCACTAGACTTGTCACAACTGCCTTTCTTTTGAATAACCTAGCGGAGCAAACAGAACGAGGCCTGACCTCTCTGAAAAAAAAAAGAAGCAAAGACAAAACCACAATATCGGGAGACGAAAAAGCAACAACCACAACTCTGGAAAAGGAGACAGTACAAACTCCCAAAGTCACCTCCTGCCCCCCAACAGAACGGAGTTTCTGGGCTCTCCGTTTACGCCACTTGACGATAGTCACGATACGGGTAACATAATTACAGTCGATCTTGCATAGCAAAAGGTGCCCCCCTTTCCTTGGCGACCCTGGCGCGATCCCAGATCCTAGGTTATGTAGATCCCACGTCCCACGTGCCGGTTCGCCTCGCCTTGCCTCACTTCAGGCGCCAGAGGAATTGCCAATCATCGCTGCCATCGCCGGGAACCACGTCCCGGAGTCGCTGCTAGGGTACACCGTATGTACGTGTAGTGCTGATTACATATCGCTCCATCCATACGGATAGTGGAGTGGGGTCGTTGTTCCAATTTCCAAAACGGCGGAACCCAATAATACGATAGATTCACCCACCCCGGGTGCAATGTCTCTCATTATCTCATAAGCCGGGATCTCTAATCCAAGCGTTGCGGCTCATAAGTTAGGGTTATACCGGTTCTGCAGGATGAATCCCGGGCTTGGAGGCCCCGCCATTGCTCCGGACCCCGGGGGTTGACGCTGGTTTGTTCTGTCCCACCTGGCCCAGCTGGTTCACTAATTAGCACTCAGCCATAGTCTGTTACACAACTATTGTCGTTCTGGCTGAGCATAGCAGGCTGTGCTGTTTGTTGCTGCTGCTTCTTTCCCCGAGGCCACTGTTCCTGCCCATCAGCCGTGCCGTTCGGGTTTTCTGTTTGTATGCGAGCCACGGCCTGTTGATCAGCCACGGGGTGCCCGAAGGAGAGCCGGGAAGGGTTATGATCGTCCGTGTGACAAGGGCTTGAAGGGCCGAAAGACATCGCTTGATCCAACCGTGGGTGGCTGGAACATTGCGCAACAAACGCCTCTGGTGGTGTGCAGCAAGATTAAAACGGCGAGTGAGAAAATGCTGTGAATGTCTCGGCTCTCCGCTCGTGTATAAACGGCTGGGATAGAGGACAGGCCTCGCAGACATATGCCGAGTGCATACTAAAAGCCTCTTGAGTATTGAGCTGCTGATGGCTGACACATGCAGGACTCGGCATACCTGCGTAGAAAGGCATGAACCTATGAACTACGGGCTATAAGAAGTACTGTATGAGTTGTGACAAGGTACATACAACAGTCGAAGGATTTCTTCCCCTTGTTTTTTTGTGTAGCTTAGCATACTGTAGGTAGTTCGTTTGTCGAGATGTCGACGATTATAACGGAGATACGTTGTAATTCTTATGCAAAACAAAAGATATGACATCTATAGCTTGCCTTTGAAAGCGTTGGCTGAGAGTGCGTAAGATCCCAGCATGATATCTAACCTCCGGGCCGGGTCCGGTGCAATGACTCTCCTCCGTACGGAGGTACATCCGAAATCTAATCCCGGCCTCCTAGCCGGCCCGCTAAACACGGACGAAGTGGAGGTCGCTACGGCGGCCCCACATCTGAGCTGCGGTGCGGGGCTTACCTAGGCACCGACTAACGAACAATTCCACTGTTAACGTTGGGACCACACCCCAACAATCATCATTGAACAGTTTCACTGCTGCGCAACGTCGACAAAGGGCACCACAGAAGCAAAGACTCCAATACCTCTCCGCAAACGGAAAATACAATCGTCGCCCTGATCGAACGGTGCAGCAGCCCGCCAACACCTCGGACCCAACTCCAACCACCCAAGCAGCCAAAAAGGCAGCCGAACTTTACTCGACTTTATTACTATCCCACCATGTCGGTCATCCGGGAGCACACGCAGGCGACGCTGAGCGACGCGTGGCGGACCATCAACATCGACGCGCTGCAGGAGGACTCGAGCGTCAACTTTGACACGTCGACGCTGCACCCGCCGCTGCCCGAGGCCTCGGAGCCCGAGGTGCGCCAGCTGGCCGGGCAGGTACGGCAGCTCCTTCGGGGAGGCGACGCCGAGGGCGCGCTTCGTGGCTGCCTCGAGTCGCCCGTCTACTCCAACAGCAGCGAGCTGGCGCGCGACGCCCACCTCCAGACCGTCATCGAGGTCCTGCAGAGCATTAAGGCCAGTGATATGACGCCGATGTTGCAGCGTATTTATGCTAGTCCCGGGGGGAGTGAGTGTTTGGATGTGTTGATGAAGTATCTGTGAGTTTTGGTGTCTCCTTGCTCGTATCTCTGCTGGCTGTTGGAGGGGGTCCGGTTTTGGGAGATGGGGTAGCTGACTTGTGATCTCTTTGGACAGGTACAAGGGCATGGCAGCGACATCTACGGCATCGGGCAGCAGCGCGCCCCGTACACCCACCCGTATGACGCCCCAGCAGACCGGCTTTAGCCAGATTGGTGCCCGTCCCGGCGCCCCTACCGAGTCGACCGGCGCCGCCATGAGCGTGCTGCTCAGCTGGCACGAGAAGGTTGTCGAGGTGGCGGGGTTGGGGTGCATAGGCCGGGTCATGACCGACTGGCGGAGGGTATGAATGGACGTAATGGGTTTCTGGCGTTGGAGCATGGTTTGGCAGGCAAGATTAACTTTTTTGCTGTGTATAGACGGGGAGGCTGCGTATTGAAGCCTATGTGGAATGTACCCGGCAACACGGCCTGGTTTTGACCATCACGTCTCCGTTCTCGAAAGAAGTGATGGGGATTCCCAACCATTGCTGGTGAATTTGGGATGGCAGCAAATACCCGCGACAGCGTGAAGGTACGAAGGAGCCAGTATACAAATCTGTGGTTTACACTACCCATCCGCCTACTTTTGCTCCAAAATATCCTTCAAATTCACCTCCCCACTCCCTCGTTTCAACGGCTTCGGCTGGTTTCCACCCGCCTTCCACCCAATCATGTGAATCACCCTGAAAGTCGCCGGGATACTCCCGTCCTCATTGCCGTGCAACGCCCTATAAATGCCCTCGTTCGCGAGCAACACATCCCTACCAATACCCCCCATCTCCCTGCCCAAAACCGCGTTCCCCTCGCCCATGGCCTGCAGGTCCTGCATGAGCGCAAACGTGTCCGGGTAGTCGACCACAATGTCCTCGACGTCGACAGTCAGCATCTGGAAGCCGGCGCGCTGCAGTAAGCCGCCCACGTCGCGCACGTCGGCCAGCGGGGACACGTGGGGGGAGATGCCCCCCCGCCGTTCCTGCTCGGCCAGCTGAAGCGACGTGCGCAGCTCAAACAGCGTGTCCCCGCCCAGCATGGCCCCGATGAACGGCCGGTCGGGCCGCAGCACGTGGTTGATCTGCGCCAGGACTCCGGGCAGGTCGTTGATCCAGTGCATCGACAGGCTGCTCAGCACCAGATCGAACGAGGATCCCTCGAAGGGGAGTGTTTCCTCGTCGCTTAGCACATGGCGGGTCAGCTTGAGGCTGGGCAGGCAGGTGTTGAAGGGGAGGTCGGCGTCCCGGTGGAGCAGCGAGGCCGACGACTCGGCGGCGACGAGCTCCTCGATCTGTGAGGTCACGGCCAGTGGAGGGGACTCGGGCCTGGACGGGTCCGGGTCGGGGTTTTCTCGCGTTAGGGCCCGTGCAATGTTGCACGAGTTGGCGCCGAGATCGAGGACACGCGCGAAGGGCCGCTTGATGTCCTGGTCACCAGAGAATGTCAGTCAAAGGAGGATCCATCCTTCGAAAGGGGAATTGAGAAATGCGTACAAGAAGACGCTCGCAAACCCTCATGGCCACCTCATCTTTGAGGTAGTCGGCCTGCCTGCTGAGCTCGGGGTTTGAGGCTGCCCGCTCCTTTTGCAGCCATTTGGTGCGGCGGTTGAAGACGCTTGGGATGGGGCTGCCAGAGGCCTGGAAGGCATATCCTCGTGATGCAAGACGGGATTTGGATGAACAAAGATTCTGCGGCCGACAGCCTCGGACAAGGTTCAGCCGCATTGTCCAAGCTCTGGCGTGCAATGGCCTGGCATATCCGTGAAGCTGATGGTGTTTTGTGATGCCGTCACCGGCGGCTTTTGGAGATCGATAACGACTGGATAAGATACGGATAGTGGATGGCTGTTTCCTTATCCACCGCGTAATTTCATAATTTATTGTTCCGAATGTGGGGAGCTTCTGCTAGCTGCGCTTATAAGTGCATTGTCTAACCGGTAACAGACTGGCTTGTTAATAACCCCGGCCCACTATCAGCAAAGGGGATGGCCAGTGCGGAGAACATTCGATGATCAGAGGATACAACGGGAAATGCGACAAGTGCCCACCACTCCATCCGCGGCCAGGCGACAGTCCCACACCTTCAAGTAAACCCCTGAACCACGATCATCAATCTGAACAAATCGACGTCTGCCGCGTACTTTTGGGACCTGTTTCCTTGCCAACGCAAACTCGGATGATACTCGGCCATCAGATTGGCTTAGCTAACCTTAGTAGCGTCGGCCATCCGAAACTGGCAAGCGCTCGGCTGCAAGGACGATTGCAAAGTGACGTTCGAGTCGTTCGACGCGCGCTCAACAGCCGCTGCTCCCGCTTTTCCGCCGTCTCCGAAAACCATCAGCTCGTGCCTCGATCCTCTCTGACACAATGAATAGACCGTGAGAGCTTGACTCTGTACTCTGTCTCTGCTTTGGCGAGAAGTTTTGGAAGGAGAGCCGAGGGAGGACTGGAAATATCGAACAGGAATCACGTCGCACCGCCCCGGGCTCGGTTGCGGGCTCTGGACACACCCCGAAGTTGCCGAGACCATTCTGAGCCTTCACCATGTCGTCTTCAGGGCCGACCGGCTTCCTGGGCCGGTCCAGCAGCAGCAATGCGAACATGCGAGGGCTTGTCCAATTCATTGCAGACCTGCGCAATGCACGTGCCCGCGAGCTGGAAGAGAAGCGCATCAATAAGGAATTGGCCAATATCCGGTATGTTCACTGGCTGCCCAAGTTTGTGTCAGGGGACGCTAACACGCTCGTCACATAGCCAAAAGTTCAAGGGTCAGGGTCACTCAATCTAAATTCACGAGTTGGATGAGATGCTGACACCGCAGTATAGACGGTAACCTGAGCGGATACCACAAGAAGAAATATGTCTGCAAAGTAAGCCGCGTCGGTGTCTCCTGGATGGGTATGGCCGGCTAACGGTCCCCGACAGCTCCTCTACATATATATTCTCGGATGGAACGTCGATTTTGGTCATCTTGAAGCTGTCAACCTCATTTCGGCAACCAAATACTCGGAGAAGCAGATTGGCTATCTTGCTATGACGCTTTTCTTGCACGAGAAGCACGAACTCTTGCACCTCGTTGTCAACAGCATCAGGAAAGATTTGCTGGACCATAACGAGCTGTTCAACTGTCTTGCGCTCCACGCTATCGCAAATGTCGGCGGCCGGGAGATGGGCGAGGCGCTGAGCGGCGAGGTCCATAGGTTATTAATTTCGCCGTACGTTTGAACGACGAGGATACCCTCGAGACGTGTTGGCTGACCGGGAACAGAACTTCAAAGGCCTTTGTGAAGAAAAAGGCGGCGCTGACACTTCTCCGCCTTTATCGGAAACACCCAGCCATCGTCCAGCCGCAGTGGGCCGAACGGATCATATCCCTCATGGACGATGTTGATCTGGGCGTGGGTTTATCTGTGACATCTCTTGTCATGACCCTGGCTCAGGACGATCTGGAGCAGTACAAGGGAGCTTACGCCAAGGCTGCCGGCCGGCTGAAGCGCATCGTGATCGATGGGGAATATTCCCCTGACTATTTGTATTACAAGGTTCCGTGCCCTTGGATTCAGGTGAAACTTTTGAGACTGTTGCAATATTTCCCTCCGTCAGGTATGGTGTCAGCCGCCCCCAACTCTGGTTAACTTCGACTCACAAGATGCAGAGGATAGCCATGTCCGGGACATGATTCGGCAGTCCCTTCAGAAGATCCTGGACCAGGCCCTCGAGACAAATAAGAACGTACAGCAGAACAATGCGCAGAATGCGGTCCTCTTTGAAGCCATCAATCTCATCATCCATCTCGACACCGAGCATGCTTTGATGAAACAGATTTCATCGAGACTGGGCCGTTTCATCCAGTCAAGGGAGACCAATGTCCGCTACCTAGGGCTCGAAGCCATGACACATTTGGCCGCTCGGGCCGACACACTGGATCCCATCAAGCAGCACCAAGAAGTCATCATCGGGTCGCTCAAGGACAGGGATATCAGCGTCCGCCGGAAGGGGCTCGACCTGCTCTACAGCATGTGTGACGCCACTAACGCCCGGGCCATCGTCGGCGAACTCTTGCACTATCTACAGAATGCGGATTTCGCCATTCGGGAAGAAATGGTGCTCAAGATTGCCATTCTTACTGAGAAATACGCCAACGACGTGCAGTGGTATGTCGACATATCCCTCCGCCTGATTGCCATGGCAGGAGACCACGTTAGCGACGAGGTGTGGCAGCGGGTGATCCAAATCATCACCAACAACGAGGAGCTCCAAGTGTACGCTGCGCGGAACATTCTACAGTATTGCAAGCAGGATCACTGCCACGAGACGTTGATCAAGATTGGCGCCTATATCCTGGGAGAATTCGGACATCTCATCGCTGAGGAGAAGGGATGTAGCCCCATCGAGCAATTTATTGCGCTCCAAAGCAAGCTTCCTGCGTGCTCATCAAGCACTCGTGGCATGATCTTGTCTTGCTTTGTTAAGTTTGTCAACCTGTTCCCCGAGATTAAGCCGCAGCTCGTCAATGTCTTCACCATCTACAGCCACACGCTGGATCCCGAGCTTCAGCAAAGAGCTTGCGAGTATCTGACGCTGGTGAGCATGCCGACGGACGATCTTTTACGTACCGTCTGCGACGAAATGCCACCATTCCCGGAACGGGAGTCGGCTCTGCTCTCCAGGCTGCACCAGAAGCATTCACGAACGAGCGATAAGAGAACGTGGATCGTCGGTGGAAAAGATGCCAACGCAGACGCCGGCGAGCTCAGCATGGCCAAGCAAGGCAGTCTTAGGAGGACGTTCAGCACCAACGGCCATGCCAATGGCGGTGCATCAGCGGGAGCGAATGGGCACTCGGCGGCCCATGATCTTGCCGGCCTCGACATGAGTAACATCGGACCTGCTGAAGCCAAGGCACTCAAGCCTCCCAACCTTGCTAGCGCCGCCCACCTGTCGCCCGGCTGGGAGAAGGGCTTCAACCGGCTACTGCTCAAGGCCGACGGCGTGCTGTACGAGGACGGACAGATCCAGGTCGGTGTGCGGTCAGAGTACCGCGGGCAAATGGCGTGTCTGATCCTGTACTTCACCAACAAGACGCCGGCGCTGATCAGCTCGTTTACCACGACGCTCGACCTGGACGAGTCAGAAAAGGGTAAGCTGACGTGGGACGTCAAGGGCCTGCCGGAGACGACGCTCGCGCAGGGCGCGCAGGCGCAGCAGGTCATTGTGTTTGAGGCAAAGAGGGTGTTTGAGAAGAGCCCGACCATCCGCATCAGCTACCTCGCTGGCGCGCTGCAGGCGCTCACGCTGAAGCTGCCCGTCTTGATCCACAAGTTCATGGACCCCGCGGAACTGTCAGCCGAGGACTTCTTTAAGCGATGGAAGCAGATTGGCGGCCCGCCGCGCGAGGCACAGCAGATTTTTGGGTTGGCTGGGCCCAAGGATGGTGGGCGGGAGATTACCGAGAGTTTTGTTCGGCAGGTTGTCGAGGGGTTCCGGTGGGGAGTCTTGCCTGGGGTTGACCCCAACCATAAGAACTTTGTGGGCGCGAGTGTGGTGCATACATCGGAGGGCGGCAAGTTTGGGTGCTTGCTGAGGTTGGAGCCTAACTACGGGACTCAGGTAAGCTATGGTTCTTTTGAGGAGTTTGGATTCAAACATGGCTGACGATTCTGGGATGCAGATGGTGCGCTTGACGATCAGGGCGACTGACGACAGTGTGCCGCCTGTGCTGTTGAAGGCCATGGAGGAGAGGCTCGCTGCCGGGGCGTCGACGGTGCAGGAGAGGCATGTGCCGCCTACTGCCAGCGAGATTTCGGATTCGTTCCGGAATATAATGGTTAGGTGACAAAGTCATCCTTCCTTTGTGGGTGGAGAAGGAGGGTAAACAATCAACAATGAAAGGCGACTGTTGAAAAGATGGGACAGAATCCATGTTTATAAGCTGTTTATTACCATGATGGTGCATCTTGGCCTCTGTAGCAGCTGCCATTGGGATGGGGATGTAATTGACAATGAAACGAGTTACTGCAAGAAGTTCTTGTCTCGGGAAATTATCATGGCATGTGATGGCTTGCTTAAACAGGTCATCAAGTGGAGGGCGAGGATGGAGGTGGCTGGTGACAGTGTGGTGGGCGGTAGGTGGTGGGCGGAGGTATATAGGTAAGTCCAAGTGAACAGGTCCTCAACAGGAACCACTACACTGTCAACGGCGTTGTGGTGTAGCGGTTCCAGCGTGGGCGTAGAGAAAATACCTGGACGACCTCTGGTCGACGAAAGACTGTCCTAGACTGCTGTCTAGGCTTGCACGCCTGCCTCTCTTTTTTTGGGTTCGATTCCTCGATCAACCACACTTTTTTTGTTTCTATTGCTTACGTACTTTGTACTTTATTTACACCGTCCATTTACGCCTGATTATACTTCGTAGAGCCGCCCAATTTCTGGTCAACGAATTTCCATCGCAGCCATGGGAAGCTCTCCTCCATCCACTCCACCATCAAGGGCCCCAAAGGATGATGAGCGGCGATTGAAGGACATTACCTCACCTTGCGAGTGGGTTGAGGACTATCATCCAGGTGGCTACCACCCCGTCCATCTCGGTGATGTCTTCAACGATGGCCAGTACAAGGTCATAAGGAAGCTCGGTGAGGGGTCCTACTCGACGGTATGGCTGGCGCGAGACCTGAAGTAAGCTTTCTGACCCTGGTACATGCGACCGTGCAAGTGTCTCATTCCTTCTCAGACACAATATATATGTTGCTTTGAAGATTCTCGTCTCTGAACTCTCAGAACCGACAAGAGAGCTGGAGATCTTGCGCTATCTCGCCAACACCCAGCCAGCGGAAGGGGGCCGGTATATCACGCAACTACTAGGCGAGTTCAAGCATCACGGCCCCAATGGTCTCCACATGTGCCTTGTTTTCGAGCCTATGGGTCCGAGCGTGAACTCCATGGTCTATGAACTGCCCCAGTTCAAACCGCGCAAGATTTGGATGAACGTCCGCTATCCGCCTCAGATGGCGAAGAGCATTCTTAGACAGTCCCCTGCAGGCCCTCGCATTCCTCCACGAGAATGGGATCTCCCATGGGGATTTTCAGCCGGGAAATATGCTCTTTGCTCTTGATGATATCAACTCAAAGCCCGAGGACGAGCTCCGACAGGATATGCAAGGCGAATCCATCTCACCCCCGGTACAAAGGCTAGACGGAAAAGATGACCCATGGGCTCCTCGCTATCTCTGCGTCGCGCAGCCGTTGGCGTCCTACACCCCATACGCGGACGGTTTCAAGATCAAACTATCCGACATGGGCGGCGGTTAGTAACTCTTCCGCCACTATTCGTGTTTTCGAGAGGATCTTTTTCGTACTAAAAGTTCAACTAAAATAGCATATTTCTTCGCCGACCCGCCCTCAAAAATCATCACTCCGCGCGGCCTACGGACTCCCGAGTCGGTCCTCACAGGGACTATCAACAAGACGCTCGACGTCTGGAGTTTTGGCTGCCTTGTCTTTGAGCTTATTACCGGATTGCCTCTTTTCTGTATACCAGGAACCGGGTTTGAGGATGATGAGCATCTCCTCCAGCTCACGGCCCGTCTTGGCCCGCTCCCCGACAAGCTCTACCAACACTGGAAGACATCTTCGCTGTACTTCACACCCCGAGAGGAAGCTCTACAACTGCCAGCTAGGCGGGGTTCCGGAAGGCAAAGAACCACTCATGGTACAGGAAAATTCAATGGAGGAGAGTTTTGACGAAGCGGCGCCTGAGCTTGACGAAGAGGAAGCCTGCAGAGTGAAGGCGCTCATTCGGCGGATTTTGCAGTATGATCCGGCAAAGAGACCTTTGCCTGCTGAGATCTTGCGCGATCCTTGGTTCTGTGAAGAAGGGTCGGCCTTGTGAGGTAGATACTCAACTGGGATCAATACATTGTCCACTTACACTACGGCTAGAGAGCGGGAAGAAGAGCAAGCCAAGACAGGAGGCAGGGTTACCTTAACAAGGATGGTACGGGTTATGCTTAATGTAAGCTGGTGCCAAGCTCATGTCTGCCCCGCATGTGATGATCAGGTGGCTCGTGCTCTGTAGCTCTCTGACAGCATGAGCAAGGGGCCTTTCCCCAGCTCCATCCAAACGGAGCCTTGAGAAGGCAGCAACCTTCTAGAAGCAACCTCTACGGCTCCTCAGTTTACTCCGCTATTCAGTCCTTGCCGAAGGGCTCTGGAAAACGTCGGAATCTTCCCGACAAGAAATAGAGGCCGCGGACGACACCCACATTGTTGCGACCAAGCGCTGCGCTTGAAAGTTGAAAGCACCCCGCAGCTCCTCCGGATGCGAATATAAGAACACTCCTGGAGCATCCGACATGTCGCTCAACTTTGTCACTTTCAATCAGGACCACAGCTGTCTTGCTGTCGGCCACTCAGGCGGTTTTCGCATCTACCACACCGATCCGTTTTCGAGGATCTTCAAGGGAAATGACGGCAATGTCTCCATCATTGAGATGCTCTTCTCGACCTCGCTGGTCGCTCTTGTTCTCTCGCCGCGGCATCTGATAATAAAAAACACAAAGGCGAGTCGGCACAATCAACCCGGTACTTGCAGCATTTGCTGACAATAGCTCACAGCGAGGGTCCATAATATGCGAGCTCACGTTCCCGTCCGCCGTGCTTGCTGTGCGTCTGAACAGGAAACGGCTGGCTGTGGTGCTGGAGGAAGAGATCTACCTATACGACATTTCAAACATGGGCCTGATCTACACCATTGCGACGTCGCCAAACAAGAGCGCTATCTGCGCCTTGTCGCCCTCGTCGGAGCGCTGTTACATCGCTTACCCCGTGCCCAAACCCCGCGAAGACCAAGGCGACAAGCGGCCGCCACATGCGCCCCCTCTTTCCACGTACGTGCCGACGACATCCGGCGAGGTTCTCATCTTCGACGCGGTCACTCTAAAGGCCGTCAACGTGATCGAAGCGCACCGGTCGCCCCTCTGCTGCGTCGCCATGAACAGCGAGGGCACGCTGCTCGCCACGGCGTCCGAGACGGGCACCATCATCCGCGTCTTCTCCATCCCTAACGGCCAGAAGCTTCACCAGTTCCGCCGCGGCACCTACCCCTCGACCATATACAGCATGTCCTTCAACCTCAGCTCCACCCTGCTGTGCGTCTCATCCGCCTCAGACACAGTCCACATCTTCCGCCTCGTCAACCCGCAGGCTGCCGGCGCCGTTTCTGCCGAGCTAGATACAGACACGCCAGGGTCCCCTCGCACAAACCGCTGGTCCCGCTCTAGGAGCATCGACAGCAACGACTACTCACCAGGGAGCAACGCGGACTCCCCACGGAGCAGCGAAACAAACGATTACACCACCACCACCATGCCGCCTACAAACGTCGGACGGAGGCAAAGCGGGACGTTTGGGAGCATGCTGCGGCGGTCATCACAGATTGTGGGCCGCAGCGTGGCCGGCGCCGTCGGGTCCTACCTGCCGCAGTCGGTCACCGAGATGTGGGAGCCGCAACGCGATTTCGCGAGCATCAAGATCCCCAAGGAGAACCACAACAGTTCTGCGACGTCGGCGTCGGCCCGCGCTGATGGCTCTTCTTCAGGCCCACTCCGTAGCGTGGTGGCCATGAGCAGCAGCTCGCCGCAGGTCATGGTGGTGACGAGCGACGGCGGGTTTTACGTGTACAACATTGACTTGCAACGGGGCGGCGAGGGTGTGCTGGCGAGGAAATACACGTGCGTTCTCTCTCCCTGACGTGATAGTATCTGATGATTGTGAGACCTGACTTATGCTGACATGGGTTTTTGCTTGCTCTAGGGTTCTGGAGGGCGACGATAAGCTGGATGTCTCCGGCTATGGACTTGGAGGGCCATAGGAACGTCTCGGCATCTCTGACCAGGGGGACGACTCTGCTAGGGACACCTCCGGTGAAAAGCAGGCCCCGGGTTGACTCTGGCAGCTTGCAGTCCGTGCCGTTTTATCCGAGTCCCAGCCCGGGAAAACGAGCGAGACTTGACGGAGTCATGGCGATGGCGCGCCCTTGGTGATATGCCGGCCCAGAGCGACGACGAGCCGTGGGAGGGCAAATTTTAGCGCCCTAAGCAGGACAGCGTCAATGTTCCTCTTAAGTCCTCAGATTTAGGCGACAGAGGGATAAGGGCCAGGTCAAGGCGGATCGTTGCGGAAATCATATATCCAATAATAAGGGAGGGAACAGCGGACGGCGCGTTGTAATTTTTGTCTGGTGAATGCATAGCGTTTGGCGTTGTTTGACATATTGTCTCTTATAGCAACGGCTTGCGGGTGGCTTGGACGGTTTGGCGGCAATCAGCGACAGGGGCATCAAGGCACACTGGGCTTGGGAATACACTTTCGACTTCAAATGTTGCCTTGCACCCCAATGAATAAATAATACTTAGTTACACCTTGAAATCGTCCTCGAGCATCAATTCTCCTCCATGAAAGAGAGGGAATGTTTAAAGGACAGAACGCTGGCTGGGATACGAACCAAGAACAAACTGAAGAGCAAATACGCTACCGGTTGCCCTTGTCCTTCCAACCCACCGCTGCTATGACAGACACGACTTCAGAAGAGAAACCAACAAAGCATGGCAAACGTCCAACAATCAAGAACATGAAAAAGAGCAAACACACCCAACAGCCCAGTGTAGTTTCCCCTAGTTGATCACCAATAAAATGTCCGACCCTGCCCAAGCCCAAGCCCAAGCCCCAGAAACACTTCTATCCAAGGATAACCCAATCCATCCCGCTCCAAGAAAACCGTCAACCCTCAACTGAACCGAAATTATCTCACAGCAACGCTAATAACGCCTCACCAAAGCCGAATTCCCATTCCCCATCCAAGCCTGTCAGCCAGACCCAGGGCCGGGGACAGAAACCTGGAACTAAGAAACGGAATACAGAGAATAAGACATGAAGCTAGAACGGAAGCCGTTGTCGTAACTTTGAAAAGGGAATACAAGAGATAAACTTCAACAGAGAGGAATGAAAAAAAGAAGACGTTGTCGTGTGCGATTCGTCAAGCCGGCGCAAGTCGCGCAGACCGTATGTAATAAATAGTAGATTGAGGTCGAGTTGGGTATGGTGTGATGAAGAGGAGAATACTCTCTCTGCGTCGAGAAGCCTGCATTCGAGAAATATTTGAAACAGAAAAGATGAAAGATCCAAGGCTGTGCAAATCAGTCGAGGTTGTTGTAGGTAGTTAGCTCGGCTGGGTCGTCCACCCCCATGGATCTGTCATTCCAACACGGCTTGATTGACGAGAGTTGGTTGTTACCCTCGGCGTTTGCTTGTCGTCCAACATGCTCGGGGAACCGCTGGCTTGCTGATCATGGGGTCCATTAAACCAGCTTGCGATACCCCTTTTCGCGTCGGGCAGGGCCGGCGTATTCCAAGCGGCTTGATCGCTCGCACCAGGCGAGTAGGGCCACTTGGTCCGCTTCGAACCAGGCGCTGCTTAGGTAAAACAGAAAAGTGACAACGACTCATCATCTAGCATAAGGCCGGTTCATCAATGCGACCTCGCGGGCAATCTCGCCCCATTCAAGCTCTCGCTTGAAGCCGGCACCACCACCACCGCTACGGGAACGGTGGAGCAGCTCCTCCCACTTGAGCAGCTCATACGCGAATCGGAGGTGGGGCTGGATGATGACATTCAGGCGGCGGGCGCGGACGAAGCAGTAGGCCCGCGGGAATGACATGCCCAGGCTGCGCATGACCTCAGCGATGCAGATGGTGGCGCTGCGCGAGACACCGACGCGGCAGTGGACGAGGGTCGCGGTGCCATTTCTGCGGCCACGGTCTGGGCATGGCAAGTCAGCAAACTATCCCATTCAATGGGGGACGAAGCGCAGAGAAACGCACCAATAAACTCCAAACACCGACCGAATTCGTCCGTCAGCGGGTCGATCCCGTTGTCCTGCACGCCCTTGACCACGCAGGTATTCTCCACGCCCCACTCCTCCAGCTCGCCATCCCTCCACATAGCCGTCTCGCCAACGCTGAGGATCTGCCCTATTCCAAGCGCCCGGAGCAGGTCCGGGTTGTTCGCGTGGCCCAGGTTGCCCAGGTACATGTAGTCCAGGATGCGGCTCGGGAAGGAGCCGTCAAAGCCGCCAAACCAGCTCGGCTCATTCCGCGCCAGCGCGGTGATGTCCGACAGGCTCTCGCCATCTGGGCGCGCGGGTGACTCCTGCAGAAGGCGCGGGGTCAGGGAGGTAAGCAGGGCCACGTCGGAGGGGTACGCAAAGAAATTGCGGCCTTTGGTCGTGTGCAGGTCGAGCCAGGCTTCCGGGACTGGCTTGCCGGTGCTGAAGCTGTAGTAGGCTATGCCGAGCATGGAAGACTCGGTGTATCCATCGGCGCAGTGGATCAGGATCCGGCGAGGGCGGAGCTGCAGGGAGAGGGTGCAGTCGGGAGATTCCAGCATGGGTACAATGTCGCCGTCTCCAGCGCTATCCTTGGCGGTGGATCCCCTGCTCGAGACGGACGGGTGGGTCCCGTGCGCGAGATGCCAGATCCACTTGCACGTCTCCAAGATGCCGTCAGCCTCGGCGTGGGACCAAGTTGGAGCGAGGATGCTTCCCGAGGAGGGGAAGTCGACATAGAAATGCTTGCCAGACTCGATATCGGCACCCTCGGAAATGGCCCGCAGTGCGCCAGGGTTGAACCGCCCTAGGTCGCTGCACTCAATTAGGACGTCAAAGGCCTGCTCGTCCTCAGACCCAGGGTCGGGCGTCGGACCTAGCCACACGTTGTGGGAGATCTCAGACGCGCGCGTCATCTCGTACATCTCCCGCCTCTCTTGGTGAAAGAAATCGAGGACATTCCCCGTGATCTGGCCGTCCGAGTTGACCGACACAATCTCCGGGTGCTTCTCCTCGAACTCGGCAAAGGGAGTGACGCAGATAAAGGTGTTGTATTTGGGAAGATGTTGGCGTTGGGCCTCGTGCTTGTCGCGCCATCGCTGCTGGGCAGCGGCAATGTCCCAACCCAGCTTGCGCACGGTCGCATCGTCGTCGCCATAGACGATGATATCAGACGTCATGGCCGATTTCGCGGCCTGAATCTGGAAGTTGCGCACCGAAAAGCCCTCCTTGGGGTCGACCTCGAGGAACTCGGCGGCAGCTCCCCCAAGTTGCAGGAACTCATGCGGCGCAATGGCGCCCTTTAAGCGGGCGACGTTTAGGTCTCCATCGGCCTTGACGACGGCTATGCCGCGGAGGCACGACGGCGTCTTCCTCAGAGCGCGTTTCCGGGCTATAAAAAAGGCTTGCTGGATCTGATTCGCCGGATGCAGGCCGTGCAGCCAGGGAAACACCCGCGAAGGATCTGCCAGGGGCTGTCGAGCCCGGTAATCCAGGGCGGCGGCGACTTGGGCGGGGCTGATCTTGTAGACGGATAGGCGTCCCAACTCGATACGTGTGTAATTGTTGGGCGGGAACAGCAGCGACTGCTGCTGCTGTTGCTCCTCTTTACCGGGAGAGGGCGGCGGCGTCGTAGGTTCCTCCTGGGGAATAGGGCCAGGAGGACACACGGGGATGTGCTTGTTCGGAACGGCAGCGGGGCATTGCGACGGCTGGCTTGGAGGGATGTTATCGAGGGTGATGGCCGACGCGAGGGAGCTGATGGTGGACGAAGAACGATGTGGAGCAATAGGTCGAGAAAGGGCAATCGTTGCCATCATGGCCGCGTTGAGGGCCAGCGGGGAAAATGCGTCGTCGCGTCGAACGAGCCGTGTTGTGTCGCTTGGTGAAAGCGATTGAGCAGCATCGACGCCTAGGAATTCGATATCGATATCAGCACCTATGGGAAATACACGGGTGAATATCGAATAGGTTCTCTGGCGTTTCTTAGAAACGTGTAACGGAGGTTGACGGGGTGGTCGAGAACATGTCCCCCCTCAAAGTGTGAGGAGGGGAAGCAGAGGCACCTTATCGAGATCCCTGTCTTAACAAGGGAGTCTTTTGGGGTGTCTGCAGAGAGCAGCACACACACAGTGCAGCGCTTTTGCCGCAGATAAGACGACTGTGGGACGGCAATGGCGTCAATCGAAGCACGGAGGAGGCCAGGGCTTGCTTGTCACTGGTCCGACTACACCACCTCTATACGCGGGATGTCGGAGAATAAAGACGAAGCGGAAAATAACCTGGAAATGATTGGGAATGGGAGAATAGAAGTAGCAGAAAGCTTCGAATGGGAAATGACGTTGGTAAAGGGAAGAAAGTGGAAAGTAGAGAAACAAAAAAACAAATGGGAAAACCGAAAAAAGAAAAAAAGAAAGATCAGCCTTCGTAGGATGCACAGTGGTTGTGTCGTGAGGGGCCGCGACCGTTGCAGATACTCTTAACCCTGCGTTGACTACCAGTTGAATGCTTCCATTCTACGAGCATTAAAAACCCCAACCTACTCCTTGTAGAGGTGGTTGAAGTGGCAGAAAAGCAATGAATCTGGTTCATGCGGTAATTATCGCTAGGTTAAAGATCACGGTGCTTATCGCTCGTCGGGACTCGTTCGTCTTGGCCTGATCTTAAAGTCGGCGACCGGACGGGAGAGGATCGTCATGGACGACAGGGGATCTGTATGTACATACAGACATACATTGCTGGCTAGGTGGCTTGCAATTAACGTGATGTATTGTCACACGTAAGTCCTATTGTCCTTTTCGCAAGAGACAGCCGCGATACCTCGAGTGTGCGATCTAGAATTTGCTCATCAATCGAAAATCGATACGGTTGAGCCCAAGGACTGGAAGAGTCCCCTTCAACCATCGCGGGAGAAGGTCCACCTCCCGCTGGACGCTGCCTCAAGGCTGCTTAGGGCCCCACATTCCCCGGGCAGATCTGTCCAATAGAATGCATGGCTCCACTACAAGCCCGGTCGCCCTTGGCTGTGGGTCCAGTCAAGAGGATCTCACAATCAGATGCATTGCAGGAAATCCAAGCACCTTGCGTTAGCATAAGACCAGTGGCCAATTCAAAGCTCCCATCTTGAAGCCTGCTGCACATTAAATCCGCTCTCAGCAGCACAGGTGCGAGAGCTCTGACATCCAAAAACTGCAAACAGAGCAAGGCCCAGTTTGTCATCAACCACAGCCGCTTATCTCGCGCTCATTTCTCGAAGATGAGGTGAACGTGGAATCGTGGACCACGACCAGTCTGATGTTCGGGTTTGGAACTCCCTCCTCGTTCCAGGCCTGCCATAGCGACCGTCGATCTGGGGGCAATGCAAATCACGGGACTGACCAGCTGCCAATGACACTCGAGCCGTCGATCTCCAGAGACAAGGCATATGATTGTTTCCTCATTAACTGTCCCTGGGAACTCAAAGCTGAAGAGGACTCCAATTCAAACTCCAAGATGCCGTGCCGGAGAATGTCGCCTGCATGGCTTGGATGGCGTGCTCGGACAAGAGCAATATACCTGCGATATTGCCCACGAAACACCTCACACTCGAATGAATCTTGACTTTAATATGTCTGGATTGAAACGGGTGTGGTATCCAGGTCGGTTTGGCATTGCAACGTTGGTGCACCACTGCACGCACCAATTGTGTCAATCGCATTGTGCTGGATAAGGTTGTTGCCCCACTGCGGGGCAAAACCGTCAACTTTTTTCCGCCGCTCTCTCGCCGAGCTCGGCGCGGCGACGCTTGTCCGTTCGGTGTGATTTTGCCTCACCTCCCGCCGTCTTGTGTCTTTCGAGGCGAGTGGGCTCCAGGATTCAAACGTAGCCCACCAACCAGTTTGACGGGCAACTGGTTCGGAAGACATTTCAGCCAACATGTCCAACGGCGTTGTCACAAACGGCGTCTCCAGCCACGCTCAGACGCCGTCGCAGCGTTATCTGAGCACTCGGGGCGGAGATAGCGGTGTACGCCTTTCCCCAGTCCCGGCCTCAATTATCTTCGCTGACCGGTCTGAACACCACAGCTCTCCTTTGAGGAAGTCGTCCTCAAGGGCCTCGCCTCCGATGGTGGGCTCTACATCCCAGAAGCGATTCCGGAGGCGACTCAATGGCAGTCTTGGAAGGACCTCTCATTTGTTGACCTAGCATTTAATGTCCTGTCGCTCTACATTTCGCCCTCCGAGATCCCGGCCGAAGATCTCAAGGACCTTATCCGCCGGAGTTATGCGACATTTCGCGCTGAGGACATCACGCCGCTCGTCCATCTGCAAGATAGCATACACCTGCTTGAGCTCTTCCACGGACCCACCTTCGCCTTCAAGGACGTAGCCCTTCAATTTCTCGGTAACTTGTTCGAGTATTTCCTCGTGCGCCGGAATGAGGGCAAGACCGGCCGGGATAGGTATCACCTCACGGTCGTAGGCGCGACGAGCGGCGACACAGGTTCGGCGGCCATCTATGGCCTTCGGGGGAAGAAAGATGTCTCAGTCTTCATGCTCCACCCCAAGGGCCGCGTGAGCCCCATCCAGGAGCTTCAAATGACGACTGTGTTGGACCCCAACGTTCACAACCTCGCTGTGACGGGGAATTTTGACAATTGCCAGGTAAGTGTGCTCGACAGTCCCTTGTGCAATCGGTATCGCTCACGGCGCGACTCAGGACATTGTCAAGGCCCTGTTTGCGGATCCGGATATCAACTCGACACTCAAGCTCGGTGCCGTCAACTCCATCAATTGGGCGCGCATCTTGGCCCAAACCGTCTACTACTTCTACTCGTACTTCTCCCTCGCGCGGCAACAACCTGAGTCATTCAAGATTGGTGACAAGGTTCGCTTCTCGGTTCCTTCAGGCAACTTCGGCGACATTCTCGCCGGCTACTTCGCGCACCGCATGGGTCTCCCCGTCGACAAGTTCGTCATCGCCACAAATGAGAACGACATCCTCGACAGGTTTTGGAAGACGGGCAAGTACGAGAAGAAGCCGACGTACGGGCCCTCGGCAGAGGGGGGTCTCGCCGCGGACGGTGTCAAGGCCCACGAGGACGGCGTCAAAGAGACGCTTAGCCCGGCCATGGACATTCTTGTGTCCAGCAATTTTGAGCGCCTTCTCTGGTTTCTCGCGTACGAGTTTGCGTCGAGCGCCGGCATGGACGACGAGTGGAACAAGAAGCAGGCCGGTCAGGAAGTCAGCGCTTGGTTGAGCGACCTGAAAACAAAAGGCGGCTTCGGCCCGGTCTACCAGGATGTGCTCGAAGCGGCGCGCCGCACGTTTGAGAGCGAGCGCGTCAGCGACCAGGAGACGCTGGATACCATCCAGAGCTTGTACAAGGAGGTTGGGTACGTGCTGGATCCGCACACGGCTGTAGGCGTTGAGGCCGCGAGGAGGTCGGTAAGGCGTGTGGTGGAGTCAGGGATGCCCATGGTGCCTCATATTTCGCTGTCGACGGCCCACCCGGCCAAGTTCGCCGGCGCTGTGACCCTCGCGCTCAAGGATGAAGAAGGGTTTGAGTTCAACTCAAAGGTCCTCCCCCCCGAGTTTGTCGGCCTGGACCAGAAGGAGAAGAGGGTCAAGGACGTGCCAAACGAATGGCAGGCTGTAAGGGACCTGGTCAAGGCTGAGGTGGAGGAGGAGCTGAAGGGAGCGAGGTGACAGTGACCTGGCGGTGTATGATCTGAAACGAGCCAGTCTAGAGGAGGTTGTGTGCTCTAAAAAGCAAAAAGTATACCTAGCATTCATAAATTTAGACGTCGCGATGCTCGGGATGGAGGAGTACGGGTTGTCTGACCGACTTGGATGGCCAACAGGAAAAGGAACGAAATCAATGGCAAGAGTCCAAGACTCGTTTACATCAATCTCCTGCCTGGCAGTCATTCCAAACCATAACTACCTTTTGCCAATCCGTCCAATTATATTACTAAACAGTGAATGGAGACAAGGTGAAGGGTATCAGAGAGCCGCTTGATTATGAACCCATATCCATATACAAGAACACAACATGTGTTTTGTGTATTACCCGCTTTCTACCCTCCCGCCCTGTCTCTGCTGCTCAGTTCCGGATTTACCATGCCACCAAATGAACAGTAATGCATAAACAACAAAGCAGGCCATGACAAAACTCGAACCACGTGATCCTTCACCCTGACGCCTGGTCATCCTTATACGGGGGACATGGACCCAACAATCATGGGAGTGAAAATACAAGATGGCCACCCGCCACCACCCCTGACACCTTACAAGTCTATGAAACCCTCATTTCCTTTCTCCCCCGTCTCTCGTCTACTAAAGGAAGTAGTCGCCGGGCCCGCGCCGGTTGCCGGGCATGTGGCGCTGGTCATCGGGGACGGCCGAGAAGATGGAGAACTTTTGGTTGAGCTGCGTGTCGACCGTCATGATGGAGGCCACGTTGCCGCAGCGGTAACAGTAGTTTGGCGCGGACCAGACGGTGACGACAGATTTCTCAGGGAAATGCCACTTTTTTGTGTTTTCATCTGTTTAGCACAGGCATATCAGGGGAAGGAATAGGGGAGCGGTGGAAGGAGTGAAAAGAAAACCAACCTTGTAACCCTCATTCACAAGTTGATGCGCGCGGGCGATCGTCTTGAGCCCGTTGACGTGATTAAACTCAGTGGCGACCTTGTCGCCAAACAGCCAGCCCGCGCCGCGCGGGCTGATGGCCCACGTGTCGATGTCCTCCGGGTCGCTCCACACGAGGTCGCAGAAGGCGCCCTCGTGGGGGATCTCCTGGGCGCGCGCGACCACGCGGATCTGGTCGATGGTGCGGATCTCCGGGCTCAGCCCGCCGTGCACGCACAGCACCGTCCCGTCGACGATGGCGGCCAGCACCAGGAAATCAAACACCTGGCAGCAGGCCTTCCAGACCGAGGCGTTGCCGTACTTTTGCTGGCACTCCTCGTAGAAACCGTAGACCTGCGTGATTTGCCGTGACTCGTGGTTGCCCCGGACTAGGACGATTCGGTCGGGATATCTAGGGGTTGGGGGGGCTGGCGGTTAGCTTGCGGGTCCGGCTAGAGTGAGGAGACACCCTGGGCGGGCGGCTGGGTCGGTGGTTCTCTCACTTTGCTTTTAGACACATTAGGAGCGTAAATGTTTCTAAGCTAAAGTATCCGCGGTCGACGAAATCGCCGAGGAACACGAAGCGCGTCTCGGCCGACTGCACACCAGAATCACTAGCGGGTGTGAATTCGGGAATAGTCTCGTCCTGTGCTTCAGCAGCAGCGTCGTCGCCGCCGCTACTGCCCGTGCCTGATACCCCGGTATTCCTAACCTTTCCTTTGAGCTTAGGGTTTGTTATCTCGGTTGGGGGTTCGAGGTCTTCGGAGGTGATGACTGTCGTCGCGGTCATGGGCGCCTGGACGTTTGATTCGCCGGGCATGCCGCCGGCCACACGGAATAGCTCGAGTAAATCGTAGAATTGGCCATGGATGTCGCCGCATATTGTGACGGGCGTTACCACGGGCTGGATGTTGGACTCCTCCATCAAGACTTCCTTGACCATTTCGCAGAGCTGCTTCATGACGGCTTCGGGCAGATAGTGACATTGTTTCGCCTCCTCCAACCACTCGTCCAGGCCGGCGCCCGGCCTTAGATTTGCCGGCCCAGGCTTAGGTACACCAGTCATCGTGTGCGCACGGCTTTTCGCGCAGCTTTAATGGGACATATACAGTAGCAGTTGTCTGTTGGATAACTGTTTGCGGCGGTCGGATCGAAAGACGATCGCTGTAGGAGAGAAGGTGGGCGAATCAGGCCGGTTGTTTGTTGTACAGTACACTACAATTCGGTCATCGGGAAAATACTGCTGCTGCTCCCTGGGGTGTTGTTCGTGTATCGAGGACTTTCTCGTGCATAGACAGATCTCAGACAGGAGCGGGGAGTCCTTCGAATCGCCAGGGTAGGGTGGGGGCTTCCACTGCAGAGCCAGCCTCAGCCGAGATTTACGCGCCCCTAAGCCCGTATCCACAGTTGCCTAGCCTGAAGTTGATGGGCTTACAGCTTAAACTACGCTGTAACGTTAGTGGACTGGAATCCCGGAACACTGAGGTGAGGCGGTTTGCGATTGATAACGTCAAAAACGGTGCCCCACATCCAACCCAACGTTATCGGATTCTGATTCCATTCTGGAGAGCTGCGAAAGAGGCAAGCTGCTCTCCGCAACCCTCACCATTCACACAACTTCCAAGACTACGAGTATTTGACACGAGAATATCTTAAGCCCTTTGGCTTGTGAAAAGCTGATAACTCTCCATACTTCCGGTTTCTTTCTTTCTCTTCACCATTTTCGAGGTGCATGTCCCTTCAGCCCCGCTTCCAGATACCAGGCCGAAAGTGGAATATCATCTCAACTCACGCAAGAAACCCTCGGCCAATGGGTCAGTAACGGATCCCACTTCGTAGAAATTGATCCGCTCTTCGACTCTTCTCTAGCACGCAATACTCGCAAACTGCGAAGCAACTCGATGCCCGCCATGGCTACTGGCACTCCGCAGCTGCTCTCTCGAAAAGCAAACGGCGTCAATGACGGCCCCTCGTCGGCCGATGCCCCAAAAGCCCCAAAGATGAAGGCACCCCCGCAGGGCGAGAAGGTTGTCGTTCGCCGACTGCCGCCGGGTATGACAGAAGAAGAATTCCTCACCATTCTTGGGGATGAATGGAGGGTCGGCGGTGGAAAGGTCGACTGGTTTTCCTACTGGCCGGGCAAGGTCTCACAACAGTCAGTCATCCTCGTACCCGGTCAGCGAAGCAAAAGCGCTAACAACGATTACAGTCCGTCAAAGCCGTCACGGCCGTCGCGCGCATATCTCCATGTGATCAGGAGGGACCAATTGACAGCGCTTTTGCAAACAGTTCAGTCGGCGAAGTGGGAGGATGCTAGGGAGACGTACAACGATCCGGTGCTGGTCTCTCCGCCCACTGTTGAGTTTGCCATCTACAAGAAAATTCCCAGCGAGAAAACGCGTGTCGATGGCCGGCAAGGCACCATCGACCAAGACCCAGAGTTCATGGCGTTCCTTGAGAAGCTGGCGAACCCCGACGCGCACAAAGAGATTCCGGAGACTGATCAAGCGGCCGAGGAGACGGCCAAGATCGAAAAGACGACCACGACACCCTTGGTTGAGTATCTGAAGGAGAAGAAGGCAGCAAAAGCTAAGGAAGCCGTTGCAGCGAAAAGCGCGAAACAACACGCACGACAGGACTCGCAAGGAGGGGGAAAGGCGAAAGCCTCAACCGCGGCTCCTGAAGAACCCAAGAAGAAGCCGAGGGATAGCAAGGGTGATAAAGCACCTGAAAAGGCATCTGACAAGCCGAAGGAGTCTGTAAAGATTCTGACCAAAAAGGCTGCTGCCGCGGAAGCCGCTGCAGAGGCCGCCAAAGCTGTTGCCGCCCAAGCACAACAGAGTGCTCAGCCTAGCACGTCGTCCGGAGCCCAGGAGGTGCCAAAGAGCCGGAGAGCAGGCATCGCGGCTGCGGCCAGGATCCTGCAACGGGACCTGGGCCTCAGTCCGGGCAATGCGCACAGGAAAGCCCGTCAGGAAGCGGCCAAGGCAGAAGCAGAAGCTAAAGCTACTACTAGCAAAGAGACACAGAAGGGCGCCGCTAAGCCCGCTTCTCAACCTGCGCCTGTGACCCCGCCTCCAGCGGCCCCTACTGAAGCCTCGACACCATCCACTACGTCCAAAGCACAGCCGTCTGCTTCGGGTAGATCCAGGAATAGAAAACGCGGAAGCGGCGCCGATGACCGCGCCAAAGCAAAGGGAGATGAGAAGACCGACAAAGGCGCAGAGGCGCCGGCGCCGGCGCCAGCAAAACCTCCGGTTACAGTACTCAAAAAGAAGGAGGCGTCTCAAGCATCACAAACTCAATCGCCGGCATCGGCCGCACTATCAGGGCCTTCTACATCAGCCCCTCCAGCAACCCAAGCAGCAACACCACCTCCTCCATCCGGACCCAAGTCTGCGTCGTCAAAGCAAGGCGGCGGGTCGAAGAAGATTAACGCCGCGGCAACACCCAGCCCTGGAGCAACGCGCGCCTTTGTCAAGCACGCCAATCACTCACAGGGGGTTACAGAGGCTCTCCTCAAGGAAACTCTACAGGTGTTCGGCGCCGTCACGGCCGTCGAGGTTGACCGCAAGAAGGGGTTCGCGTATGTCGACTTTGCAGACCACAGCGGCCTCGTCAAGGCCATGGCCGCCAGCCCGGTCACGGTCGCGCAGGCGACGGTGCAGGTCCTAGAGCGCAAGGATATGGGCAAAAAACCGGCGGCACCGAGCCAGGCGAAGCCCACCGCCGGCCCCGCGGCGTCTTCTTCCTCTTCGGCTCCGGCGGCAGCAGCTCCTGCAGAAAAAGGCCCCGCGTTGCCGTCCCAACAAACAGCGCCGGCCGGGCCCGCAGCGGAGAAAGCTGCTGGTGGCGAGCAGAGCAAGCGTGGCGGACGCCGACGCGGTGGGCGTGGCAGGGATAAGGAAGCCAAGGAGGCTGGCGGGAAGGAGAGCGGCGGTAAGAACGCGGATGGAGGCGGTGCAGGTCCGGCTACGGCTTCAAATGCTGGTTGAGGTTAGCGTGGGTAGGGAGAATCGGTTTGCTGTCTGGGAGCTGGGATACGGAGTGTCATCACTTTGAGACTCAGGGCGGAGGGCGGATGAGGGTTCTGCGAGCGGAGGCGTCTAGGATCGAGTGATTCGCGTTTTTCGCCCGGTTATCTTTTTACCGGTATACCTTAATACGGAATGAAGGGGAGTGCAGTCAGCAGTCAACGGGAATAATACCTACATGATGGAGAGAATGACATCAGCCGGAAGCTGCTTAGTAGCAGACGTGAAGGAAGAAGGGATTGCTGGCTCTACGGTCTGTAGATTTTAGTAGGTGCTTATCCTCATTGAGACTACAGCCGGTTTGCCCAGCAGGAATATGGGAAGTACTGTTCGCCGCACGGGGTTATGAGACTGTATGCCTCACTCAACTGCCGTGTGGTAGTTGCATGTAAACGAGCTGTATATCCCCAACTCTGAACTTGCTACCTAGTTTCCGTCAGGTTGCGCCGGCTGAGGAATGATTGCATGCGAGAGCCAATACTGCCAACTCGACAGCAACCAAGGAAGGATTGGCGTGGAATTGAGGCTCATTGGATTATACACATATGTATCCGTAGAATAAATGCACGTTGCGTCTCAACAACTAAGTCGCAAACCCAAATCTGACTACCTAGCTTCTCCCGAGCCGGAGTCATGTCTATTGCATCCATCCCTATTCCCTGACCCTATTTCCAACGGCAAATGATACATGGTAACCGAGGTTGAACTGTCATACAAAAATTATCCCGTTGCCGTGGATGGTTTGTAAAAGGAGAAAACAAAAAAGGAAGTCTATCTAAGGTCTATCGGTGGATGCAAATGAACCCAGACATAATAACCCGCGATCTCCCATCCCATGCCAGAATCCCCATGCTGTTAACACCTGTCCATCCAACCGATCAAATCAACCCATCATTCATTCCCACATCCCAAGCCGAATCCCCATCCATCCATCCATCCATCCATCCATCGTTTTGAGAGAGGCAAACAGCCCCAAGAGAGAAGAAAACGTAAAACTTTTTTTTATTGTTACAAAACCAAACAATGGGGGTATCGGGTATTGGGTTCAGGAAAAAAAAAAAAGGGGGGGGGGGGGTTTGATTGCACAGCACACACCACATTCCAGTCCAGAAACGAAACCAGCCAAAATTCACACCTCATGGAATGAAACAAACAGACAGGCGTGGGTGGGTAGGTGGCAGTGGGAATCAACAGTCCGGCCCGAGATGGTGGAAACTGTGGGGCATTCCCCCGGCGCGCACAGAGATTGCGTTGTGTTGTGTTCCATGTTGGCGAACGGGCGGGCGGGAGATCCACGGAGAGCTGTGGGGCTCTCCCGCCTTTTCGGTTCGGCGGTCCAGGAAGAGGATCTCCACCAGAAGACCCGCCAGATCGAACTCCGGTTGTGGAGCACCTCCCCCAAGTTCCCGCAGCGGAGAATCCCGCCTAGCCAGGCTGAAGCGGAGGTTGGGAAGGGAAGGGAAACCTCGAAAGGATGAAAAATCTTGGCGCCGAACCCGTCGACCGCAGTGGAATTCCCCCACCACCAACCAATTGTTTGTTTCGATGCTGCTGGGACATCAAAACGGACCAGACAAGACAAATGCGACGTGACGTGATGTGACTTTTTTGGTTGTGTGCGACCGGTGGGGCTGAGAAAAGCCGGGTTGAGGGAAATCCTTCCTTCGTTGGGCTGAACCGAACCGGGGGGAAGGGAAAAATTTTTTTGGTTGATTGCGGCCCAACGCACAAGCACGCGGCCCAACGAGGGGGAAAAAAGGTGGAAATGGCCGAAACGCGACGTTCGCAGCTGGCCCATCCTCTACAGGGCTGCAGGAGAGGAAGCCATGCTTGGTGCAGGTACCAGGCCAATCGGGTATCTCAAGTGGTGTTTGGGATCAGAAAATGCAAGGTCGCAACCAACCGGAAGTGGTGGTCTTCGTATGTATGTCTGCATGTTGAGATGAAGTTGTTTTTTGTCGCTGCCGACTCAATCACCTTGGATGCCGGACCGATCGGGGAGCTGGGGGCCCACGGTACAGGTCCTCTTCTTCAACGGGGTAACCGCTGTACTCGTCGACAAGAACTGTCGGGTGATGCGATCGCGGGGTGGTGCCATAAGGCTCACGAATGTTGGGAATGCTAGCGTAGGCTGCCGTTGGCGGATAGCCGGTGGTGGTGGTGGGGTATGATGAGTACTGGCGCGACGGTGAGGGAGGCACGGCCTGGGGCCTCGGTGCGCTTTGTCCGAGGGGCTCGATGTAGCTGTCGCGCCGGTTGCGCTGCGTTCTGGATGAGGAATTGCTGCTCTTTGCATCGCTTTCCTCGCCGCGTGCCGACTCGAAACGCTTGCGCAACCGTTCGGTCTCTTCCCGCTCCTTAGCCTTTTCCTTTTCCTTTTCCAGCCGGCGCGCTTCGCGATCACGTTCACGTTGGCGCTCGGCGCGCTCCTGTTCCTTGTCCTTTTCACGGTCGCGCTCTTTCTCCTTGTGTCGCTTGCTGGAGCTCCGACGTAGCTTCTTCTCGTCAGAGGACTCTGACACGGTGGTGTTAGATGTGGGAGGTGACGAGCTGCCGCTCTTCCGGTTGGATTTCTTCAGCCGATCGACTGTCTCCTGGAGTTCGGCATTATGATCGATAAGGTCCTTGTTCTTCTGGCTGAGCGACTCCTTCTCTTGCCGGAGGATCTCGTTCTCGTTCGTCACTGCGCGCACTCGTGCCTTGGTCTCCTCCAGCTCGGTGCGTAATTGCTTGAGATTGCTCTCGGCGTCGGTAAACTTGCTGATCCACTCGTCTCGTTCTCGACGCGATGCTTCGAGAGCGCGCTGGAGATCGTATAGACTGGGGCGGTCCTCATACCCGGAGACTAAGAAGGCCGCATCAGGATTTGACGTGCGACTCTCGCAGTCACTGAACGAACCCACGCCCGAGTCGCTCCTCTGGTGTTCGTAAGACCCACCCGAAGGTGAGTCCCTGCGGAACTTGACGCTTCTGCCGCTCATGTCGGCAGCAGCAGGTAAACAAATTCAGAAGGTTGTATGTATGTGGGTTAAAGCAGCAGAAAAGATGTGTTGTGTGCTGATTTGACCGCCTGCGTGGGAGCGCGCTGCACCGGTGCCCGACTGGTCAGGTATAAGAGGGAAAAAAAATAGGTTGTGTGGGCTCTGGGCGAGGGTGAAATTGGGCGAATCGAGACGGGCAGCCGCCCGTGGACAGTGCCGGACGGAGTGACCAGGGGAGGAAAAGCGGGAAGCAAGGCTGGCCAGGAATGCTGGGTTGTCTCGGGTTGGGCCTCAATGATAAATGACAGCCCAGGGCTAGCCGAAATCGAGGGTATAAGAGAGACCCCTTTTACCCTGGGGCAGGAATAAATTTCGCTTATTCGAGACTCAAAACTCAAGACACCTCGAGGATGAATAACTGAGATTTCGGGGAAAGGCAGACCTCCCACTGTCGGACACATCCGTATTTATTGATTCAAGACTTAGACACCAGGAGGAGGCTGCTGCCTTCGCGGCACCCAAGGATGCAATGTCGCGAAGGGCAAGGCACAAAGCTCCTGCTTAGTGAGCGAGGCAGGAAGGACTCTTTGTTTCTGGGAGGGAACTCAAGCAAGGAGGGGGTGTCAAGGTATCAATCCCAGTTCCCAGGCACAAAAAGGAGTTGGAGTCATACTGTCGTGTGCTGGCTGGACAGTTATTAGGCACCCCGCCTAGAGGACCGACCTCAGGATCGCCGAGGGGGTGGGCGAAGGGGTTCCCCCTTGGGTCCCCCTTCCCCTTCCGCTTGCGTTTCTGTGCGACATTTTGCGCGTCTAGGATGAGCAGGCTCGAACTCCAGCGAGGGAACCAATCCATCGTTCGCATGCCTCGTGGACAAGTACAGCAGTGCGGCAGTGCAGCAGCCACATTGCAATTCCATCTGTGGCCTGATACCTAGGTGGCAGATAGCAAGGCATTTTTTTCGTCTGCGCGGGTCCAACCTGACACCTGACAGGGACCCACGAGCCTTTGCGCCAAGCCTCCACTCCGGATGCCTCCTTTCACCGAAAGGTTTTCGCCTCTTTAGGGTTTGTTGCGGTGTCGGCGGCAACAGAAAAAACGGGTCAAACACGTCGCACACCTGGAATACCGCTGGCTAATACCCTATAGTTGCGGGAGAAGAAGGTGTGTCGGGTCTCACTCCCGTTGCTCCCGCCAGCAACTGTTGTTCAAGTGTAGGTGGGGTGTGTTTAGCTAGACCCTCAACTCCATACCCCAGTCGGCGGTGAATGGAGGAGGAAACGGAGCCATAATTGCATACCCCGGATCTTTTCCCGGACGCCGCTCCGCTTCTTTTTGTTGGCGGCGGCCGCAAAGGTGAGTCACCGCGGGCATGATGTCTCTTTCAACGCATTTGCAAAGAGGCACGGATTCGATTAGGGCGCTCCCTTTCAGCTTGTATGACGCCTGTCAGGCTAGGACCGCAGCGCCGCTTGCTGCCAAGAGGAGACCGAGGATTGCGAGCGGTAGTGTATTGAGCAGCGTCTGAGGTGAATTTCGTTACTGGCAATTCAGGAGACAGATAAAACCAGGCATGTCTGTTGGATTATCGCCGAGTCTCTTGATTATGTTGGTGGCGAGCTGTTGCGCGCGCCGTTCCTGCCAACCTTCTAGTTTGCTGCTGCGGTATCAGCCTGCACCGTTATCTGCACTCCTGAACGCTATCATTACCACCATAGGGATCATACTGTACCGAGTATGTAGATAATCTTCTGCTCAGTTCCGGTTGCTTCTGGTAGAGTCCATCAAAGACTAGCTTGGATTTCGCTGCCTTGCGGTCTGCTCCATCCGCTGCAGTGTTATCTCCCGGGTAGCATCTGGATCGAAGGAGAATCCAATGGCCAATGCAAGTCATTGTAGCTACCTGGCGTCGAGGACAACTACTGCAGGTCGCAGCCCTACCACAGGCTGCTGGCCGATTTGTCTCCAGAATGCTCCACTGAGACGAACTGGTGATCAGTCTCGCCGAGAAATGGCGACCGGAAGATCTCATGTGGTGTTCTGCAGCAGCGGTCGGGTGGGGCCGCTGTGGGTCGTCCACTCCCGCCCTATCGTTTCTCGGACTGTCAGAAGGCATTGACTCATGAAACGAGCACATCTGCATTTTCTGCACTGGTGAAGCTCTGCCGATTTGTGCATTTGCCACGGCCAGAGGTGTTGCTGCGGGGAAACACATCCGTAGCTAGGCATCAAGCTCGGCATTGGCATCTTTGCCAAAGGTGAGCATTTGCTATCGCCGGCCGCTCAAAAGAAAACCAATGCGGAACGCCGTCCCGTGGGTAATTGAGATATTACTGTAGTACACACTTATATTATCGGCAATCGGTATTGGCGTCGCCCTGGAAACAACCATCCATGGTCGATAATAGACATGATAGCAGAATTATCGAGGGGAGTGTGGGGGAGGGGCAACTCATCGAGTGATCAAACAATTTGGAGGGGGAGGGGCAGAAAATGCTGCCAAGACTCTCGCCGACAAATCAACAGCGATTTGCATATGTTGCCTCAGGGTTTACGCAGCTGCGCAAGCAGTGCGCGCACCATCTGGGAATTGTCACCATTACCGTATCGGGACTCTCATCAGTCTACCACCCCCCTCGCGACAAACACTACCTTGAAGGCCCATACAGTTCAATGCTGGTTTGTTCGTTAGCGCAGAACTTCCGACAGGGGTCCTGGTCCCAAATTCAAAAAGATACCTCAAAACAGCCATAAACCACAACTCAACGCAGAAAAATAGAGCATCTAGTAATACTCAAAAAGGTGGTTTTATCCAAAGACTACTTGCAGGCGAAAAGTGGCTGTTTTGATGTTGAGATCTGAATTTTTAGGTTGATGCTTGACTTCAAGTCAGGCGCTAGCGAACAAACCAGGGGGACATTGGCCTTCGGAGCCGGGATGCCAAGCCGCGTTTAAACCCGGTGAGACAGTTTTGCGTACTGTACTCAATCGCCAAGAAACGGTATGCTCCACGACATGAGGTGCGGCGACGACACGCTTGAACTTACGTCCATCTACTAGACAAGACAGTATGTGACAGATCCAATCAAACTAGGGGAACATGCTACTGCTGTGGGTTATGGCAAGAGAAGACGCAAACAAATTCCCGCTTTTTCCGATCTCCCACCGTTCGTTCAGCTCGACAGGGTTCGACGACAAGCTTGCTTCGCTCTCATCAGTGTTTCTCAACCCAAGCAAATGATCTGGTTAGGCAGCACGGTAACATCATATGGCTCGCGAATCCTCCTTCAGGCATCTTGGATGGTTTTCCCAGTGTTGACCCAGTAAGGTACCCCCTTATGTAACCAAGTCTCGGGTGTAAACCGACAATCGGCTTACATCCCTCCATGCCCCACTCTCCATCTTAAGACTTAAGGGAGGTATTGGAGGTACTTCCTTCCATGTTACACAAACCCGATTCCCCTTCAATAAAAGTTCAAATTCTATTTTCATACTTGTTCGTTCTATCTATACCTCAATCTCTGGAACTAGTTCTCCCAGCTAAGTAAGGTGGTAGTCTACCGCTCTAGCCTATCCTGCCTGCTAGAGTTCCCTCCTCAACCCTTCTTAACGGGGCTAGATTACGTACACGATCGTCGTCACCTCGGCGTTTCCCCATCTTGGCTGGTGTAAGTACAATACATGGGCCTTGGTGAAGGGCTGAAGGAACAAGGTCAAATATGGAAACTGGCTGGGAAGAGAGCCACCTAAACTTCCAAGGACCGTCTTATAGCCCGCGCTAAACATCCGCTAAGCTTAGACTCAACCCGTGGACGTGTCTTTCAGGTGTTCAGGAATAGCCAGGGCCGCGCTTACTTGTGTACAACTACCTTAACCCCTCAACTAAGGTATCCAATCCTCCTTTTTGCCACCCTCCTCAAAATTCCCAATCAATCACCACCAAGGCAGCAGTTTAGGTAGAGTTCTTACGCAGTAAATTTGTAACTCTAACAAGTGTAAGTGATTTACCTTCTTACCCACGTGTATCGTAGTGTACACACACACAGCCAATTCCAACAACCTCGGATTCAACGCGACAGAAGCTGGGGTGACACCACATGATGTAAACGAAGGTGCTACGTAAGGTAGGTAGGTCCGTTATGCGCGCTGTTCTACGTCGGATTTTATCTGCTAATCCACACAATAGGGCAACTCTCACCGGAAAGTCTCCATGATCCGGGCCAGGCCAACAGACACAGACCGGAAAGGTTCACATTTTGCATTCTTAACAGTCATTGCCAGGCCATGAGGAGATTCTGGGAAGCACTTTCAGGGGTGGTCATATACACTCTGCCTCATTTTATTATCAATTCTCAGCTTCTGTTCCGATCAGTGGCCGTTCTCATGGCGCCCACGCCCCAAAAAAACAAGAGTACTACTAGTATGCAGTCGAGGTGTGTATACCCCCGAACTTTAACCAACGTAAGATTACCCTGAGGTAGTTGTTTCCCTGATATCCCACCCGTCTGGTCAAGGCAGTCCTGTATATCCTGCACCAGAGATATTCCTAGTCCCAATATCCCAGCTATTCGTCTTTGCTGCAGCCCAAACCCAAATCAGATTCTCAAGTAGCCCACGACCGTTATTCACTCCCAGCGCCAGCCCGTGATGTGGGACATTGTTTTGTCTTCCCTTCCCAGCCTTCTAGATAGTGAGATAGAAAGGACCAGAGGAGAGATGAAGATGAGATAAGTAGATAAACAATAGACGCCCAACCAGATAAAGGAGTGCGCAAGAAACTCGTCGTCGTTTTCGTAGAAATATCGTACACGCTTTATCGGCAAAACTTCCCAGGGTGTTTTGTCGATGGCGGAAATCAAGGGCAGTTCTAACCGCGTGAAATGTGAGTATGTGGCTGAACACGACGGTGTATAATGCTGGTACTCACTGCTTCCTGCCAAGTAGGAAAAATAAGATCATAATTCCCCCATACCCCCACGCGAATAGCGAAGACTCCAAAGGAACATAATAAGACAAGGTCGAGAATCCAACATATGTCATCGTTTCCATGACAGTGATGACAGCAAGTCCACCTCACCACCCGCGCCTCAACTGGACCTTGAGCGTGGTATTCTCCTGCACGACATCGTCCATGTTTCGACGCATGCGGTCCAGGCGGCGATGGACGTCTTCGTAGCGGGCGTGGGTTTCCTCGTAGCGACGACGCCAGTCGGCCGCCTCGTTCTTCCACCTCTCCACCTCAATATGAATTCTGGCGGCGCGGGCGTCGAGGGCCTCGCGCAGCTGGCGGCCGAGGTCACGGATCTGCGCCGCGAGGTCGGCGTTCTCGACCTCGAGCCGGGCGTTTTTCTTTCTCAGATCCTTGAGCTTGCCGTCGCGCCGCGCGTCCTGGTCCGAGTTGGCGTCCAGCGACCGCTGCAGGTCGACGGCCTGCTCGCGGTAGTGCTCCGCCAGCGCCCGCTCCCGCTGTAGCTCCTGGTCCTTTTCGCGGAGATCGAGCTTGAGGATGTGGTTCTCGCGCACGAGCTGGTCGTAGGACGGTGCCGGACGCATCTCGGGGAAGTCGTCCGCCAGACGGTGGACACGCTCGGCGCTGTGGCTTCTGCGGTTGTGATGGTGGCCTCGCCCGCTCCTGGTCGGCTTGCTGCTCCCGAGATCAAAGGATACCCGGCGACCGGGCATATAGAAGAATGGGTAGCCCTCCACGGTGGGTTTGGTTGTAGCTGGCGTTCCCTATGAGGGTTGGCGGAGGTAGGAAGCAAGTGGTTCTTGATACGCTTGTAGACTTCTAACGCTTGAGGTTGAACTTGGGTAACGTGGAAGGAGAAGGAGGAGAGAAGTGGGCAGGGTGTGGGGGGATCTCAGAGGTCTTTAAAGGGAGCCCTGATCGAGTATATCACGGGGGCACCCCCATGTGTAAGCAAGCCCTGGGGGTTGGCAAGGTTCAAGCACGCAAGTTTGGAACAGGCAAGGCTGAGACCAAGGTACATATGCGAGTAACTTGACTTGTATGCGGGTGATTCTGCATGCGTTGCGGGGAGTCGCCGCAGCAGATCGAGGTGGTCTGGCCCTGCTTTGAGCGGCCAGGGCAGGCTTGGACTAAGAAAGAGGCCGCAGGCACATGCTGGGGTGATATCTTTCATCCGAAGAAGAGACAGGCACAGGTATGGTAGGAGACATGGTAGGTGAGGCCTGGAAGGGCGTGTGACACCCGAGGTGAGAGGGTTCCCGGGCAGTGTGGAGACGAGGCGCCCGGCAAGGCTACCCCAAGCCGATCACTGAGAAGCTTGCATTGGTGCCTCATGGCATGGAGCAACGTTATGACCTCAGTCACGGTCGGCAACCTCGCAGTTCAAGCGGCCGCAACTGACGCAGTGGGGGGTGGGAGCATGGGAGGGCGTCGATGCCAAGCTGTAAACCCATCCAGAGTTCCGGTACTGCCTTCCATCGTCAAGGCTGGGAGCTAAGGGGGGATAGAAAGACGCGATTCCACGAGGGACGTGTTGGTGATAGGTGCCATGGCTCCAAGTTCCAACAGTCCAGCTTCCGGGTTGTCCTCAAGTGCTGTAGCGGGATTGCGGCGCCAAAATTCGGGACCAGGGGCGAAGCAGCGAAACTTCAGTTGACGATCATTCAGGTCCGATAGTTCCCAACCCAAAACCATGCAGAAAGTCGGTGTTGCGACGTCGGGTGCTGCCGGTGGTTGTTGCGGCGGTGCGCCTCTCATCAAGAGGGTGAGGCGCAGGAAGGTGGGAGTCTGGCCAGGCCCTGGTCAGTGAGGTCATCGTCTCACAGCCTCAGTGGAATGCAGTTGCATAGTAGCCGCGTCTAATAATTGTTAGCGTCCGACATGAATGCTACGACCTACTGTAGTAGATCCAGCGCTTAACATGCGGCAAGGTAGGTAGCTTGAATCTCAAATTAGAACCGCAAGTTCTGCTATGGGAAATTTTAGCAGTGATTACACCACTCTCCCTTGTATTGGCAGACTTGCTGTGTTTCTTGCGGTGGAATCAATCCGTACGCTTACCTATCGTGTTGTATGCGGGAGTTCTTGCAGAAAGTCACCCTGTCCCCACGCCTCAAACCCGTCAGTTTGGGTTTAGCAGGAGGCCCTTGTTGTAGCGGCCTGTTCTGGAGCTCTAGGCACCTAGTTAGCCAATTAAGAGGCAGCCCACTCACTTTTTGTGTAACGTTATCCTTCATGTAACACAAGGGTTGAGAACATTTTCACTACGTTCAGATCACGTTATCTCTCTTCATTCTTCCGCCTGAAGAGCCTGTTGAGATTGAGAATGAGCCTCGTCGCTACACATGGTGATTGTCAGCCGCTCGGGTGTGACGTTACCAGCCCGAAGAAATGGTGGGCTTGGACAGAATTTTATCAAGAAAATTCTCTCTCACCGTTTCTTCACCTAGCTGGCTGCATGATAAACCTTGCTCACCTTCGTGATGACAGATGATTAGAAGCTCAGCCCCAGCTTCAGGTGAGCCACAGAGGTTGGAGCTTCCTTCTCTCAATTGTGTCCCTTTTGGTTTCTGAAATTCGAAGCTCATGCATGGTACCACGGATCATCATTCCATAACTACCTGAGTCCTGAGGCTAGGTGAGGTGTTGATGTGGTAACATCCATAAGGGTCCTACTGTGCCGCCGCGACGCATCAACACCGTGGCGTATTTCAGCTGAGCATGGAATGATATGAAAACCTTGATTGAAGAAAAAGAGGCCGCCTCGTCGCAAGGCTGCGAGTTTACTCTTTGCCGACATTCTTTGTTCCTCTTGCCACGGCTTGACGTCGTTCATCGGTTTTTCGAAGAGCCATTGTTTCAGGCATGATGATTCGGCGTCTGTTTCCCTGCCCCGTGTCCTGAAACTCGTTCGTCAGCCTTGGAGGGTGACGTGACATAGCCACGTTTGCTCCGTCTCACAGGCCGCGGGTGCGCTGCTTGGAAGATGGGACGAGACACCGAGGCATTGAGGGAATTTGCTGCCAAGGACATCGAGGCTAGTTCCTCCGAGGCTGAGAGCTTGGGATATGGATACAGACGCCTTATCGGTTATCGGCTACCGCAAGGCGTGTATCCGGTCTGGTCTGGCCAACATTTCGGCTGATGGCTATGTCACAACTCACAAACGATGTTGTACTGAGTGCGTGGCATCCCGATCGGATTCCCTCGGTTTCTTCTCCTCTTCTGCCCGCTGAACGGCGTCAGGAAAACGGCGCAGACTCCGGGGAACGGGTAGTTGAGGAGGCGGTTGTCTGTGTGAAACGACAGGAAAAGATTGACTGATAGTACTGGTGATATTGCCCAATTGTGCAATGCTGGGAAGGAAGGCTTGCAGATGACAAGCTTTGTAACGCTTGGTAACGTCCTGAGGCAACCTGCACAGTATATCCTGCCGTGCTTCACATACTTACCTCATCACAGGTGTGTTTAGCTGAGCATGCCGTATCGACAATTCGCTCTCTTCCTCTGTGATGGTACCTAAGGATAGGCACCTATACGTCTCGCTCGCTCTCGCTTCGACACACACACGCCGTGCGAGTTGGGAAGACGTACCTCGCCGCCTGGTGAACCCCGTCGATACCTCGTATGGAGATCGCGGAGGATAGTTTCACCATGTACGAAGTCTGCCTGCTCCTCTTCCCACCGTTGGATGTCAGCATGCAAAGTCCCTCGAGGAAGAACGTCCGCCCCCAGGGGTGGGTTGAGAACATTGTTATTCTCATCGGAAAAACGGTCTAGCTTCCCTGTCAACTCAACACGGTAGAGGGCGTCGGCCAGCCCAATCTGTTCAACTGTTGAGACCAGGTGTCCGGTCCCAAGCCCACCGCTGTCGACGGGAGTACGTACCTGGCGCATCCCACGCCAGGCATACCACCTCGGGCCAGACTGATGAGCTTGAAAGGGCATGTCCATGTCATCCACAACGTCATGCCTGACTTGGCATCTCCCCTCCCCGCCGCGGGCCTCGACTCGGTCCGCGACCTAGGCGGCCTTGCCCCCCTGTTCTGCCCCTTCCACCCCGTTGCTTTGTCTCTCCCGTTGGGTGAGTCATTCAAGCGTTGGACCTGAAGATAGGTGTACACGTCGTCCAGAAAGAGTAGGTCGGCAGGACAACCGATGTGTTTCCATGACCAGCCTCTTTCTCGAGCCAGGGGAGGGGGTGTTGTAAGTGGCCGTTGAACCACGCCCTTTTTCCTCCTCGTTGGTTGCGGGTCCCGTACGTCGAGCCGATCTCTGACAGGAAACTAACCCGCCGGATGGACGGTCCCCGGGCCATGCTGCTCAGAAACTGGACAGTAGAGAACCCCAGTGGAACTGGTGCTAGATGCCTTGATATCCAGGTCGTTGTGCTGACATGGAGAGTTCTGCTGCCGCGGGTGAAAAAGAGCCGTGTATTCGGTCGCGTGCCGTTCTTGACCAGTACATGGACGTTCCTTGTTTGCTGGCTTGATGTTTTTGCGGTTTGTCCAGGGCTCAGGAGACCAATCCCTTTTGTCACTCATCACGATGCGTATGCGTGCGTATGCCCAACTTCTCACCCCAACAAACTTCACAGCGTTGATGTCTCCCATACTCTGAATCCACGCCTGCTCTGACATTGTACTGTACATGTACATATGCGAAACCGTCTCTTAACCCAAGCCTCACCGCCGTCAGCTAGGCGATATGTCGATCCTAGGGTAGAGGAGGTATTCCGCGCCGAGTCGCTGTTGTCCTGATGAAATCGTGATATCCGAAGCGCAGAAAACGAGAACCAGACCAGAGCATCTGCAGCAAGCAATAACTACAGTTACTACAGTTGTAAGTGCTTTGAAAGGGCAGCTTCTCTTCAAATACTCTGTTCTATGAATGCTCCCTCAAAGGCTAGGGGGTAAGACTCGCGTCAGCTGAGGTGTTGGTTAGGTAGGAATTCGCAGCTGCGATGGAATGCTGTCCAGGCTCGGCCATTAATTGGTCGGGTTTCGCAGTGTAGGTTAATCTGAGTGGTCATGTCAGGTACCGGTAGTTGAGAGAGCCTATTTGGGCTCAATGTCTCAGTAAATATCCCTAGCTGCATGCAGTCTGACCGAAGGGGGTTTCGTGCTTTCGGTTACGGAGTATGGTGAACAAGGGACGAGATGTGTCATCCAAGGTCAGCAATTCGGAGATAATGACTGACTCGTACAGGCATTCAACATCAGAAGAGCACATGCATTGCAATTATTGTAACAAACCAATGCCTGTCCTGCATTGGCTGGTTCGCGTCAGTGCCTTATGCCAACAATAGATTCCAGGATCCAGACATAATTCATCCTTGAGATGGTCTTCCCCTAGTTGTTAGACAGTTACAGCATACAGTCATATACTCGTATCATCCTCACGAGCAAACCAGCCTTTCCCCAGTGCTTGTGTGTTTGCATGTGCGTGTGCATGTGTAGGCGTTGGCTCGGAACCAGCCCCTTTTACACCTTGCCCCCGCCATTCGTTCTCCTATTTCCCCTTTCCAATCTACCTGATTGCCGATACCCTTTCGTGCCTAGCCTCTGGCGCGGAGATGGGTCGTTTCGCTCAGTATTTTAGAGTGGATCGGCGGAGCAGGATATCGTTATGTTCCAGTGGCCCCTTAATCAAAGATCTTTCCCCCCAGGTTGATGGCAACGCTTTTGTTCTCGGTGTAGTTCGCCAATGCGGCCTCGCCAAGCTCACGGCCAATTCCAGAGCTCTTGTAGCCACCAAATGGCAGGGCGTAGTGGAGCATATCTGGCAACATACATTAGAAGAGCCTCAATCGGATGCATACATGCCTGAACTTACTATAGCAGTTGACCCAGACGGTGCCGGCCTTGAGGGCGTTGCTCACACGGATCGCTCTGTTGATGTCCTTGGTGTGGACGGCGGCAGCGAGGCCGTAACTGCTGTCGTTGCCAAGCTTGATGACCTCCTCCTCTTTGGAGAACTTGGCGATGGCGCAGACTGGGCCGAAGATTTCCTCCTGCATGATCTTCATGTCCTGCCGTACGTCGGTGAAGATTGTGGGCTGGATGAAGTAGCCCTTGTCACCGTGTCGTCCGCCGCCCGTCAAGGCTGTGGCGCCCTCCTCAATACCCAACTTGATATAGCCCATGATGCGGTCGTACTGGAGTTGCGAGACTTGTGGGCCTTGGAAGGTTTCCGGGTTGAACGGGTCGCCGACCTTGTTCTGCTCGGCACGCTTTTTGAAAGCTGCGACGAACTTGTCGTAGATGGTGTCTTGCACGTAGATGCGAGAGCCGGCGCAGCAGCACTGGCCGTGGTTGTAATAAATGCCAAAGTTGACCCAGCTGATGGCCTCCTCAATGTCGGCGTCGTCGAAGACAATGTTGGGCGACTTGCCGCCCAGCTCGAGGGTTACCTTCTTCAAGTTGGACTCGGCAGCAGCCTTCATAATGGTGCGGCCGACAAGGGTCGAGCCAGTGAAGGCGACCTTGTCGATATCCATGTGTGAGGAAATAGCGGCGCCTGCAACCTTTCCAAAGCCGGAGATGATGTTTACTACGCCAGCGGGGAAACCGGCCTCCTTGACGAACTGGGCAAAAACGAGGGCAGAAAGGGGTGTTTGCTCAGCCGTCTTCAGGACAACAGTGTTGCCGGTGGCCAAGGCAGGCCCGATCTTCCATGCCAACATCAAAAGGGGGAAGTTCCAGGGGATAATCTGGCCGCATACACCGAGCTGCAGTCAACCAGGCTCATTAGCTGTGCCACATATGGCTCTGAAACACTGACACGTACCGGCTCTTGCCTGGTGTAGTGGAACATGTCTGGAGAAATGTCGATGGTCTTGCCCTCGATCTTGTCGGCCCAACCGCCATAGTACCGGATGCAGCCAATGACGGCACCGACGTCGCCACGGGCCATGGTAATGGACTTGCCATTGTCGAGCGACTCAACGGCGGCAAGCAAGTCAGCGTTCTTCTCACAAAGGTCCGCCAGGTTAGTCAGGTATCTGCCGCGTTGGGAGGGCGTGGTGCGGCGCCAGACGCCCTCGAAGGCCTTCCGTGCCGCTGCGACGGCAATGTCGACATCCTTCTCGGTAGCCTCGGACACGGAGCAGATGACCTCCTCGGTGGAAGGATTTATAACCTCAAAGGTCTTCTTATCAACGCCCTCAACGAACTCGTTGTTGATGAAGCTATACGGATGCGAGTTTTAGTCCCAAGACACGATAGCAGAGGCCGATAAACGTCTTACAGTCCAGTAGGTTGCTTATAAGGGCCGGTGATCGGCGTCTTGAGCTCGGTGAAGAGGGATGCCATGTTGGAAGACTGAGTGGTGATGAATCGGAGCCGGCTCGGTTTCAAACTGGAAGAAACGACAAAGCAGGGGGGAGGAGACGGGCGGACATTGGAGAGAAACGCTCCTCGGTGCAGCTTTATGTAGGGTCTGGACAAGCATGGCCGGCCCCACGGCCGAGCTGGGGTCAACAAGGGGCTCCTCAACGCTTTCATCTTCGCCCCCGATGGTTCACGTGGATTGGGTTGGTTTGTGGCCCCTTGACGTATGGAACCATGGATATGCAATCGGAAGCGGGGTCAACAGGGTGTGACAAGTCCACTCTATTGTCGAGAGACGGATGAGGGGAAGCTTCTGATTCGAAGGAAGCGTCCCCGTCTGCAAGAACAGACGATCTGTCGCAACCCTGATGTCTGGGTTGGGCCGGCGGACATCGGGAAATCAAAGCTCAAAGACCAGACGCTGCCGGAAGCCGTCAAATGTCTCAGGCAATGCCGCGCGAAGCCGGCATTGATATCCCCTAGCCTAGGTTAGGCCTTACGATATATCATTTCGAGAAGAGAGTCTCTGCCGAGGGAGCTCCAGTTGCCATGAGACCTTGGCTGTGTCAGCTTCCTGGTCGACGTTTCCCTCCGAGACTTGCTTTGTCACTGCTCCAGTTCCACTGCACCTTAGCTAAGGGGGTTACTCCGCCCCCGTTTCCCCGCATCGTGCTTTCCTTTGCAGTGTCCTGTACCCCTCAATGCTCCAGTTCTACACTACGCCGCGTTGAACCGGTGAGCTGGGCCATCGTCTCGCGTGCACCTGCCAGGAGAAGTAAGGCAAAATCGTCCATATCCCTATCGATCGAACGATGGGAAGCAAAGCTGAAGGATCCGTCCAGACTCGCTGTCGGCCAGATGGAGACCACATATTTTGCGTCATGGGCTGCAGAGTACATACACTTACTAAGGTACTGTAGTATCCACCGTTGCCGAGCTTCAGACCCCGCATTCCAATGCCGTCTTCGGCAAGGTCGCTTCGGCAACTTCCTTCAACCGCTTTCAACGCTCCGGGTCCGGCTTCTCGGATTGCAATTGGATGCTGTATACTCCGTAACAGTATTCCCAAACGGGGTGGATTCATCGCATCTTAGAATAGGGGGCAGAGCTCGGGGTAATGTTGAGCGAGTGCTTGTCATCAAACCTAAGCTTCTAGTCCTGGACCTCCAAGTGCTTTAGACCTTTGGGCTGACAGGCTGACATGCGCTAAAAGGATGGTGTCGAGTGTGAGTGTCGACAGCCTTCCCTTCCGCCTGGCCGGCATCCTTCCGTCTCTCCGAATATGCAATGAACTGTCAATGCCTTGTGCTGAAAATATCATCTCTCTGAGGCATCGACAAGTCCATCCGCAAAGAAGTCAGGAGACAGTTAACGGAGTGCCAGCTCAGGGAAGAAACAGAAGTGGCATCATATCGGAAGTATCATATTCCCAAGCGTAAAGTGATGACCTCTCGAGCAATTGGAATATTTAGTTCTCGTCGAGAGTCGAGTTCAGGTCACCAAGTCTCGCCATTTTCTACTCCTCATACCCAGCTCGATGCGATGAGACTGAGGCCAGTGGAAGCTGAGTAACTATATGTATGACAACTCGAAGGAGTGCAACAAAACACTGGACAATATCCGACGTTTTAGGGAGCAAAGCTCCCGAGGTTGTCGATGCTGTCCACCGAAGCGCAAATCTCAGTGCAGAGATCAAAAACCAGTTCAGTTGGAAGGCCGTCGTCCATGCCGCCGTCTGAAGTTCAAGCCTTTGATAGATGCCTCACGCTTCAAATATCCGGCGCATAGAGCAGTCGAAGAGACGTCGAAGCCATCGATGTGACGTGTTGGCGGAGATGATGAAGAGAAAGGAGAACCCTAGAAACACTGATATCCTACTTAATGGTATACTATATATCCGAAGTGGGAATACCGCTCCTTTTCTCGACTGATCCAGCTTGTACCGTCGGAGTAGTCAAGGCTACCTTGCTTCAATTTCACATGAGGTTCGCTACATCAAGTTTTATACACTGAAGCGACAGTTCAGTTCAATTCAGCTCAAGTTTAGGTTGGGAGGTTAGACAGTACAAAGGTACGGTATGGGTACGGTAATGCACTGTGGTAGGTCTGTGCGTTTTGCATCCAGTGCAAGGGGTTTTAAGACTCGGCCTGAAAATGTGTATCGGAGCCGGGGCAAAAAATAAGGGCAACTTTGGACATTGGACGTCTCGAAATCTTCGCCGCCATCTCTCAGTAGCCGCGCAGACAGGGCGGCATCGACGATATATCCTTTCCAACTGCGGTAACAGCTGTTTTACTCGCTTCTAAGCGCCATTGACCGCCTGAGGATCCCTCCAGCGCCGCCACTGCTGTTTTCAAGCGAGTCCTGGTTGGTCCAACTGCCTAGGGTGGTTTGCCCCGCGATACGAATCAAACCTCAGAAATGTCGATAGAAGAGTCAACTCGATGGGCCTGACAATCTTACTTCAAGCAATATGGCCGATGCATCACAATTAGAGGCGGAACTTCTTGCCGCCCTGGGCGCTTCAATTCCGCCGCCAGACAACTCTGCCTCTCCCCAACCAGATGCGTCCCAACCTCAAGTTCAGCCTGCTCAAGATGCAGTACTCGAGCCGCCTTCCACTCTTACCGGCCCAGATGCTCTAGACAAGGCCCTAGAATCAGCACTTGTCTCAATTCCCGCTCCTGTTGCCGATCCCTCGCTCACTGCCCCTCACCCCCTGACCGATGCTCTTGCAAATGACGAATCAAGCACCAAGGTCTCGAGCGCTTCACTTCCCCAGCCTGCCGAGCAGCTTCCCCCTTCCCAGAGCGATGCAGCATTGAATGGGGCTTCTCAGCCCTTGCCCGTCACCGACTCCCTCCCTGCCGCCCTGGAAAACACCGCAGTACGGTCTCCGAAACGAGCCAGAAGTCCGGACAACGACGATGGGGCTGCCATCAAGCGAGTGAAGATGGAGCAGGGAGAACCGAAGGCGGATAAAGCGGTTGAGGCACCAAACCTTGACCTAGCGGCAATGCTGAACGATGCTCTTGCCGCGCTCGACCAGCAAGCGAACCCCCCCAGCAGTGATATTGTGATGCCCGATGCGCCCGCGCCGCACGCAGCTGTTCCCATAGGAAGCATGGCCGAGACAGAAAGTCCAGAGAACAAGATAATAAAGGTCTCTACCAACCCCTTCCTGGTCATGCGCTCCATGAGTCTCCCGGTTTTGGGGAACGTAGCCGTCCAGATCCTACTCCGATTGTCGCAGCAACCCCGGGTCGAGACCGACTCGCTCTTGGCGGACCCCGACTCCGACTTTCGCAAGGCATATGACATGCTGAGGGACATCTTTGGAGCAACGAGACGGGCTTTCTCCGATTCCCCGCTACTATCGCCAGACGAGCTGGAGATTACCGACTCCGAGGACCGCGAGACAATACGCATGTCGAACCTCGCTGCAACGGCGGCGAGTGGCCAGGGAGCTCATGACGTTCCGCTGAAAGACGTACACGATGCCTTCTTCTCCATCTTCATTCCCGAGGACGGAGAATACCGGTCATCGCTCACCGAGTTGCTCCTATGCTTGAAGACCCGCCTCTTCCTGGATGCTCTCAGCGCTGGCGAGCAAGGTCAGGGGCCATCACAGTTACTGGACACACTCTTTCCTGCCGATTTCGATGAGTTATTGAGGCAACGCAGTGGGGAGCTGGTCCTGAGCTCAGATGAGGAAGGACTCGTTGGCCAGATCAAAGAGCGGAGGGATTCTCTCATGAAGGCGGCGGGTGACGAGTCCATCAAAAGTTAGTCGTGCTATGCCGATTCATGCCTCCATTTGCTAACGTATCACAGAATCGTTAGAGGACCAGTCATCTACTGAGAAGTTCGCGGAGTATTTGAGTGCCTTCTTACAAGGCCATCTCGGCGTGATTGTAGATTACGCTGAGAAATACGGGGTAAACATTCCCCTGAAAGAGGAGGAAATTGTCCCTGGACGAGAGACGAGCGCTGCACAGCAGCATGAAGGCGACTGCTTGGCTTCGCTTCTCCAATCTGCCACATCTCTTGACGCTCATTCCGGGGCAGGGACATCAGGCCATCCAAAGGATGGGCTTACACAAGGCCTCCCAAACCAGTCAAGTGGAATGGAAGATGGCCTTGACCTCAAGAAGCTCATTGAGCAGTCGCTTTCTAGCCACATCCCAGAACTGAACACAGCACCACCAGCTGATCACCAACCCTCGAATGGAGTACCCGATATCGACTCCAAGAACTTGGCTTCGCTAATATCAGAGAAGCTGAACGATCTCAACATACCCACCCACGGCTTTCCAAATCTGTCAATGCCGGCATATCCTTCCAATGTGACAGATTCCAGTACCGGTGAGCAGCTTTCATGGCCCAGTTCAGTTGCTTGGACTAACCGTATCGCAGCATCGCAGTCTCCGTATCTCACGCAGTTAAAGCACGCCCATTCATCATCCTATCAACCGTATACCCAGAACACGAATCCTGCAGCTCAATCTGGACCGGCCGGCGAGGTCCTGCCGCCAAACCAATCCTTGCCGACCGCCGCCCTCTATGAAAAGGCTCGCCAAGCCGCCGTGGCCAAGTCTTCCAATACAACGCGGCGAGAAGGTCTGCAATCCACACGGAGACCGTGGACTCCCGAAGAGGAAAAAGCGCTCATGGCCGGGCTGGACATGGTAAAGGGTCCTCACTGGAGCCAGATCCTGTCGCTCTTTGGGCAGCATGGCACGATTTCCGACATCTTGAAGGATCGGACCCAGGTCCAGTTGAAAGACAAAGCGAGAAACTTGAAGCTTTTTTTCCTCAAAACAAACTCGGAGATGCCCTATTACCTCCAGAGTGTCACTGGGGAGCTAAAAACCCGAGCACCCAGTCAGGCAGCTCGGAAGGAAGCCGAAGAGAAAGCACGTCTGAATCTGGAAGAGGAGCAGGCGAGGATTCAGGGCATCATGACTCTAGCTGGCGGCCTGCAGAACAACAACCATCCAATCCAAAGCAGTCCGTCCGCTGCCCAGCCAGCTCCTCGACCCGGCACTGTCATGCCCGCAGTTGGCGCAGTGAACGCGAGCGCGGCGGCGTCCTCATTGTATACGCCAACAAGCAACGTGCCAATCTCTCCTTTAGTGAAAACAGAGAATACAGATCATCACACGTTGCCCAAAATCACAGGTTTCACCCCTATACAGCCGGCACCCCCTCAGGCTCCTCCCGTGCAACAGGCACTTAAGCCAGAGCCGCCATCTTCACCGGCTCAATCGAGTACTCAACATCAGCAGGTGAAGCAGCACCTTCAACCGTCACAACACCAGCAATTCCGGCAGCAACATCAGCAAGATATCCAAAAAGTGTTACAGCAGCAGACCCCACCGCTCCCGCAGCAGCAGACTCCGACACTCCTACAGCAACAGCCCCCAGCACTCCCGCAACAGCAGCCTCCAGCGCACCCGCAACAACAGCAACTGCCGCAACCGTCGGCGCAGCTGAAACCTGAACCCCAATCGCAGACGCAGCTGAAACCTCTATCCCAACCGCAGACTCAAGGGCCAAGCCCAGCTCCGGCGACGCCTCAACAGCTTCAACAGCCTCAAACCTCTCAACCGCCTCAGCCCTCTCAACCGCCTCAACCGTCCCAGCCGCCTCAAACCTCTCAACCGCTTCAACCGTCTCAGCCGCGTCAACCGTCTCAGCCACCTCAAACTGCGCAAACATCTGCTCCGGCAGCCGCGCCAGCGCAACAACCCCAAACAGCCCAACCTCAACAGCCCGAACTGCAGCAGAAGCAATCCTCACCGCCTGCCAGTAGTAAACCCGCCAATCCACCACCAGCCCTCCCTCCCCCCTCCATGCCCCCCAACCACCACTCAACTCTCGACCACGCACAGGATACCAAGCTCTTTGAGACGTTGCAGGCCGCCATCGCGGCCGCCTCGTCGTCGACGACGAGCGAGACGCAGCCTGCGCCTCCTGTTGCTGTGTCTGAGGGTAAGATCAACTAAGCTTCTTGTCAGGGCGTTGGTGTTGTCAATCGTAAAGGCTGGGATTTGCGGATTGTGGTATGACATTGGGATTTTTGATATTAGAGGAAGGGGGGGAATACGGAATATGAGTTTGAAGTCATGACTGCATAGTTAAGGTGTTATGGGGAGGTCGACTTTTTTGCAATAGTCAATTAGCATAGCCATGGCGGCGGTCTTTGGGTTTTCCTCTTATCATATTGCGATGGGTGGCCTGGTTGGTGGATGCTTCGTTTTCGTTCAGTCTTAACTCAACCCCACTTTTCTCAGATAATAGTACAAGATGGCGATATCATGGGACGGCGGAGTGAAGTGGACAGTATTAGAAGATATTAGATACCCGTGCCGAATGCAATATAGCAGCTTTGCCTATATACGTAGTCCCAAAAGCTCTGTTCGCCTAGTCAGATGACAGTGATCCGCTATGCTTCCACTCATCATCTTTATCGAGAGATTGGGCGTTTGGACAATAGGAGCCAGGAGCCTCCCTTGTGGCTAGGTCAGATACCATCTCTCCTGGCCGGCGAAGGGGGAAGGAGGACACCGAAGCCTCCGCTCCCGGTTGCCCAAGGATATAGATGGCAAAAAATTTTGGGCACATTACCAGATTTAGAGCCTATTTCTATCATCATACCATAGATCCCGAAGCGAATAGGGATTTCGATGTTGCTAGAGAGCAGTCACTTGGTTAGATTCTTGGAGGATCTGGATGGAAGTCAAAGATCGGTGGGAAACGCCAAGGCCCCACCTAGTCTCGCCTTGCGGCCCTGAGCTCCCCTCACTGCAGGGGCCTGTCCCAATCTATTTTCCGATTGGCTAGACCCCGATCGAAGCTCTGACCACTCGAAGTCAACAAACAACTGCACCTGCACCCTTGTCGGCTTGGGCAAACAAATGCTCGGGTGAGTTCGGCATCACACACACAAACGCAGCAACATACCAACGTCGACTTTCGAACCAGTCTAGGTTGCATACGACAAGCTGTAACTATCCTCTGGATCTAGAACCAGCAGAATGCCCGGACAGAAGCTCTACCCCCGCGCAACCGTCAAGAAGATTGTCAAGGCTCACTCGAATTGCAACGTGAGCAAGAACGCTGATATCATGGTACACCTATAAACCGCGAACGCAACGCGTTGCCGGAACATATTTTCTGACGGTTTTTTTTTGGGTCGCTAGATATTTCTCGACTATATGCTCTTCATGCAAACGCATGTCTAACTTCAATTGAAATGCTATTCCAGTATGGGGCTGACCTGAACCCAGTCTCGTGAGAGAAGCTGCTATCGAGACCAAACAGGGGGGCGAGCGAGGGATTACGGCGCGCAGCGTCAGAAAGGTCACAGCAGTAAGTGCTCTTGTTATCTGCAGTGCTGATTCCGATGATGTATCGCGGATCTCAGCGGCTCACGCGCTCTTATGACATAGGACTCGCTAGCGAAGTTTAGAGGATGATGTTCAGATTAACCTACCCGCCCCGGGCGGGTGACCTTACACCCCGTGCAAGGAGACATTCATCCCACTTGCAAACGCTTCCGTTCCGACCGGACCAGCGCCAGCCAAAATGGTTGGCAAATTCCGGACGCCTGGCTTTTGTACTGCAATCTGTCGCTGTCGACTACGATGTAGATGCAGGATCTGGACTGCCAAGTCAGTGGGTTGACGGCCAGCAGGAGGAGCACGCGACTCGGCAGGCCCCGTGTGGAGACAACACCAAGAGGTGCAAGTCGATGATGCACGCGATTGAAGCCTGACGGCCAGATTATGGGCAAAGCCCTAAGATATACCTTAGTTTATGCCGTAGCAATAGAGGAAGGCACGAGGCATAAACCCTCGCCGTTGTAGCCAAAGTTTTAGGCAGCTCTGTGTTGTGTTCTTATTGTTTCCGAAAGCTTCTGCTGAGCAACGAGTTGCGGCCAATCGTGGGAGGGGTCCGTTTTTGTGTTGTGCTTCGGAACGCAGCCTGATGCGCACATCTCACCACAAAATTTCCAGACCAGCTTCTTGACACGACCTGTAACAACAACAGATTGTTCTCCAGCATCGACCAATTTTCTTCCTACCAAAACCTACAATTAGATACCTTTGCCACAGCTTACGGCAATCACCCTTTCTAGAGTTTCGAATTGTCTTTCCCCCTGCTCGAGCCAACCGAGCAAGTTCGTCGATCCGCTTGCACATTGCATCGAAAACCCGGCAACACCCAGACAACAAACAGTCGGGTTGCCACCACCAGTAAACCACAAGAAAGCTGCGTTGAGCTTTTGCGCGGAGTTCGAAATGGCATCTTCGACCATCCAGAATCCTCCGGCCCCGGCCGAATCCAAGTCGGCTAGAAAGAAGAAGGCGAAGTCGGAGCGAACTGAATCTCCTGCACCGGCTGTCTCGACTCCGGAGAGGGCTCACTCGGTCTCTGCCTCGGTCGCTGAGAACCAGGAGGACTCTTCCGAAAGCTCCTACATCCGCGAGCTTCAAAAGTGAGCCGATCATGCCTGTGCGACTCAACCAGCCCTTCGTTGACAGTCCTCTACAGGAACATTCGCAATGTTACCAAGAAGATTGTACGTTTCTGCCCAACCCTCGACACACCCGCCTGATGCAATGCTGACAGCATACTTTAAGACCAACATTGCGAAGATCGACAACATCATCGCCGAGCACAGCGGCAAGTCCCTTGACGAACTCGTGTCTCTGAAGATTATCAACGCCGACCAGAAAGCCGCTCACCTTAAGAAACCGATGCTTCAAGCCCAACTCTTCCAGCTCGAGGAGCAGTTGACTCAGCAGAAGAAGATTGATCAGGACTACAAGGCCCGCCTCGCCGAGCAGGAAAAGGCTCTGACGGAGAAGTTTGAGAAGGAGAAGGCGGATATTGTGGCCGAGCTGACTGAGAAGGCCGCCGCGGATGCCCAGGCGGCGCTGCACAGCAACCTTCTTATTCTGTCTCAATTCCTTCGTCTGGCGGCAGCCCGCCGTGTAGAGGGCGCTGATGCCACATCGGATGAGAACCAGGCGCTTGAGGGCGTCCTCCTCGGCGTTTACTCTGGCGACGAGAAAGGTGTCGCGACCATGTTGAAGCTAGTGCAGGGTTCGGATGAGCAGACACGCAGTACTGCTGGTGAACTGCTGCAAACAACCTGTAAGTCGCCCTCTTGCGCCCCACAATTCCTTTTCTGGTGGGCTCTGACTCCCTTCTGTAGTTGCCCAAGTCAAGCAGGCCGCCATTGACCACGCTGCGCCTGCCGTGCAGCCCGCTGAGGCCGAGACCGAGGCTGTTGAGTCCAAGGAGCAGGTTGAGACGGACCCGACCGTCGCCAACGCAGGCCTGACCGAGGTAGAGGAGGGCTCTGCCACGGCACTGACCAACGGCCACGTGCAGCAGCAAGAGGCTTCCTCAAGCAGCGCCGCGCCCAGCAATGCCGACGTGGCCGACAACGCCGCCAACGCTGCCGGCGAAAGCCAGTGGGACATGCCTTCTGCTTCTGCCACCAACGACATGTCGGCGTCCCAGGAGTGGGTCGACGTCAAGATCCCCCGCGAGCCGAGCGAGACTGAGACCGGCCTGGCAGCCACCCCCGCTGCGCCCAGTGCACCGGCCAATGCCCAGTCCTGGGCCGACGACCATCCCGAGCCCGAGGCGGCGGCTCCGGCGCCGGCCGTTCCGGCTGCTGACGACGGGTTCCAGTCCGTGCAGGGCCGCAATCGTGGTGGCAACCGCGAGGGCGGCGGCTGGCGCGGTCGTGGCGGCTACCGTGGCCGTGGAGGATACCGTGGTGATGGTCGCGGCCGGGGCCGTGGTGGCGGTGATGGTCACCGTGGAGGCATGCCCTCGCGCCCGCGCCGTGGAGGCGATCACCGTGGCGGCGGCGATAAGCAGTAAGGAGGAGGGAAAAGCTCCCCCTCTTCTTCTCTTCGGTTGTGAAGCGCTCGGGAAAATACCCTCTCTCGCTTGATCTGGTCTTTGCATCTGGGGCTGTCGGCATGTCGTCGTCAATTTACGACTCATCATTGGCGTTCTTACAAGAAAACAAAACAGCGGCATATGCTATTGACGTGATTTTCGTTGCTTTGGCCATGTGGAGGGGTTATTCAGTGTACATTAGGGTGAGGGCCGGTCATGGGGCGCGGCTGCTGCTCCGAGCAATCAAAAACGGGCATATGACGGATATCAAAACAATCCAAAAATGAAAAGACGGGATGAGACGGGGTTTGCGGCTGGCGTTCGGGATGCAGTGACTGGACGGACGGTCTGCGAGGTTTCATTCTGGAGCGCGGGTCAACTGTCAACAAGAGATGTATGTATGTATCATAATGCGGCCAGGCCAATGGATGATTGTCATGGCTACGTACAGTACCTTGGTCGTGGATGTGGTCGTGATGGATGGATGGATGGATGGATGTGTGTCATCATTCATGTGAGGATGAGGCTAGACATCCCGCTGCTATGGGGTTCTAAACTCCCTGTCTAATCTTGCCGTCTGCGTAATCATAGCACATAACGACAATACCTCTACTCATGAGAGACTTGGATCAAGATTGTCGCGATCGTTTGTTCATTCGGTGTGGTAGTGCACTGTGGACCTGGTGCGAATCTCACAGCGAAGCTAAATCAAGTATAACGTTACCGGTAGTTTCTTTCAAACATTCATCAATGCCAGAGAACACCTTACATCCTAGCCTCGTCCTAAGATTTCCGTATTTACCTGGGTTAGTGTCTTAGCCAGATTAGCAATCCGATCACACGAAGTAGCCAGATTCTCCTCTTCTACATACATGCCATTTGCTGTCTAGAAGCTATAGAGGATGATGGGCAGGTCCATCTCAATATCAGCGTCCATAAGCCTGAGAGTGGTGATGTAAGAAGCAGACATTTCTGCTACGGTACAAGCGTGAACTTATTGCAACGATACAACGTGATGATTCTAAATGCTATTTTCTGTGAATGGTGGGAAGCGGAAAGGACTTGAGAGGGAGGTGTCAGCGACCCTGGTAGGGAAATAAATGGTATTGCCATATTGGTCAGTCACGGTCTAGCCGGGAAGTAGAGGACCTGGAGAACGTCGGCAAGAGGCTGAAAGACGGAAGACGCCGTTATAGTCAGCGTTACTGGCCTCATCAAAAACCCTCACGTGGAGGGATAAGCAGAATCAGAATGAAAATACTAAGTGGTGGTGAAAGCACCAAACATTGAGTTACGTGGTTGAGATTATCTGTGATTCTGGTATCTTGGACCTACCAAGCTAGCAATTTGCTTTGGTCGAGACTACTAGGGCAGATTGTATTGATTCCAGATAGGTGTTGCCACGAGTTGTGTAAGATGGAAAGAACAAGCGCAGGCTGCCGGCAACGAAGGGGGCTAGGTGATGAACTATATGGTGTCTGTGGGTGGGGGTATATAGGGAAGTTTTTGGTTTCTGGTTGTTAACAGAAGCCGGTACGTCATTGAACCATTTCAATGGCGATTTGGCGTAGCGGTTCCAGCGTGGACGTAGAGACAATCCCTGAACGGCCTCTGGTCGACGAGTGGTACTGTCCCAGACTGTTGTCTAGGCTCGCACGCCTGCTTCTCTTTTTTGGGGTTCGATTCCTCGATCAATCACCTTTTTTTTGGTCTCATCTTTTGCTTTCTTGGTGTACTTCTCTTTGTTTACCTCTCTTGATCTGACTTGACAGTCATGATAGTTTTGAAAAGCAGGGGAAACTGCCAGATGCTTTCCCAATGATTCCGGCTCCTTTCTCTACGCAAGAGGCTAAGCTATGATATCCTGAGTGGTATATTCCTCGAGGGCTCGATCATACCCACCGGCCACCGCCAGATAGACTCACTTATATGTCCGTCCTACCATTTCGGTGACAAACATCATTCAAGAAACTCCAACCCCAGGACGCCATGCTGTTCATGCTTCACCTGGACCTTCTGTGCCAACAAACGTCATTGACAATTCACCCCGTTCATACAAAAGCCGTGAATGGTGTCCCCAATACCTTTCCGCTCACCGCGTCAAACTTGACGCCCTCCTTCCGCAGTAGCGTCCGCTTCTCCTGCAGCGTGATCCCCTCGCCGTCGCGCCGCGCGATCTTGCCCTTGAATCCACCGAGTGTACCGCCCGTGGCTACAACGCGGTGACTTTTAAACGATTAATATGCTTTCAATAGTTACCCGGTCCCGGGGTTTGAGTTTGATTTTGTTTTCAGAATTCAGGGCAGTAGGAGGAGGATCGGGAATGGGGATGAAGGCATGATCGCGAGGGCTCTTACCATGGTACTGCTGGTGCAAAGGGATTGCGTCGCAAGGCGTTGCCTACTGCGCGCGGAGATGATTTTAGGCGGGCGGCGAGGATGGCATAGGTGCTGAAGGACCCTGGCGGGATTTGGCAGGTGAGAGCCCAGACTGAGCGCTCAAAGGGGGTGCCGCGAGCAGAGGTCTGTAACGGTGATGGAAGGGGAATGGAACGAGAGGGGATGGTGGAGGTGCTCTTGGTGACGGTCATCGTACTTGTGGTGGTCGTCCTTGTGGTGGTCGTGGTGGTGGCCATGGCTTTCAGGAGTCAGGCCTCAGGACTAAGGACTTGTGTCGAGTTCCCTCTGATGGCATTGAATTGTATACTCTGATACGAACGCAAATTAGAACCGGTGGGTGAAAAGTGTAGTTCAGGGCACAGAAGGGGTGTTGGTGAGGAAATAGGTTGCCCGGGTTGATGTCAGTTGAAGGGCGCGACTCGGTATGACAATTCGCGTTTGCCGAGGCGCGTACAAGTTACGTAGTCACGTGGTATTATTAATTGATCGTTGCTTAGGTAATGTCAATGAGCAGCCAAGTGTTAACTGGTTATCCTGGTCGTTGGCAGTTGGCACCACACCGTCGAAGTGCAAGGCTCCGGGGGATGTCGCGATGGATTGGCCACATGAGCTATCTGCGACACCTTAGGGCTGCAGTGGCAGCCGGAGGATGAAATGGGCTGGCTCATCTACCAGACAGTCGATGCTGTTCCAGTTGCGAACCATCCTTCTTCCACCGATTGGTTCGATCACACAGTGCTTTCATCATGCTCAAGGGCAGGAAAGTGCTAGGGTGACGAATGCCAGTCAAGAACGGCAAGCCTACCTCTTATACTGCATATGCCTAGTGGCGCAAATTGCGCCGAAGCTGGTTTGTGATTTCTGTGTCGCATGCCGCCCGGCCACTGAGCGTGACGATGGCGCCGCCTGATCCTGATCGCCTCCAGCCGTAGCCGTGTGCGAATCTGGTTCGCGCCGCTATATCACCCTTCCATCGCCCTTTCTCGAGGCTATTGGTTTCGATCCGATATCTTGCTCCTAACCAACCTCTTGTCCCTGGGTTGATGACCCCCTGAAAATGAATCGAAGAATTGAATGCAGGAGTGAAGGCTGCACAAACGAGGTCTTGTATAAGACTCTCGACGGCAACTTTGTCGACCCCCACGACAGGAGGAACGGCGGTGGCAGGCCCCCGATCTCTCCCACCGGTCGGGGATCGCCCCCTGGTCCGCATCACCGATACTCGAATGGTTCAATCCAGGTGTCCCCTTACTGCAAGCAGCGTACGACGCCCGGGGCAAGCCTTCCCACTTCAACTTACTTACATGTATTCATGGCTTAGACACCTGCATCCATTTCCACCTAGAAGAGCGCTGTGTCTACAAGAAGCCTCGCCATGACACGGTCTGTGCCGTCCGTAAGACCAACCAGCCTTCTCTCGGATCTCGACCCCGTGTGCTCAGACTAGCTTGAACAAACAGACACGAAATGCCCCGTCCCAAACTGCAACCAGGCCCGCGCCCAGTTCCTCGATCCGACCTTTGAGCCCATTCACAATGCTGCTCCTAGATATGCCCGTTACGAAGTGTGCTCAGACCGTGCGTCAGAAATCCGGACTCTGTCTATCGCGGCTAGTTAATGGTTAATGTGTGCCAGACAAGTGTACCGTACCGCGATGTCCTGCCAGGAGGGCTTCGCCGAGGAGCACCTTTTGCCAAGCACGTAAGCTAGCCATCCATTCCTTGTACCGTCTCATATGAGGGTGTTGACAGGAGAAGACGGTTGCCAGGCCGAAGGCTGCACGCGCCAGCGCCAGGAGCAGCGGAACTGCTGTGAGACCCGTAAGTGCTAGAACTCTGGACGAGAAGAAGCAGTCTAATCGTGTTGCGGCAGATCAGTGCAAAGCCAGGGGCTGCCGGACCATTGTCGAGGGGGAATTCCCCTACTGCGTGATCCGCAAGTTTACCCGGACCCGATTCCGCAGAGCCAGGGGTGATGATAACCATCGCATCTGGCAGACATCAAGTGTGAAACGAATGGTTGTGGGGAGGCAAGACACTTTTCTGCCAAAACGAACGAGTATCTTGCACATTGCCTTAACCGTAAGCCGATATATCCCTATCACCTCATCACCTACCAGATCTGGTGTCTAAGGGGGTTCAGATGCGACTTGCTCCGCCAGATCCTGCGCTGCCCTCAAGATGGACCGGTCCCTTTACTGCAAGGACCACACCTGCCGCGAGCGAGACTGCGACAGGTCAACCACGTTCCCGCCGTATTGCGTCTACCGTAGGTCTTCGTGCTGTCTGGCCTGACAAGTACTGTTTTGACACACCTAGATCGTTGCGCCTCGACGAATTGCCCGAACCCACGCCCCTGTATCCCCGGAGTCAAGGAAGTGGAAAAGTTCTGCCCTTTGCGTGAGCTTCTCACCCCGCCATGTTCCATATCCAACCGCCACACTAATCAGGAAAACCAGACACATGTCGAGCCGAGAAGTGTCGAGAACACGTCGACAGGCTAGCCCTCTTCTGCAGTACCCGTGAGATCCGTCTTCCCATCCCGCGCTTGCTCGCATACACTGATGGACAGCGAAAAAAAAAATTCAGACGGCTGCTCCAAGCCCAAATGTCATCAGGCGGCCACCGCCGAACAGCTCTGCCTGGACCGTAAGTTGCTCTGATTCTTCTGTGGTATCCTTTCAGAAGAATCTGTCTCTGTTCAGAAGGCGTAGACGTAACCCTAACGCCAGGCAGATCTGAGAACACATTACACCGCCCAAGGCCGACGCCAGGCGCAAGCCAAGGCCCAGGACGCACGACGGTACCGAACCGGACCTCCCGCGCCGGCGAAGCTCCAGCTGGAGGACTTCTCATCCTCCTTATCCTCGTCCTCCTCCTCCGACGAGGACGAAGCCGAGAATGACGGCGCCCAGGGCGACGAAGCGCACAATCTCCGAGAACCAACCCCTAAGCATGAGTTGAGCGACAGGAACGCCGCTCCCGGCGAGAGAGTCCCAGTCCCAGTTCCAGTCCTAGACGGCAGACGACGCGCAGCACGGGGTAAGAACGACATTGATAAGCCGCCGCCCGGCCCGCCGGTTGACTACCCTCCTCCTCCTCCTCCGCCTCATCCAAGCGGTGGTGGTGATGGAGGGCATGACGAGGCGTTGCCTGTCATAGAGATTCCCCAGGACAGAGGCGCCGAAGGCTCAACTGGTAGGCCCTTCCCTGGGCGACGGTCTGACGAGCATGATGAGGATGGTGATGACGGCTGGTGAGGAGTTGGGTTTGTAGCGAGAAGTGGATGGACGCACATACACGAAGGATTGTCGCGGGTAGCCTTTTGGTCCGTTTATACTTGTAGGTATACCCCTCTTTGGCACGCTTGCTTGCTTGCTTGCTTTGCCCACGCCGATAAATCTTGTTGTCAACCGTTTCCCTCCCCGCCATTTTGTACCTAGGCCTAGGTAGGTATCACCACCAAACCGACCCAACCCAACCCTCCCTCCCAGTCGACAAAAAAACATCCCCGTTCCCGCCCCCCTCCCCTCCTTTCTCCCCCGCCTCCCCCCAGGAAAACACCTAAAAACCAAAACGTGCATCAATCACCAGTATCAACCTCCAAATCCAACTGCACCCCATTCGAAATCCCATAGTCCCCCAACGAGATATGATCCTTAAACGGCCGCTCCCCTTGCCGTTTCAGCAAAATCTCATGCGGTTCCCTGCCAACTTTCATGGCCACCATGACCTTGAACTGGCCGATCGTGTCGGAGGGAAAAGCAGGGATCTGTGCCTTGGTGCCAAGCCGGTCGTTTACCGTCACAATGATCATTTCCTCGCCGCCAGCCACGGTTGCAGGTGCTGCTGCTGCTGTAGGTTTTGATTTTGATTTTGATTTCTCGGGTTTGTTTTCCCGCTTGGTGAGTGAAGTGGACGACGGTTTTTGTTTTGCGTCGTCCCGTTCCCGGTCCCCCTCTCTACGATGGTCCGAGTCTCTGTCTCTGTCTCTCCGCGCAGGTGAACGCTCTCTTTCTCGGTCTCGGTCTCGGTCTCGGTCTCGGTCTCGGTCTCGGTCTCGGTTTTGGTCTCGTCGTTCCCGTTCCCGTCCCCCCGCTGGCGAACGATCGCGGTCGCGATACCTATCCCTGTCTCCGTCTCCTGTTCGGGGTTGATACCGATCGCGATTCCCGTCCCTGTCTCTAAAACTATCCCTCTCCCTATCTCTGTCTCTGTCCCTGTCCCCGCCATAGTCGCCGCGATCCCTTCTGGGTGACCGGTCGCGGTATCCGCGCTGGAGGCCTTGATCGCGCCCATCGTCGGCATTGTTGGAGCGCTTTTCCTTCCACCGGAAGCCGCCGCCTGGTTTTGGACGGCGCGGGGGCGAGCGCGATCTTGAGCGCGATCTTCTGCGCGGAGAGTCCGCCATGGTGGGTGTGATTGTTGATTGCTTCTTTGGTTGATTGGGGTGGTGAGCTGGTAACCCCAAAACGGAGGTTGAGTGATCGAATGATTGCAACTGGAAAAATAAAGTGGGGCAAAATGCAGAGCACTCAGTGTTATGTAATCGAAAGTACCTATCAGCCCATCACAGATTCACAGTCACCACGGTCAGTCAACACCAGATCAAACTGTTGATTCACAGGCCGCTACAAGGCCAAATATTCTCTATAGACACTGTGCCGAGGATAGAAGCGCCCTTGGAGCAACATGTCCATTAGCAGGTCCACGCTCCTTGCCCTTTTCATCGCGATGAAAATGCAGTCGCCGCATGAGTACCCATTCAACACACAACCCTTCCTAAACGCCAATCATCTTTGCCCCCCATCCAAACGCCAAGAGACAACCCAGCCAATGCGCCAGAGTGTGTATCATACAGAGAACTTGGGGGAGAAGCGGGTGAAAACCTTGAAACGGCGTCGAAGGGACTCCTAGTCCTTGCCGCCCTTCTTCTTCTTTTTCTTGTGCTTCTCCTCCTTAGCAGGCGTCTCGACGTCCTCCGCGGGCTCGTGCTTGCGCTTCTTGTGCTTCTCCGCCTTAGCAGGCGTCTCGGCGTCCTCCTCGGGCTCGTGCTTGCGCTTCGCGCTCTTGGGCTTGACCGGGGTCTCGGCCGCCTCCTCATCCGTCTTGAGCTCCTTCTTGCTGAGCACCTTGATGGAGCCGTCGGCAAGCACCTGGATCTGGCCCCTCTCGAACCGCTTAGCAAACTTGGAGACAGACATGCCGGACTCCTTGGCAAGACGCTCGTAATCCTTCTCGGTAATCTTTGCGGGCGCCACTGCGTCAGCTTGAGCCTCGGATTTCTTCGACTTCTCCTTCTTCTCCTTCTTCTCTTTCTTGTCTTTCTTCTCCTTTTTGTCCTTCTTGCTGGATGGCGCGTCCCTCATTTCCTCATCGGATTGCTGGTTAGCATCGGCATCGGCCATCTCCTCGTCGGGAATTTCCTCGATCAACGGCTTCTTGGGCGCCTCGGCAATGACACCGTCAGCGTCAATATTGTACTTGCGAGCCTCCTTGACATCCCACTTCGCGGGGGTTGCAAGGGGAACACCGTTAGGTCCGAGCAAAACGCCATCTGCCAAACCCTTGCCCTCCATCAAGCGCAGATTCCTCTCGAGCTTAGCACGAGCCTGGATGCCCAGGCTGGCTCGGACCTCCTCGTCCGCATCTTCTTCGAACTCGGCGAGCGCGTCTGTGCGAACACCAAGAGCAATTTTGGCAGCGAGCTGACGGGCCATTTTGCCCTTGTTTGGGCCAGACGCCTGACCCACCAGAGAGGCATGATAGATTAGGCCGTATTTCGGCGTGGCATGCTTGGTCTTGAGCGCGCGGAACAGCGCCTTCTCGGCACCGAGAATCTGGATTGTGGAACCAGGGTTCTTGGCGAGATTGACAAGCGATCCTGCGTGAGCAATGAGCCGAGCGCCAACGAGGGCACCGACAAGCTCAGTCATGTTGGGCGAAATGGCCCTCATGCGGTTCTCCAGGTACTCCGCAAGCTGTTTCCTGTACTTGGAAAAGTCGATGACCTGCTCGGCGAGGTATCGGATATTAACCAGATCCTCGTCGCTGATCTCGGTCCCCATGCTGATGTCGGCCGCTGCCTTGACGGCAGTCTCGATCTCGTGGGGTAGGATTTCTGAAAGGTCGGCCTGAGGAGCACTTGACCGATGGCCCAAGGCCACAATGACTCTCGCGTATGACAGGTTATCCGGGAGGATCTTAGCCAGCTCCGGGAAGTGCCAGCCGTACCACTCCTTGACCCGCATAGCATATGTGTTCAACTCCTTGTCCAGGTCATCAAGCAGCGAAACCGCGTGGACAATCATGACATCGACCTTGTCGGGAGAGAACTTGAGCCTGTGTCGAGACAGCGAGTGGGAGAGACCCAGTGCCATCTCGTCGAAATCCTCGGGCTCCATGCCCGGGATCAGGTTTGGAAGGTGCTGGCGAATGGCGCGAAATAGGTCTGTGGTGGACGAGTCTGCGATGGGCTTGATGTTGAGGTTCGGAAGCTTCAGGATCGAGTTTCCGAGCTTGCTCTCGGAAACGGCTAGCGTAACCTTCTTTTCATCTTTGAACTCATTGAGCAGGCTGGCTAGCTTGGGGGTCACCTTGCCCTCTACGACACCGGTGATTTCCTCAAGCGCGCTTGCAGCACTGTCGAACTTGGCGAATTCCTTGTATTTGATCCTGCAAAAGGCATTGGTACGCATGCACACACACAAGAGCATATGAGGTGGGCTGCACAACTCACTCTTTGACAATTTTGTCCACCGTAGAAAGGCGTTCGGAAAGGTTGTCGGCGTCCAGCAGCTTTTTATCAGCCGCCTTGAACAGGCCGTAACTGCGATATCAAGTCAATCTTTTTGTCGCAGTGCCGAGAACAAAAGTTACGGCGAGGCGACTGCAGCTGCCGTCGCGACTCGCAAACTCCGTAGCACTTGGGCCCGCAATTGAACAAGATGCACTTACCCGGCGCTGGTCTCCGCGAGGATGAAAAGGGGCATTGTGACTTCTTCTTGTGATGGACCCCAAACGCTCTTGAATTTGTCGTTGGAAGCGTTGGAAACAGCACTCGACCGCGGCGGTTTGCGCAGTTCAGCAAGAGCTTCCAGCGAAAAAAGTTCCAAAGCGAAGAAACAATTTTTTATTTTGACCAGTTGCAGTTCACAAGTGGGGATGTAGCGTGAAGGCCCGAGCGCCCACCGATAAGATACGAAGACGCAAGTGGCCAAGCTCGCCAAGTACCAAGGTACAATACCTGCAGTGAAGCTTGGCGCCTGTGTCTTGCACTGCCCAGTGTCTTAAGAGTTGAGACCAACCAGAATCAACGCCGCTCTGAGCCGCGCATCCTGAGCTTCCACCGGCGTGAGCAGTCAAGTCATCTCAGGCACTTACAATCAATACCAAGTGCAAAGATGGAGGGCCTATTTTTCAATGCAAACAATGGGTGAGTTGCGTTGTCAGGTCTGCACCTTGACAAAGCTAACAGCTTCTCCTACGCAGCTACCTCGAGGGCATTGTCCGTGGCTACAGGAACGGGCTGCTCACCAGCACAAACTACACCAACATGACACAATGTGAGACAATAGATGGTTAGCAGAGTTCCAACCTTCATGCTTCAGTTTACCAGACCCTGATCACCCCGGCTGCAGACCTCAAACTCCAACTCGGCCCCGCCTACGGTGACTTCCTCGCCTCTCTCCCTCCCAACCCCTCAACCTCAAGCCTCGCCGCCAAGACGACCGACAAGCTGGTCTCCGAATTCCGCTATGTACGGGCGAACGCCGTGGGATCCCTCGCCAAGTTCATGGACTACGTGACGTACGGGTACATGATCGACAACGTGGCGCTGCTCATCACGGGCACGCTGCACGAGCGCGACACGCGCGAGCTGCTGGAGCGGTGCCACCCGCTGGGGTGGTTCGAGACGATGCCGGTGCTGTGCGTGGCGACCAACATTGAGGAGCTGTACAACAGCGTGCTGATCGAGACGCCCCTTGCCCCTTACTTCAAGGGCAGCCTGAGCCACCAGGACCTGGACGAGCTCAACATTGAGATTGTGCGCAACACGCTCTACAAGAACTACCTCGAGGATTTTTACCACTTTGTCAACTCCCACCCGGACATGGCGGGCACCCCGACCGCCGAGGTCATGTCGGAGCTGCTCGAGTTCGAGGCCGACCGCCGCGCCATCAACATCACGCTCAACTCGTTCGGCACCGAGCTGTCCAAGGCCGACCGCAAAAAGCTGTACCCGAGCTTTGGTCGTTTGTACCCGGAGGGCACCCTGATGCTGTCGCGGGCTGACGACTTCGAGGGCGTGCGCCTCGCCGTCGAGGGTGTCGCTGACTACAAGGCCTTCTTCGAGGCGGCTGGTCTTGGTGGAGGTCCCGGCGGCCCCGGGAACATGGCCGGTGGCACCGGGTCGGATGGCAGGAGCTTGGAGGATATGTTTTACCAAAAGGAAATGGAAATCGCAAAGAGTGCCTTCACACGACAATTTACCTACGCCATTGTGTATGCGTGGGTCAAGTTAAGGGAGCAGGTGCGTTCTTTTCTGTTGTTCAGGCTCATACTATTGGGCGTTTGTCTGACTAAACTCTAGGAAATCCGCAACATTACGTGGATTGCCGAGTGTATAGCGCAAAACCAAAAGGAGCGCATCGGCAATTATATCAGCGTATTCTAGAGGGGCGGTTTGTTTTTCATTGCTTTTCAAGTTTTGTAGAGTCTATAGGGAACCCGCGAGCATTAGTGTATCTGGATAATGGCGTATTGGCAAAGGGCTGTCAAGACGGCAACACGGATCTACAGGATGCGAGGATTTCCGCGTCTTCTGTCCAATTCCGTTGGTATAGTGTACATGGGGAAGTTACAAATCTCATCTGTCTATTTACATAGCACCCAGCGCGCATTGCGTATTAGAGTGTGATTTGCTCCTTGTACGTAGCTCCCGTAAGCCCAAGCGTCTCGATCAGGTATTGCCACCGCCCGCTGGCCCGCTCCTTCTTCTCCATATACCGCAGCAGCCGCTGCCGCTTATGGCACAGCAACCGCAAACTCCTCTTGTTGTTCTTGTCCTTGTGGCCCTTGGGGCTCTCGAGCGCCAGCGCGAGTGCCCTGATCTTGGCCGTCAGGATGGCGATCTGGACCTCGCTGCTGCCCGTGTCGGGCCCGGCCCGCTCGGGCTTGGGTTGCGGCACGATGCCGCGCCCGGGAGGCGGCGCAGGCCTCGCGAGCGTCTTGTCCGTGACGTGTCGGCCAAACGTCTCGATGCACCGCCGGATGTTGGCGTGCTTGCGGTCCTTGGCGCAGCCGTTGTTGAGGTCGGTGATGCGCCGCAGCGCGATCTCGGCCTTTGCGTGCTCCTTGGCGTGGTTCTCCTGCTCCTGCGCCTCCGCCACAGGGTCCACGGTCGTCAGGTCGCCGCCCTTGAGGGGCTCGGTCAGTTTTTTGGACCTCTCCAGGGCCGCTTCCAGCTCGTCCTTGGAGAGCAGGTTGTTGAGGATGTGCGGCGACGTCGGGAGCTCGTGGGGCTCTTCTAGCGGGTTGCCGTCGCCATCGACGGGCGGTGTTGAGAGCGGAGCTTGACCGCCTGAATCAAACGACTCGACGAAGGGCGTCGTGACGCCGTGTACCGGGTGTCCCCAGGCGGGTTCGCGAACCTTGTTGAGTTCTTCCTGCCGCTTGAGGTTGGCATTCTTGCGCTGCTGAGACTGCGCCCACCCGTAGGGATCCTGCTTCATGCGCCTTTTCTTCTCCTTCATCGAGAGATTGGCCGTCTGTGTCAGAGGCAGAAAACTAGGCGTCGCATTTGGTGTCGGAGCTGGTCGTAGGCATACTGCGGAACCATGTCAGTGCAATTGAGGATATTGAGGATATTAGAGACATGTGTGAACAATCTCACATGTGATGTTCCGAAGCCCCTGAGGGGCTGGTATCCGGGGAGGCATCGTGAATGTGTTGGTTCGAGTCGAATCTTCCCAGATCCTCCTTGCTTCCTCCTCTCGAGTCGCTGCTGCCGACAACTTTCTCGTTGAGACCCACAACCCAGAATTTGGTCGCAGTTGCGCTAAGTCTATTTAGGCTTAGATTCAGTTTGCTCCGCCAAGACCTTAGCTCGGCAACCGGCGATTACTAAATTCCGATCATTTTGCGCTCAGATATTATCTAAGCTCAATAGCAGTTGGCGCCGGCCCGCCTGGGCAATCCGACCGCCAAACTCAAACCAGAACCCTGGCGGGGCTCTCCACAAAATCGATTTTGTGTGCCAAAATCGCAGAGCTCCGCCTCCAGCTTCAGCGGCAGAAAAAAAGAATATCTCCCACTCGCGAACCGCCTTGACTTCTTTCTCCCGCCGTCACGGTCAACGAGAGAAAGTGCAGTCAAGATGGCGCCTCAAAACCTCCCTTCCATCTTCAATGCCACGAGCACCGATATTGAGCAGCTGCTCGCTGCTCAGTGCCACATTGGCTCCAAGAAGTGCGTCCCTGTCCAGGTTCACGCTGATGGTCACCCTTGAGGGCCCATGCTAACGGTTCGCGATAGCCTTGGTGTTCACATGCAGCGTAAATAACCCCGACCGAGAACCGAGACCGAAAATGGATACCTGACAGATTTCTGCGCGCAGCTTACCTCTGGAAGACTCGTGCCGACGGCGTGAACATCATCAACATCGGCAAGACCTGGTACGTGGGATTGGCCGGGGAAAGACTGCCCTTTAGCGTCACGGTCGGACGCTTGTTGGTCTCACAAAAGAGCAGGCCACTGACTTTTACAACCAGGGAGAAGATTGTCCTCGCCGCCCGTATCATTGCCGCCATTGACAACCCGAGCGATGTTTGCGTCATCTCCGCCCGTCCCTACGGCCAGCGTGCTGTCCTCAAGTTCGCCGCCCACACCGGCGCCCAGGCCATTGCCGGCCGCTTCACCCCCGGTTCCTTCACCAACTACATCACCCGCTCGTTCAAGGAGCCCCGCCTGATTGTTGTCACCGATCCCCGCACCGACGCCCAGGCCATCAAGGAGGCCAGCTACGTCAACATCCCCGTCATTGCGCTCTGCGACACCGACTCGCCCACCGAGTACGTCGATGTTGCCATCCCGACCAACAACAAGGGTCGCCACGCCATTGGCCTGGTCTGGTGGATGCTGGCCCGTGAGGTCCTCCGCCTCCGCGGCACCATCTACAACCGCGAGACTCCCTGGGACGTCATGGTTGATCTGTACTTCTGTATGCGCCCACCACTTACTGTGCTCGTTCTTAGAATCCGAAACTGACAGCATCACGCAGACCGCGACCCTGAGGCCGAGGCCGAGGAGAAGGTCGAGGAGGAGAAGCTCCCTGGTGTCGAGGAGGAGGGCCCGGTTGCTATCGAGTCTGGCTTCCCCGCCGGAGCTGGTGATTGGGAGGCCGCCCCGGCCGGCTTCCCGGCTGCCGCTACCGGCGAGTGGAGCGAGGCGGCCCAGCCCACCTGGGAGTCTGGCGGCGCCGCCGCGACTGGCGAGTGGGCCGCTGAGGCCCCCAAAGAGGCTTCGGGCTGGTAGACGAGTCGGTCAAAATGAAAAAGAATTCGGGGTCAGGCGTAACGGGCGGCACAGACAAATGGCTTTGTCTCTCTCTGGCTTTGATAGGTTTCCGATTCCCCTTGCGTTGCCATGATTGGGACTATTTCTCTTCTCCAGCTCGGATTTGTTTGCAGAGGTACACCGTCCTTTGGCGCAGGTAACACTTGACCGCACTAATGAGGGAAAGATATCCTCTCTGGTAATCTGCTGGAGAGGGGGAATGCCCTGTGGGGTCAAGAGGGGTGGACTTAATCGTTATCCCGCCTCGCCTAGGGGACCTTGTTGCCATTGCTACCGGCTGAGGGGAAGTGGCTAGATCGTTTGTAGCAGTTGGGAACGGAAAGGATTGACCCTCGACTGTGTGACTTGCTTGTCTTGTGTCTTCTCAATCGTTTACGACAGATGGTCTCGGTATGGGGATTTGGCAAACCTTCCGTTTGCCAGACTTAAAATAGTAGGTTGATCGCAGGTCGCGCGATACGGACACTGAGCAAGTCTGAGGAACTCAACACGACTGATCTATAAGTTTTGGCAATCATGGGCTTGATGGAGGGCGTCTCAGCTATCATTCTACACCATTTCCACGGTCTAATTGATGGATGCCGTAGGTAGGTTTTTCATCGATTCTGAATCCTGTACCATTGTGGACCTTTCTACAGTTTGCTGTCTTTTGCCATTATCATCTCTCTCCTAGTAAGGCGCTGGCTTCTTGACATAGGAGTGAGCACCAACAGGGGAAGGAAAGTGGACAAGGAATGGAGAGAGATAGCACAAAGCAGCGAACATTACTATCACACGCCGAGGGGGATCACGAGATCTTCTCTCCCTAGTACATCAAATGCCAATTTACGCTCCAAGGAGCCGGGGCATAACGTTGCGACAGCAGAGTGTGGCCGGCCATAAACTACTTTGCTTGGTGGGCATCATAGTCGTAAGAGAGCCCAGGAAAGTGATCAACAAGGAACAACGCCCCTAAGGACCACCACTCGATCACACCGGCACACACAAATCACGGAACTGGGTTTAGAAAGCACAACATGTGATCAAGCAACTCGACGTAAATTGCTTCGCTTCTTCAAAATGCTCAACATCTAACCTAAGCATAAGGTATCTCTCTCCGGGTATCAGCCGCCACAGCTTCCATCCATCCATCCACATCCTCCTCTTCTCTGGTAATCACAGCAACAACAACTAAACATCCTCGCAACTGGCCACACCTCAGCTGTAACAGACCAAACCCACCCCAAAAGCAAGACAAAGCAAACCAAAGGACCCGACGACGCAGGGGGGGGATATCTCAGTAACCAAACCAAAAACGCACGCAAAACCCAAGTTAGGCCAAATGGCAAAGAAATCGAGTAGATGACCAGAGATGAGAAAAACCGTCGCAGAGCTCCTCCTGGCCTCCAATATAGTTGACGTCGAGAGCTGCAGACAAGATGAACACGCCCAAAATGTCGTTGAGATGTAAACCATCCCGATCCCACCGCATCACCCATCGCCGCGCTTCCACCGTGATATGTATATGCTATCCTGCGCGATCGCAATGTCAAATGCGATGCAATGCCGTGCTGTGCTGTTTGTGTTTCGGTAGAAGACTCCTACCCGTTCCCAAACACTTTCCCCTGTGGCTGGAGAAGCAATACAGGACCGAACATTGATGGAAAGGAAAGGGAAAAAAGGTGCCAGTTGCATCCCGCCTACCGGAGCTGATCGGGCAGAGGGGGAGCTGTATGTGTTATGTGCGTGCGTTTGTGCGTGTGAGGGGGCGCAAGAGATTATATGCGTAACATAGATGCAAGGAGATAGGGTCGAAGATCGAAAGCGACAACGGTATCGACGTGTACCGCCAGGATTAAGTAAGACCTGGGTTTTCGGTCTTGTCGCCTCGTTGTCGTGATTAGAGTTATATGGTGTATATCGGTGATGCGTGAGCAAAATGGCTGTCTAACGGCCTAATTTAAAAAATTCGAACTGGCGTGTGCAGGTCATAAAGTGAACATTTAGAGAAAATGGGGGCCCTTCGGAAGGGCAGCGTCGTAGTCGTCTTCGTGTCGCCCCAATCTTGATCTCGATCAGGGTCATCATCATCTGTCTCTCTCGGGCTCGTCCCTCGCTCTCGCCCGCTCGCTCACTCCAGGCTATCACTTAGCCTGCGAATCTCCTCGTCCGAAAGCGCGCGCATCCACAGACAACGCTCAGTGATGCCCTCGACGGGCTGGAAGGTGTAAAGCGTGCTCGCCTCCAGCAGCCGCAGCAGCGTCTTAACAACGCCCGCCGCGGTCCTGCACCGCTCAAAGTTGACCAGCGGAGCCGTCGTGGGCGAGCTCGCAATCTCGCTCGGCTTTTGCGCATTGAAGAGCAGATCGTGCGTGTAGATGCCCACGAAGGGGATGCATCCCATTTCGGCGGCAGCAGGCCCCAGGGCCCCGCCGCCCTCCATCTCGGCCCGCATATTGTAAAAGTTCCTTGTCGGAGACAGGAGCGTCTCCAAGTCTCGTAGTGTCCGCTGGTCGTGGGAGGGAACCATGGCCCACGTCCTGCTCAGTCGGCTGATCTCGTTGCTCGTAAGCGCAATGGTTATCTGGCTCATGGTAGCAAAATTGCGATAGCGCCGACAGTGGGATGCAATGTGGATGAATTTGATAATGCATCGTGCTCGTTCCTCAATGTCCTGTGTCAGGACAATCTCGGAGATGGCCCACTTGACCATGATATTGAAGCGGGCAATTACAACCTCGACGCCACGGGCATCCGTGTCGCGAAGGAATGAGACCCAGCTGCGGACATTCGCTCCGTTTTGTTCAGCATGCTTCCAACGCATGTCGATCAGCTCCCTCCAGTCAATCTCGTTGAGAGCATCCTTCTCGATCAGCGTAAACTGCTGAGCCAGGATATCGCTGTCGAATGCGAGAATGAACGGCAAGTGGACCATGTACTTGTTGCCGGAAGCTCTTGCTGATTCGCTGACTGGGTCCGGAATCTGGAGCTTGGGCGCGTTACGAAGTGCTTCCTTGGTGCCAGTAGGATCTGCTGGTGACAACAGCGGCTCTGTTCCGTACGGCACGGCGGCTGTAGTTGGCGTGGTGTTAGGCGTGGGGGGTAGCGGCTTCTCCCAGACGTGATGGTCTTGAAGTATCGGGACGTACGCCGTTTCGGGAGACATGTGGAGAGCCTGAGCGAGTGTGATCTGTGGTGATGGAGGGTCCGTGCTAGCTTGCTGTGCGGCTTCCGGCTGGCTTCCGGCAAGGAGATGAATAGGCAAAGACAACGAAGGAAGGTCCTTATTGGAGCGCGGGGGTTGCTCTTCCTCTTCCTCTGACATCTCAGACGACAGGTCGCTGGCGTTGTCACTCGCTACGTCGAGGAACGAATGCTCTACACTGTCGCGTGTCGGTTCTGCCGGGGGCATTGTGGTTCCAGGCTGAATCTTGTCTATGCTGTTCGTCTTGGTGATGAAGTCGTACGAAAGGTGCTGGGAGTCATGAATACTGTGTCCATCTGGTGTCGCACCCTCATCAGGACCCTGCAAAATGGAACGATCTGTCCACTCCCTAGTCACGGTCCGCTTGCTGAGTGCCTCATCAGTGAGATCTCGTTCCAGCAGCGGTATAGAGGAGTAGGATGCTCCCGAGTCGTCCGACAAAAAGGATTGACCATCACCACGGCGCCCATTACGACTTGCGACTTCCAAGGTACTGCCCGGAGCAGTAGCTGTCGTAAGTTTGGCCGATGGAGACGGGGGACATGGCTCATCCACAACGTGGACGTGGCGATGCTCCTTCTTTTCTTCGAGCACCGCACTTGCAGTCTTGTCTACCAATACCGAGTCAACATCCGGAGAAAGGTCGCTCCGCAGAGGGTTCCGTAGGTCCATCGATAGCTTTGAGCCGGTTCTCCTTTGGTATTTGCCCTCTAACTTTAGCAGAGCAGACTCGACACCGCCGTCATCGTCTAGGTCATCTGGAATTTGTGCAAGTTTCTGTGCCTCGGCTTCGAAAGAGGGACGCATGACAGGCTTAGATGAGTGGGTGCTGAACAGAGAGAGATGGCGCTTCGGGTTCTGCTCCGCAATGGCGCCCAGAGAGAATGTTTCGGCGTGCCCAGGAGAATATTCATCCGAGGCAACGTCAACAAAGCCACTAGAATCAGCAGCAGGGCTGCGAATGTTAGAGCTGTGCACCGAGCTCATGTACGTAGTCAAAGACCCCACGGAGCGGAGCCTCCTTAGGCTGGTTGAGCCCAAGTCGCCATCCACCGCATTGACGACGGCACGAAGATCGCCGCCTGGTCTTCTCCTGAGAACTCGAAGCGGCTGCGGGACGAGGACTGGTGATGAAGCGTCCATTGACATTCCTGAAATGGTCGTGGCGTCAAAGCTCCGGACAGTCGGCTGAAGGGCGATGCCGCTTGTGAAAGATGCAGAGCGCTGATGGCCTCTCGAGCGATCAGAGAACAATGACCTCCCCGACGTCTGTCTTGTGTGTCCTCTCACATAGCTTAGGGGCGGTCGCCGCGGATCTTGATTCAAGAAGTCAAGCGAGGGACGGGTGTAATCCCGAGATTGAGGAGGATTTGATCCCTGACTACCCATGTCATGGACAAACGGTGGTAGGGGGTCTGCAGACCGCGAATGTCGGAGAATATGCTGGCCCAAAATGTAGGAGGACCTCCTAGGCGTTCCCATAGGGCGGCTGGGTGGCGTGTTTGGTGGTGTCGGATCAGCGCCATGTCTCGCGAAGGCTTCGGCAAAGGCCTCGACAGAGGAATTGATGGCTGGGATCGCGCCACTCATAACAGGATAGTTTTCGGGCAACGAGGTATCGTCGACAATAACAATCGACTTGCTCCCTGCGGTTATGCCCATGTCGCTTACCGGCCGTGCCTCGCCGTCTTCGCTCGAGAAGCTAAAGGAAGTATCCAAGTGGGCATTCGAGAATTCCGGAACATCGTCACCTGCAAGCTTTAAGCCAGCCTTGGAAACGGAGGGGGATTCGGCCTTCTCATTCCCCGCTGCTGAGTCCTCACGCACGGCCTTTTTGAAGTCCTCGGCAATCTCAGCCCCAAGCAGATCAATCCGCACCGGAGGACGGGAACCATGACGGCGGGATCGTGCCTGTGGCACTATAGCAGTACCGGGCAGCCTGTTCGTCGTCGCACCCTTGGGCCCAATGGGGGAGATGGTAATAAAAGCTCCTTGAGTGGGTGATGAGTTGTGTCCTTTGGTGCTTAGAGCACGGCGTACACTACCTAGAAGCCTCTTCATGCCTTGGCCGGACATGGCAGACGCTACGGTGTTCACCTTGGTCAACTCAACCGGAGGCTGTTGGAAAACGGTGGTTTGTCTGGCCGACGCTCCGGTGCTGTATGGAAGGGCTTCAACAAACGCCTGAGAGGGCGGCAGTATGTTTCCGCGGACGAGGCCCCCTGCGTAAGGAAGGGCAAGCAGAAACTCGGCGTTCTTGTAGAGGAGCTTCTCCGTCAAGTTTGTATGGTCGCGTAAGGAATCGCTAAGGCTCCCGTTGCGCTTGTGAGAATGCTGAGGACGGGCGCGCTTGCCGACGAGAGTACGGGGAGTGGTGGCGATCGGATCGTTATTGTGGGAGACGGCGCTGGGATCGGCTGGGTGTGCGGCCAGTGGCAGGGCGGTGCCTGGCGGAGCAAACCGGGAATTCTTGGAAGGGAACGAGCATGATATCGCATCGATACTTGCAATACTGATCGGTGAAGCCACATTGTGCTCCAACACATCCTTGTCGGGGATGTTTTCGGGGGTCAGGGGCCGCTCGCCGGTCACGATCGACTCGATATGGCCGGCCTGCGCCACGTCGGCCAAGAGACTCGTATGCGAGCGAGTGCCAGCCGGGGCAACTAGATCATTCAGCTGAGGTGGTCCTGCATCCGATTGAAGCCAAAAGGTCGGATCCAAGTCCGGATCGCGGTGACCGGCGATTCCCCCTGGCGAGATAGCGACGTCCGCGCCGAGAGACTCGTCGAAATCCGGGCCGTCCCAGTATTGAGCGCACACCCTCCGCCAACACTTCTTGAGCTCTGCTAGGATCTTGAGCGGCACCTTCCGTTCCTTGGGCTCCTGCAACAGCTCGTCAACGAGATCGTTCAACAGATCGCAGAATGTAACTCGAAGTGTGTGGTCGACCACAAAGTCGTCCATGAAATAGTTGAGGATCCAATGGCGCAGGGCGACGAATGTGCGGACCCTCACTACAGTGCCAACCTCGTCCTCCCGCTTTAGCGCCCACCTAAGTCTTGCGAACAGCATGCGGACAAGGTCTGAGGCTTCTACGAAGGACCGATAAGTGAGAAAGAAATCGGATAGCAGCTCGTAGTCTAGGAAACTGGGAGACGTGATTTCTGCGACCAATCGGGAGGGTGTCGCCGCAGTTACGGATCCGGTAGCCGAGTATCGGACAACAGTCCGTTCATCACAGGCTGGTTTGAATGTCAAGGCATCAAACATATCAGGCTCAATCACCAAATGAGGCGACACGTATGTTGCTCGTAACTGGCGTGGCAGCCGAGGGGATGAAGGGGTCGGCGGGTCGGCGGCGTCGTCTGCCGAGGCATGGTGTGGCCCTGGGATCTGAAGCAGGCTGGGAATTCTTGAACTGCGAGAAGGCGCATCGTGAGACGTGAGGCGCAGGAACGAAGCGCTGCTCGAGCGGAATTCCTCAGTCGGGGCGTACGACGAACCACGGATGAACGGTGTGCCTCGGACACTGAACCTGGGGGTGCCTATCCTCCAAGACGGAATTGAGACTTCTAGTAATGGGGGCCGACTTGTGTCCATGTTTTGGACAGTTCTCGGCCTCTCTTCGCCTGGCTGTGTGACAACCACCTTGAACGTCCCCATCTCGGACTCTCGGGCTACGCTGGTATCGGGCACTGTGGAGTCGGACATGGCGCGGCGGTGCCTTTGACGGATCCTGATTAGCTTCTCGCCCGGCGTTCCCCGTCCGAGGCTCGGTGACGTCGATGGATGAAGCGACGGGCTGCACTGGTCGCCATGCAGCTGCGAGGCAACAGCCGAGCCCTGACCTTGGTCTGCAAATACGGGGTCCAGGCCAGCTGTACTCGGCGGGGTCATGGGAAACACGAAGGGCGGCTGCGGGTAGCGCTGGTGCACGGGGCGAACGGTTGGCCTGGGTAAGCTGTCAACCAACTGGGCTTGCGGTCAAGGTGCGCATCAAGCGTTTGAAGTCAAAAATTGGACAGTGCCGGCAAGTGGAGCTGCAGACGCGCCATTGCCGCTTACCTCAGGTAGATGCGGCCGTTGTTGCCGACGTTTGCTACGGCAAACTTTCTCCCTTCGCGCCCAGCCGAGCCCCCCTCTGGAGTGAGATCCCACTTGCCGCCATCCTGGCTACCTTTCTTTGCCCGTCGACCTGCAAGGTTCTCTTCATGAGGCCCTCGTTCCGTAACTGGTAATAATGGCTTCGCAAGCGCGTTCGCCGACGCCCATGGTTTCGTCCTGCCCGCTGCCCCACGTCCCACCTTAGGCCGTTCGCCGTCCTTTCCAGGTTTTGGTGGCGGCCGTCGGAGACGCGCATCCCGTAATATCCTTTCCGAGGGTGATGCAGGGTTCCGAGCTGCACGATTCCCCGGCGCAAGCTGCTGCTGGTGCGATCGCATCGGCGAACCAGTCGGAGCAAGTGCCGACAGCGAATTGGTCTCCATTGTGGAGGATTCAGGGCCTATCTTGCAGAGAGCGGGCTGCTGCTACTGCTGCTGCTGCTACTGCCGATGGCGATGTCTGTAATAGAAGACATTGGGAGTCAACGCTGACGCATTTCCTTGTTGGAGTTCATGGGACGACGGTATTTGAGTGAGCGAAGGGAAGGGAAGCGAAGGGAGAGACGGCGCGCCGCAGAGGCAGCATGCAGATTGCAGGAAGGTATGGTGGGTGTGCGACTGTGAGTGGTTGGACGTGTGTTTACCCAGGAGCGGAGCAACCTGGAAAGGGCCGAGCAAACGAGAGGAAAAGGGATAGCGTGGCTGGGAGAGTCACATACGGACAGTGCGCTGGGCCATAACGGGGTCCAAGTAAAGGTCAAAAACGAGGGATGAAAATCAGCATGGAAGGAATGTAGATATTGAAAAGTCAGGGGCAAATTGAGACTGCCTTGCTGGCGTCAATTGACGTTGACGTTAATTAGCTGAAAATCATCCGAGGGCTTGACAAAGCGAGGAATCGAGCGAAAGACGTCGACGACGCCGCCAAAAGCAACAAGGGATGGAAGCTGGAGCGTTGCCCAGGGCTCATTGATAAGGCCTGAAATTTGAGTGTGGGGCCGCTGAGAGATGGGATGGGAGGCTTGGGAGCGCCGAAGAACCGGGGTCGCTGCTGCTCTTCTTTAATTTGGCCCACCACGGCTTGACCCGCGGAAGGGAGAGGTGGGCGGCAGGTGGCCCTATTTGCCAGGTTTTCCCCAATGATCTGACCAGTGAATTAAGATGCCTATTGCTGTTCACCCTTCTGTCCCATTCACACTCGGGGAGCGAAGCAAAGCTACACGGCAGAGTAGAGTTCGTTGGCCGAGAGATCTGGAAAAGTACCGCTCGTACGGTTCCACCAGTTTAGTGCACCCGATGGAGCGGGGCCTGCGGGTCAATGATGCGCGTGGACACGCCTGTAATTACAGTGGCTGTACGGATATGTGGAGCAAACTCAGTGCATTCCTCGAGCTGGTCCCCCACTGTGCCAGGCGCATCTTTCTAATAAAAAGCTTGTCTCTGGCGTCAATCTTCTCTCGCAAACAAGAAGAAGCGCACATGGACTCTTCCCTCTTCTGTATACAGACTAGCTGGTAAACACCCCTTTCGACTCTGGATTGTTCTGCTTCAGTAGTGTCCGAGAAACTAAGAGCCAAAATGCTGCCCACGTCCTCAGGCCTGCTTGAAGCAACTTGGAATGTCTGCTCCTTGCTCACATTTCGAAGTGGAGCCCAACGTTTAGGACCGGCAGGGGCTTTCACCGGGGACCAGCTTCCGGGTTTCGACCTTTTCATTCGTCTTCATTTCCCAAGGGAATGGATGGGCTTTTCTGAGCCGAGCTACCGGAGCCGTTGGGCTGTGCCATGATGCCATCTCCGGTTTTTAGGCTTGGAGCGTGCAAGTATCGCAAGCTCAGCTATCAGGGGTACCGTAGGGGGACACAAAGCCGTCATCGCGACAAGTCGCTGGACTCGCCGTTAGCTTCAAGCTCACAGTACACATATAAATGTTCCTCCCGCGATTTGACATGAAAATGGGACGATGGGATGCTCGGTAAGACGTCAGTAAGCAGCTGCGACGGGCGGGAACCAGTTCTGCTCCAGGCGGGCTCTTGTTCCCGGTTTCGTTCAGGAACTGCACGAAATAGCATAAATAACTTAGGGTTTTACAGGTGAGGGAGGCTCAAGAAATAATTGCGGGTGGCCTTTTCCCGGTTCCCTTCTCATATTCTCTTATTTTATCCGTCGCAGGGACCGTAGCTTGACCTGACCGTTGACTTCAGCAGCATTGGCCAAGCCGAGCCCCCACTCCATCCATCCTCCCGGGTAGCGCCTCCCCGCGGTGGCGTCTCGGAACCAACGAAAACTGGGAGTGACGTCTTTCAAACAACTGTCATTCAGGTTCGAGTTACCGTTGTATGTACACGGCTCCAGGCAGCTGTTTCCTAATCAATTCCTGTTACTTGCAGATGCTGTGCAATGATGCCCAACAAAAGAAAGGGGGAACCGGAGGGAAAAGTCAATCCAAAGTCTCATCTTAGCGCAGCATTCACTCCGGTCGCCTCGGTCCTGCCCACCCAATGCCTCGATAGAACATAGACCAACAAAGGAGCTCCTAGCCGCCCCAAGCTCATTCGTATGTACAAGTACCTCAAACTACCATACGTGACTGTTCCTGATCCGAATTCTTAACGGCTTACCGGTAAGCGTCGACCGCCGGAAGGGAGCAATATTCTCAATTGTCTCATATAATTGTCGCCAGTCTTGGAAACGTTAAACAACAGTATAGAACGCCGGCATCGGCAACTACATAGGTAGCAGCTCTGTCGGGCTCTTTGCTGTCCCATCCGCCCATCCCTCCCTGCTTCCTTCGGAGACGATGTCAACAAAGAACCATTCTGTAACCCTATTCATGGGGATGACGAGCGCGGGGGTCAGAGTCAATGCTTCGCCCTTTCGGAGGATTTATATGCGTGTCCATACCCTGGTTCCTCCCACGCAGAGTTACACACACATCCAATTGGGGGGGCTCTCGCACCTCGAGCGCACCAAATAAGGGGGCATGATCAATATGCTCTTTTGTTGTGCATGTCTCCCTGCATACTGTGGTAATGTCAACCACTGCAGATTGCGCAGAAACTCTACATATATAAACACCAGATCTGCATGTCTGCCTGGAGAGACGACTGGACTGAAGGAGTGGGGGGAACACGGGGAAACAGCCGAGGCCATCGTCGAGTTGAATGGACGTTATGTTACGCAGAGTATCGTGAGGACGATATGATCCCATGACAGCAACATTCCGAGTATTGCACGTCGAGCACGTGTAGCATTCAAGTCAATCACATACCACTACACTACACTGGGTATTGATCGACAGGTTCAACTACAAGTCTAAACCCTAGGTACGTACGCTAGGCACTCCAGCCCAGCCTACACTCCACGTGCATGAAGTGTAGACGGTAATTACATACATACATACATATGGAGCTTGTCTGGCCCACATGACAACATGCATCCGGCCATCTTGCAAGGCCGATGATCGCTCAGGGGCTAGAACCATCATCCAAGACCCGGTGACCTCACGTACTCTACCACACGCGCGCACCTTGAGGGGTCTAGTCCGAGTTGAGATCGGCGGAACGCGCAGGTAAGACAAACAACAGAAGAAAAAGAGGGCAGGGAAGGGGGGAGAGTTGAAAGGAAACCAGCTGAGCAATGTGTATCCTGTAGGTAATCCCAGCCGGATCTATCTTGTATATATTTTCTGGCGGGTAATGTTAACCGTACCAGTAACTCAGATGCCTCTACACAATAAGTTCGCGATGAATATCCAGATGTAGGCCATCTTAGTTTCGCAAGGCATTGTGGCTCAATGTCA